TCGTCCACCCATCCACCCCATCCGTGGATGTGCAATTTTTCCTGCGTATATCTCTCCCCCCCCCCACACACACTCCTCCTACCACCCCTACCCCCCCTCTCTTCCTTTCAGCCCCAGACAGTGTTGGGGTCATAGCATAACAGTGTTTCAATCACATCCTTTACAAAATACCAGTCCTTAGCAGAGCACTTGAGACCAAGACCCCTTCGTGTAAGGGAATACGACCTTTCTTATAGCAATTTCACTCTGCCTCTCTCTCACGTGCACACATATAAATATGTAATACGCGTTGAACAACTGCACTGCACCCAAACATTGCATAAATCCGTTCAATCTCCCACGCAGCAATCTATATCCGCCCTTACATACAGTGCGTAAAGAGCACCCATCCATGCACATCCTCGTCTGCACGCGCTGCATGTTAATCAAATCTTTATTTCATCAATGGCTTTGTCTCTCGCGCGTGGAATAAAAAAAAAATCCCGTGCACGACACCGATGCGTTGTATATGCATATGTGTCTGCGTGTGATGATCATGATGGGAATGCTGATGATGGCTGTGTATGCAATGCATTTTCTTTTCTCCCCTCTCGTAATGCAACGTGTGGTTCGGACGAAAGCACACAAGAACACAACCACACCACCAACCACTACTAACAACCACCACCACCTCCACCCCCGTTCCTTGCTCCGCGTGTTTACCTGATACCCAATCGGCATTCGCCGCACGCTCGCGCACGCACGCGCGCACACAGATGGGCGCGCACTCATTGTACACACACACACCTTCTTGACACACGTACACACGCAGATACGTGAAACGTACTCATTAGCCTACACACACACACTCACATAGAGAGACAGACACGTGCACATAGTTATGCATACGAACACGCGCGTGCACACGGCTACGTTCGCACGCACACCACAAACACGTGCACAGGATGAGAGGCGCACACACGCGCGTTAGACGCAATCACAACAGCAGCAGTTCACCACTAAGTGGCTGCGCCAGGCTAGGTGCACTTTGCAGCGACGTTAAGTCTGGAAGGCTGTCTGCTGGCTGGAGGTCACGGGACAGACCCAGGTGCTATGGATTGAGCTACTGAGATGACTGGCAGATGCACCAACCTGTGCCAACTTACTGCGTTTTATACACCCGGCGCTGCGCTCGTTGTTGTGAGCGTCGCTATTCTGCCCTTCGTCGTTGTTGGAGGGAGGCTGCTTCCAAATGCCCAGTAGCGTCCTTCACGAGCCTTCTCCACGGAAGCCGATCTTGACGCCGCTGGTTCCAGTCATTAGAAAATCGACTCAGCTCCACGTTATTCTGTATCGCATTAGCACATCTCTTCTCTAGCCCGTGCCCACTTAGCCCCTCTATCTGGCCAAACAGAAGCTGATTTGGCATGCGGTAGCTGGGCATACGGGCTACTTGACCCAGACAAAGCAGCCTCGCCCGCCAGAATAACTCAATGATGGGACTGTGTCCAGATCTCTCAAGGATCTGCGAGCTCCTCACACAATCCAGTCTGGTTAAACCCAGGGTAGATTGTTGGCGGAACAGCTTGAATGTTTCAAAACGGCGCAGATGTATCTTCAAAGGGGTACACATTTCGCAAGTATAGAGAATGGAGGATATAACTGTGGCCGAAAAGACCTGGAGCTTCGTGTGGAGTGATAGACCAAATAGTTTCCACACAGCGCTACGCAGCAAATAAAAATACTGACACTAAACTGATTCGGAGTGAGACCTCTGCTTCCAAACCGGAGCCATACACACTGGCCAGGTACGGAAACGTCTACAACTGCTCCATCACTCATGAGGAGTGGAGGAGGTGGAATGTTTGATGACATAAAATACCCAGGCAGGTACTTTGTTTTTGTGAGACTGATGGTAAGGCCCCATCTAGTAGCACGCTCCAGGTTCTTCACCACAGTATTCAACTCCTCAGTGACGAGAAAATACTATATCATCAGCATACATAACATGGTTGACCAATGGGGTGTCATCCCTTGATCGCACCAGGGCATCGATCAATCTCCTATTGTATCTGTAGCAGATGGAAATTTATCTGGTGCAACCATGGAAAGCCTCTCATGGAAAGCGTCTCCAACGACATGGTCAAATATGTTAAGTAGTATAGGGGACAAAGGACATCCCTGTCACACCTTAAAGTGAACAGAAAATTACTCCAACTCCCTGCCATGCAGCTTTACTCGGGCTTGCTCACCATCGTGAAGGTCCTTAATAATTGTGAGCAGAGGGTCAGGGACCCCAAAAGCACACAAATAACCCAACGCCCAAGTCGATTGATGGTATCATAGGCCTTGACCAGGTTATTACAGCAAAGATGTAGGTCCTGTTGAAATTTCCCACATCTCTGCTGTAGCAGACGGCCAGGGAATATGGCCTCCATGCAGGACCGTCCTGGTCTGAAACCATATTTGGATTCTACAAGCCGCTCCTCAGCGTGTCTGGCAAAGGCAATGTTGAACAATCTTTGTGGTATTTTTTTCCCGGCACACTGAGGGAGATGCCCCGATGGTTGTTGCAATTAGTGATGCCCCTCTTCTTAAAAATGGGAACCACCATGGCATCCTTGCAATCTTTCGGAACTCGTCCTGTGCACCAGATGGTGGTAATAATGTCATATAGAGCAGCCTGCACACAAATGTCATACTCCCTCAGCAGTTCGCTTGAGAGATGGTTTATTCCCAATGCTTTACCTGGTCTCAGGCTGTGGATCGCCTTTCACACTTCCTCAACAGATGGCACGTCCGCCAGCCACTCACAGGAAGAGGCTACTTTTTCAGTATTTGGGGCACAGCAACCTCATAAGGGTCAACCTCACTATGCCCCATGATATCTGAGCTGAGTAGGTTTTCCCTACCCAAAAACCTCACAGAAATGTTCAGAAAACCTGCAAACCTGTTTCTGGGGTCATATATCGGATTCCTGTTTTTTTCCCCTGAAGGATGGTAATAGGTGTAACACTAAAAAATCCTTTTTTGATGGAATTAAAATGTGATGTGTGATCGCGTGCTACTAAGGCAGTTTATATTTTCTCAGTAACCCGCAACCACCACTCATTCTTTCAGAGCATGGCTTTCCGAACATCTGAGCGAAGGCCTTCTCTTTCAGCCAGGATTTCTGGCAAGGTCTGGACCGTGTACCCAATGTAGCCATTTAAACTTGCATGAGCCAGTCCTGTACCTCACCTATTTTCCCTCGGTATCAGGGGGGTGGGGGGGGACGATGCCAATCCCAGCTGCAAGTGATGAAAAAAATATCGCTTGCCAAGTCCAGGCTAATAAGGGGTTCAATGGGGTCCTAGGTGGACACCCATCGTCCCAGTGGAAATATAGCAGGTGGATCTTACAGATGACAAACCGATGGTCAGTGCGGAGATCAGCTCCACAGTAGGTTCTGGTATCAAGGACATGGGCTCGAATTTGCTGCTGTCACTATATAGTCCAGCAGATGTTCTTGCTTGGACCTGGTGTGCATCCATGATGTTATGTGGATGCGCCAATGCCAGGGCAGCATTTTGGTTATTACAAGTCCATGGACTGCACAGAAGTCTAGCACCCACCATCCGTTGTTAATGAGCCCATGTCTGGCCCATGTCTTCCAAACACCCCGGCCTGCATAATAACCCACTCAAGCATTGAAATCACCCTACAAGAAGGCATCTGATTCATCAGCCTTCCATAAACTAGTGGGGGCATGGCCAGAAGATACCAAAAAGGCCATACAACTATATTATATGCGCAAACATATACTTATACATACACACTGGTATAAAGCTGCACACAAAGACAAAGGTCCCCCGTATAGCTTTAGCAAACTGTTGAGGCAAGTGCTGTTAGTAAGCACCTATGAACGCTGGCACGAGGGGTTGGGTGGCCAGCACCACGCCCGGGCTTCTTTGTCTCCATCGTGGCGATGTTTACACATCGCACCAGGTATTTATTTAAGGCTAAGTCGACCTAGGGGAGGCCCGGGACTGCTTCAGATAATTGTCACTGGTGTCCCCCGTGAGTGGGGATCGAACTCGGGACGCCGGGTTCGTAGCGTAGTGCGCTAACCGCTACACCACCGCTCCCCACACACACACACAGCTTGACATACGCACAGACACACACACACACAGCTTGACATACGCACAGACACACACACACAGCGAGACATACGCACAGACACACACTCGGCTGGACATACGCACGGACACACTTACAGCTTGACATACGCACAGACACACACACACAGCGAGACATACGCACAGACACACACACAGCGAGACATACGCACGGACACTCACACTCAGCTTGACATACGCACAGACACACACACAGCGAGACATACGCACGGACACACACACACAGCTTGACATACGGACGGACACACTCACAGCTATCTATACATACGGACGGACACACACACACACAGCGAGACATACGCACGGACACACACACATACGGCTATACATACGGACACACACTCGGCTAGACATACGCACGGACACACACACGGTTATACATACGGCCACACACTCGGCTATACGCACGGACACACACACGGCTATACATACGGACACACATACGGCTATACATACGGACACACACATACGGCTATATACACACACATGGCTATACATACACACACGGCTATACATACGGACACACATACACATGGCTATACATACACACACTGCTATACATACGCACACACACGGGGAGACAGACAGACACACACACGAGGAGACAGACACACGGCTACACACACACACGGCTACACACACACACGGGGAGACAGACACACATGGCTACACACGGCTACACACACACACGGCTACACACACACACGGGGAGACAGACACACACGGCTACACACACCTACACACACACGGCTACACACACACACGGCTACACACACACACGGCGAGACAGACACACGGCTACACACACACACGGCTACACATACACACGGCTACACACACACCTACACACAGACACGGCTACACACACACACGGCTACAGACACGCGCACGCGCATACGGACGGGGGCGCGCGAGCGAGCAGGCGGGCGCGCGCGCGGCACCCACGAACCCGCACGCACATTCCGAGACTCGCCGAGGAAATCAGGTCAAGTCTCCCGTCAAGAAGGCATTGATTTATGATACAGCGCGACTGGGCGACGTCGTCGTCATCATCGTCATCTCCGCCGGCAGCATCACCACCAGCATCACCACCATCGTCATTATCATCTTGTACCACCACCACTAAGCAGCAGCAGCAGCATCAGCGTCGTCGTCTGCCATCGTCGTCGTCATCATCATCATCATGGATGCGCGCGGGAGCGACGGGGCAGGAGGAGTTGGAGGCGGCTCGGCTCTCGGCGGCCGCGGATTCGCAGCTGCCGAGGCTCGGAGCGCGCACGCGGTGGGCTCCGAGCAGCTGGATTCGCGCCATCTCGTCCGGGGCCAGAGCGAGGACGGAGGAGGAGGAGGTGGTGGTGGCGGCATAGGTGGTGGTGGTGGTGGTGTTGGTTGTGGTGCCGGCGGTGTTGCTGGACAAGGAGGCATGGTTTCTCCACAGTCGTCGGGTGCGCCACCGCCGCCGCCGTCCTCTTCGTCGTCGTCATCGTCGTCATCTCGCCCTGAGAATGATCACGATCCTTACTCGGAACAGCAGCAGCAGCAGCAATACTCGTACCAGCAGTACCAGCCGTACCCGTACGCTCACCCCTATCACCACCAGCAACAGCAGCAGCAACAGCAGCATTATCCCTACCCTCGAGTTCCAGGTTCGGATAAGGAGTCGGGTATTTGCTGCAGCACAACTGCTTCAGCTGCTGGCGGCTACATGCAGGGCGAGCGGCGTGCGGATGAAGGTGTGTGCAACAAGGCAAGTCCACACCATCATCACCACCACCAGCAGCAGCATCATCATCATCAACAGCAGCAGCATCACCATCAGCAGCAGCATCAACAACAGCAGCAGCATCATCATCAACCGCAGCAGCAGCAGCAACAGCATCACCAGCAGCAACAGCAAGGTCGGCCTCGTTTGCTGGTAAAGAGGCGTTTGGAAAATTTGAAGGTGTCTCCGCCAGCCTTTCTGCCGGGAGATGTGAGTCACACAGCACGCCTTCGATTGCACCCCCACTATGGTCTCGCGCGATGAGTAGGGGTACGCATTGTTAATGGTTATTTAAGTAGTTTCGTGTCTGAACAAAGCTGAACAAAAATCCCGCGACGTTAACCCTCCTCCTCCTCTCCCCCCCCATAGTCCATCTTTTTTCACCCGTGCGTGTCGGTGGGGTTCCTAGGCGCGTCCTCCGGTTTCCTACAGGCAAATCGTGATTTTAAAAATAAATAAATTAAAACCTGGAACTGTGAAAACAGCCCAAATGCAGGATCCTCCTGGAAAGAGTCGTGAGGCTCATTTGAGTTTGTCGTGGGCAAATCAACGGCATTGTTATTTGATGCAGGCGAGGGCCTTCAGTCAGCAGTTGATAGATCATGGCTGATTTATTATTGTTTGATGCAGAGCCCTCGCCGTAAATTTGGCATTCATACTCCTGTATAGCATAAAAAACACATTGCTTTGCCCTTCCTCTAGCTTTACCAATACCCATAAACCAGGTTTCAACAATTAGCATTTGCGCTAAACCTTGCCGAAACTATGCCTAACTCTGTTAGCCCTAAAGCCTTAATATTACACAAACCACAGCCATAATCTATCCCTAACTCCATTCTTATCCCTACAGCGTTAACTAAAACCATAGCCCAAACTATGGGCCAAATATAACCTCATCATCATATGCAAATATTGTATTCTATTTGAATTCATAATTATGACCCAACCTAACTCTAACCTAACTCGAACCCCCCAAACCCCTAATGCTTAATTCACGGTCGGCTGGAATTGTTTGCAATAATGAGCCTTTTAATGCTGGTGAAGCCCCAGATGGAGATTCGCAGGAGGGAGGACGTGGATGGGGAGTGGGGATCACCCCCCCTTCCTCCTCCCTCCTGCCTCCCCCCAGTGCTTTACAATGCACAGGGAACATTTTTGGAGCTGGTTTTTAGGAGACTGAGGTCAGGGGGTGCCACTCACGCCGTGCCTGGCTGCACACGAGGCATCTGGTTCCATTGCAAATCGGTTCTGACTGGGAATATAATATGTATAATGAGAGTGGTGAGAATGCATACGATACAGATTTTGGTCCATCGCAATGTTGCTTGTTAACATCACAAATGCAAATTGATCTGTGCACGGACCCAAAGGACAATGCTATGACGTGTTTACAGTTTGGTTTTCACTTCAGACAAAAATAAAAATAAAACACCCAAGACATAACAGGGCCCCAAAAGTGATGGTACGAGGAGCGGCGGGGCAGTAGTTAGGGCACTGCACTATCAACCCCGGCAACCTCGGTTTGATTCCCGGCCACGGCTAATATCAGTAACGAGTGGCGTCTGAACTGGTCCGGCTACCTTCCCCACACCCATCCCCACCCCTCCTTCCCTAATCCACACTGACCAGCTTGGGGAAGAATGATCAAACACCACCCACGACTGACTCGGCGTGGGGGCAAACCTTAATGCAGCAGTAGATTGACAAAGGACTCAATAATTATTGTTATCGTAATGTATATATACGTCACTGTTATACATTATAATGCACAGCCCCTTAGTCGATGCAATTTATTTTCTTCTTGCGTATGGCTGCAATATATTCAGGAGCTAAATACCAATCTTAAGGTCTGTTTGCCACGAGAGGGCTTCAGGAGTGAGTTCGTCTATGTGGATGATAGAGTATAGATAGGCATGCACATTTTTTGCAGTTCACACACACACAATACACACATTGTGTGTGTGTGCATGCATTGCTCTATCTGTCGGAGAGTGTTTTGGCAATATGCACGCATGTGCCTTGCTTTGCAACCCACGTTTTTGCTGTATAATTGCATGGAAAACGCTTTGCACAATGTATATTTGCGTATATATGCATATAAAGGCTAAATAGAAGTTGCACATTGTGTGAACGCATGGTATCCCGCTCACATTCGTGTTGTCATTACACACTGTATGTGTACGTTTCTCGCATGCGCGAGTGTGTTCATGATGTTCAGCATATCTAAACCAAACCAGCTGTGTGTGTGTGTTGACTTGCGCACATGGCAAATGTCTCGCTCTTCAGATCCGTAGCATGCGGTTTATTATGCATTATGAATGATTTTGTTTACAAATTGTTTACAAATTGTCACCGTTTTCTACACAGCCCTACTCATTTGAAGATGAACCTCTCCTCAAGAATGGTGTGGTTACACAGGTGAGATTTAAAATATAAGGCAGTGCATTTAAAATATATACAGTATTCACTGGAATCCATCTGTGTTCAGTCTTCCAGCCCCCATCCTGCCCTTTCCTTGTCTACCATCCCTATGGCACATCGGAATGCCTTTTTATTTTTCTCCCAAGGCACCTTCTTGCAGACATTTCTAATTCTATAAAATTACTAAATTGTGCAATTATATATGTAGGCATAGAACTGGTTTACAGGAACATATGACTAACTTGTGATTTCATATATATGGTGCACACTATACTGTGCATTGTCTGGTTTTCAATGCCATGCGATCCCAACGCTGACATTACGTTACATATATTAATGTGCCTTCAGCGGCTTCTACAAGACGTGTACCGTCGTCAATAGCTAATTATGGACTAGCATGCACACTGAATACGGAGGGCTTCTCTACCATTTTTAAGTCTGGAGATTTTTCTGATTAAATGTCCCGGGTTGAGATTGCAATCTTTTAAGAGATCAGTATTTAACGTAATGTCAGGGCATGGCAGGTGTCGCTACTTAAAAAAGAGCGTGGATCCTCTTGGTGCGATCGGTGTAGCGGCGGTTGACCACAATTTCTAAATCGTTCAATAAAATGTCTTGGACTATTCAAAACTTTTTCCCTGCTGCCGAAAAGGGATGTAGGGGTTTACTGCAAAGTGTTCCAGGTGCATTCCTTGTAATGGTGCAACAACGTTTAAGCACGTGTCCCCAAATCTCATTTGCTGTAAGTGTAGCCCTGCCTATCTTAATGGCCCATCTCGTGACTTCCTGATAAAGGATTTAATTAATTAATTCGTCCTATCTGGAAGTAATTATTCTCTATTCAAATGCTCGCCATTGAACATTTGCCTTACAGTTGTTAAATCTTGGTCTACGTATTGGACGTATGCAATTGCGCTGTTAAGCCCGCTTCATGGTTATTTACAGCGAGGATGTTTTCTCAGGTCCCCTCTCACAAGAGAGTTTCAGCAGCCTTTATTTCTAACCAGTTGAGCGTCCAATAACACAGGAGATATCTTGCAAGAGAGACCACAGATGAAATGCAAAAGAATACACATGTGCTGCCCGTTGACTTATTTTGGAATCTCGTGCACAGTGGCATCCGCTGCGGCAAGGAATGCCGTGCGCTCCATTTGCAGCTTTCTCACGTGCGGCACATTGTTAAACAGTGTTGGGCCTTCAACCAAAGCGCCTTGCTCTCAGTAGGTAGCAAGCTTATTGCACAGACCACCCATTGACCCACAAAAAAATGAATATCCAACCAGAATATCTGTTACCGTTCCTGGCTTATTCACGCAAAATTAATAGCACAAACAGTACTAACGCTTTAATTGCAAAATGTTTAACCAAAATCTAGCTTTAAATCAAAATTCAAAATCTAGAAGTGGATTTTTTTTGGTCCTTAGACGTGAAAACTGATCAGTTTTAATAACTCACATTTGTACTCATTTTAACATTGTCTCCAAATATATGCAGGTTCTGTGAAGAGGTAATGAAAAATAGGCAGTCATAATTGCAACTGCTCTCCTCAAATTCCCAGAGATTTCTCATTCTTCTGGGAGTGATTCCCCCCTCACTTTTGGCGAACACCACAGCTACGTATAAGCTAATCTGGCCATGGTGGCTGCTTGAAAAAAGTGACATTACAAATGTGGTGGGCCAATTTTTTTCTTGGGGTTTTTGTTTATTTCACCCTGTGAAAGTGCACACTGAATGTGACCGAGTGGACAGTGGGGTCACTTACTCGGATCTTTTAAGTAAACAGTGCAGCCATGGTCATAGCGACAACGGAGGTTCAGGGCAACAGCGGCGGTGGGAGCCTCGGGAAGCTCCCAAGAGCCTTCCCCGGGCCTAATCCGCCCTCCTTTATTCACGCCAGCGTGTGTGCTGACCCCTCCGAGAGATACTGCCCTTTGGCTCGGCAGAACTGGATCGACAACTTTCTGAATTCCGTTAGTTTTTTTGTTTAGTATTTGTAGGTACTTGGACAACATTTTTTTGTTAATGTGTTTTTTTGTTTGTTCCAGGACTTCTTGTAGTTTTTTTTTAAAGATATAAATTTATATTAATTGTATCGGGGGGTGGGGTGGGTGGGGGAATAATGTTATTGTCAGGCCATTGTGAACATGTCTTCACGGCAACAGGGGGGGTGGCTTGGAGCAGCAAACATCATTTGACAAAACTGCATGTTATTTCGTAATTATAGCATACACACAGCTTCAAAACACATATCACCCATCTCCATGAATGGGAGTGTTTTGGAACGCTGTTTGCTGCCTTTGAAATGAATGAAATGTGGCCAGGAGTGTTCCATTTGCCCTTCCCCCCAATGTCTGTGCATGGGTGTGTTTTTTTTTGTTGGGAGTGGTAGTGTCGTTGTGCACTCCGAACCTGGCAACTCGAGTTTTATTCCTGCTCACAGCCAATACCATTGACGATTATCTGAACCGGTCCTGGGCCTCCCCTAGGGCATCGTGTTGGCCACCCACTCCTTGATGTGCCGTGCCGGCCTTCAAAAGTATCTTAAGGCTTTACAGGGGATCTTTGTTGGGAACAGTGGTACAGTAATGCCCCGATTTGCGTCTCCCCTTTTTAATGTCGTTTCGCAAATACGTCGTCACTTTATTAACACCACTACTTGATTTGCGTTGCCTCAACCCACATTTTGCATCGCTGACAGCTTCATCCATCTTTTCCTGTATCCGTCACCTCAGCCTTCACCTCAGCCTTCACCTCCACCTACACTGTAAATTGCTTTGATTTACGTCATGTCAATAATTGTCGTCGCACCTTTCAGGAACGCATCTTCGCCGTAAACCCGGGGTATAACTGTCTAGTGGTCAACACAATTACATCGCGATGATGGTAATCCAGGCTTAAATTTCTTGCAATGAAGTGCATCATTAGCAATTACGATCGGAACCTGGTCTGGGCCTCTTCTAGGTTCACTTGGCTTCAAATGAATACCTGGGGTGGTGCAGTATACATCAGCATTTGGAGACACAAAAGTGGTTCGGTGTGCATAGTTTTGAACACTCCATTCCCTCATTTGCCACACGGGCCTTATTAGGTACTCCCAAGCAGCAGTTTCTCTGACTGAGCATGTAACAAATCAACCTCTCCACCTGTGGTGATTTGATGAATTGTCATAATCCATGGTCACAAGTTGCTTCAATAGTATTTTTTTTTATCTCGTATTGCCACTTGATTTTCTGCCACCTATTTTCTGGACTGTTCTGCTTTATTAATATAATTTAGACTTCAAGTAATTAGCACATACTTAGCACGTCATTTTCATGCAATTTGCATATTTTGTGGTCTTCGTATGTACTATTTAATACACATTGTGAGCGTACAAATCCTTTTTAACCAATCAATCATCACATTCCCAATGACAAGAGATTTTACCGGTAACTGCGATGCTTGCTGTCTGGGTGTGGTGACGTGGCCCAGTGGTAGCACTTTCTCTGCTTGTCGCAGAGGTTCATCGTTCGAATCCAGCAGCTGCCCTGGTTAACACTGCAAGGTGCATTTACCAAAAAATACGTGCCTTGTGCTTCACAGCGGATGTAAAAACCCCGTGACGTAATTCGCAAAAGTAGGCAATCTTGTGCCCGATTTGCCAAATTAGAAAATAAATTCTGCAAAATACTCGATTGGAATGTATGTTGAAATCATTGGCCCGCACTGGAAATATTGGCAGGACCCTAAAAAAAAGTAATGAGACTTGGGTAAATTTCCTAGCTAAAAAAACCCTTTATAATAAATCATGAAAATAAAATCGGTTAGGAAATAGCAGTGGGGCAGAACACTGAATTGGTCGAGGTATGACGGGCATAGTTCAACCAGCTTTTGACCAGGGAGGAACCAATGGACTCGGTAGAATTATAAAGTACATCAGACAGTAGAAGGACGTTTCTGTGTTAAAGCAAGATATAAATAAATGGAGAGAGTAAGGTCAGTCCCAGCAGGAGGAAAGTCAACTGAAGTGGAAGAGAACTTTGTTTACTTGGGCAGTGATGTCTATAACACAGCGATGGCTGCGAGAAGGTGGTCAAAAAACGAATTGCTTTGAGCACGACAGGTGTTCTATGAGCTACGGGAAACCACTTTGGAAGAAAAAAAGAGGAGTGTGCATAAAAGTGGTATTTGAGGCATGTGTGCTACCTGTTTTATTGTATGGATTGGAGAACTGGACTCTCTTAAGCAGCTTAAGATTACGTTTTTGGAATTTGAGCACAGGTGGATGCTTGGAATGTCATGGCAAGACAGGATAAGCAATACAGAAGTCTGGAAGACAACATGCAGGTAGGTCTTGATAAGGCCAAAAGACTGCGCTGGGTAGGACATGTGTGATGGATAAGGAGGACTGGTTACTGAGATGGGCTCTGGAATGGTTCCCACGGATTTGGAAACCAAATGGAAGACCTAGGACAGATGTTGGGATACTGTTAGGGCAGATCTTGAGGTCACATGTCGACTGTGCAGCAACTTTGGGATCTTGCAGAACGTAGAAAGGGTTTTTTGCCATGATCCATGATGACATTTTGGTCATATCTTTATTCGCTACTCAGAGCTACACGACCCCCGTGGGATCAGGCGACATGCTGTGGAACCGTGGCAAGGACGACAGCGAGCGTCTCTTCCAGCGCTACCCGAGCGCCAAGAAGCAGTGGGGCAGCACGCCGGCCAAGGGCAAGCGCGGACGCAAGGCCGGCTCCTCGCCCAAGCCGTACGCGCCCAGCCCTGGCCGACAGGGCCCAAAGCCCCTCGGGGCCGAAGGGGACGGGCTGAGCGAGTCGCCTCCATCTGCGGGGCAGCAAGGGGGCAGTTTCCGCGGCGGTGGTGGCGGAGGCGGTGGTGGCGACGGGAGTGATGAGCCACGGGCTCGGAGCGAAGCACAGGCCGATGAGGCGGCCATGGCAGCCGTAGTGGCTGCTGCGGCAGCGGCTGGAAGCCCTGGAGCGGTGGGGTCAGAGTTCGACCTTGGCTCAAGCAACGGCGCGGCCGCTGCACTGCCCATGCCGCTGCCGACCAATATGGCAGCGTCGCTCGTGCACCTAAACCGGCTGGTGAACCGCATGCTGCCGCCGCTGTCGCCCTACAGCGCCGGCTCCTACGCAGCGGGGGGGCCCAGCACAGTCGGAGGCGTGGGCCCCGGCGTGGGCCCCGGCGTGGGGCCCGGAGTAGGGCCAGGTGTTGGTCCGGCCGGAGCCGGATTGTTTCTGCCGGGTGACGCGGGGCTTGGTGGACAAGGCTCAGCGCAGCAAGCGCTGTACTCGCACCAGCAGCCGCTCAACGGATTCGCCTACCAGGTGACGGTTCCCGCCCTTGTGCACCGCGCCAGAGCCGAACACTCGCGTGATTCAAGACTCGGGGCGTGTGGGATGGATCTGGTGCATATTTTTGCAAAAGTTTTTACCGTGGATGTGGTCATGATGGGTTAATTGGACAGCATGGGATGGTGCATCGATTCACCAATTAAATATACATTCTTCCACTCAGGATACATGCATCGTATCATGCATGTTAACGCTTTACGATTTGTGATTTTATGTTAATTAATTTCTATGATATACTGTAGTTATGTTTTGGCTAATGGAGCAAAAAAGACTATACAAATGGGACAAAAAAGTCACTGATGGTGAAGAGGAGACAAAATATAATTGATTCTTGGAACCAGATCTGGAGTCGGTTATAATTATAATTACAGCACCAATCATAATTACATTGTGATTGCAATTCATTATGAATGACACAATTTAAATTGACCGCACGTGTTCTTGAAACAAATTACAACTTCAAATCGTGAACCGCTGCAAGGACGACATCACTGTATTAGCATGAGGCCTCCCAAATCTATGTCATGATTATCACGATAATCACAAAGCCTCCCAAATCATGATTTTGGCAGAGGCCTCGCTGTTAATATAGTCCATGGGACCAGACCGCATATTTTATGTTCGTCATTATCACATGAAGTGGCTAAATTGAGTTTTGGTGTTTGGTAAAAGTAAGTAAAAATCTAATATCATATTTGTAATGTATTCATGGCAATAGTATGAAAAGGTTACCTCACATAGGCACTGTTATTTGATTGCCTGATATTTCTAATTTGTCCAAATTTCTGTGCTGGTCCATTGGTTTATAGAGTAACGCAAATGAACAGAGTGCTTCGGCAGTGATGCATGAGCGTGAATACGATTAAACCATTTACATTTAAGACAGAAAAATATAATGGCCTCACATATCAGACTATTGTCTCTATGCTCTGAAGGACCATTACCTAAAACTTGACTTAAAGCTTTAGTGACTGCATGAATTAATATTCTTTGATCGAAACGTCATAGTTTTTGTTATTTTCTTTGAACCTATCTACGTGACTTTACCGAAAGACCCATAGAATATTACCTAAAACATCATCCTATTTATAATATTTTTCTGTTATGAGGCAGTGTTAATGATGAGAATGCTGTTTGTGTTTTGGGGTTTTTGTTTTATATGGAGAGTGCATTCTCCCATGAGAAATTAAACAAAACCTCACCAGGTGATTTAATTCCTTTGGAACTGGAATGTTGCAGACACTTGTGGTTCAAGAAATTGCTTAAACATGTGGTGACTGTATCTCCTTGATTAGGGATTAAGGTCATGTGCTCCTCCACTTACTGTTGTTCTTGATTCAAGCCTCTGCATGGGAAGCTCTGGCAACCAACCCAAAAAAACTCATAATTAAAATTAACAAAAGAATGAGTAATTCCCGGACTATTACAATGCATGATTAAAGCCCCACCACAATTGTAAAAAAACTGAAATACATTTATGTTGAACATTTTAAATCAATATACAGCTAACAAAGTGAAAGTAAAATAATATAAAAATTGGAAAGAAGAAAACATTCTCGGAAATGTCAGTGAATTATTGATTTCCTTGCCTGCAGGGCCTGTACGGGTACGGGAGCCCCCTTTACCAGGGCAGCCACAAGGAGATGGTCCCTCAGCCCTCTGTTGACTCCCCTCTTTGCTTCAGCAACGAAGTGGTGAGTAATTGGCTGTTCAGCATTGAGCATGCGTGCATCTTTGTGTGTGTCTGTTGCATGGAGCAGTGGGGTAGTTGTAAGTGCATGATAGATATGCCAATCTGAATTTGTTTCCTGACATTAGGAAATAAACATTAGTGGCGAGCGAAATGTGAACTGGTCCTTGAATTCTCCCTTAAATGATACCGGGAGGGGTGTGTAAACATCAGAGCTAAAAAGTCAAAGGTAGCAATGCGTGGTGCTGTTCGCACTAGCCCCTCGTGTGCAGTGGCATATTTAATAGCTCTTTGCTAGCAGCACTTGCTCCAACAGTGTATGTAGGCTTCGTGGGTGATCGTTATCATTGTAATGGTTCATGGTAACCCGGGTATGAATCCTGGCCATTTGCAACATTAGTGACACAAGGAATTTGAACCCGTCCTGGGTTTATCCTTCGCCAACTCATTGCCGTTAAATGGGCATCTGGCTGGACCTGGTGCAGGTCATGCTTATCACCTCATGTGATATACTGCCCTTTAGAAGATACTCGGATAAACGGCACTTTGCCCAACAGTCTATACAGATATAAGTAGGATCTTTGTGTGTCTACTACAAGATTTAAAGAAGAATATCTCACCAGTTTTGGATTTGTGATTTTATTCGCACGAGTGATCCGGCATTAGAAGTGGATGAACTGTGATTTACGTTCAAATGTGTAGGAATGTCACACACTCTTTAACGTAACTTTCTTTTTAATTCAATTAATTTATCAAAAGGCACACCTGTGAGTGGTATGCACCGGCAATTAAACAAAACACAAAAGAAGCCGCTGGCTCAACAGATTGAGAGGAGTTTTGCTTACGTCTTCGTCTGGTGATCAGAGCAGCTGGAACATGCCCCAGAAGATTGGGCGGTGAGGTGGTCTGTTGGTAGGTGCATTCGTCGCTTGTTGCAAAGGTTCACGGTTTGAATCCAGTGGGCCACCCTTTATTATTACTGCGGGGTATATTAACCATAATGATATTAATTGTGGTGAATCGCTGTGATGATTGGAGTTTGAAAAAACCCTTAGTCTATAGAAACTCGCTTTCATCGCTGGCCGATGCACAAAGACACAGGCAAACGCAGGGCGTGCGCAGGGCGTGTTTTAGGTCACGGAAGATTTTTTTTGTGTTTTGAATACGTTGCTGTGTATTTACGGGTGATGCGCGTCAGTGCGTTGGCGGGAGCAGTCGCGGGGGCTGCATGGGGTCGTGTGCCATTAACAGGGTGGTGGCAGGGTTTTTTTGTTTGTTGTTGAAATATTTAAAGTAGAAGGGTCTTCCAAGCAGCCAAACCGTTGTGTAATATGCTGCTCCAAGTCACGCCGGTGCCTGCTCCTGTGATTGAGGTCGCTGGTGGCGAACCTTCACATCACACCCGTTAACAAAGCCTGGATTCAATTCGTACCGACTGCATAGATCACGATTTTTCTCACTGGCTTTGTCCAGAGCTTCGTGTTTTTTGTCCGGTTGTGGGGAGAGGAAAAAATTGGGGGAAAAAGGTCATATCGTGCCTATCGTCGTAACGAACGCTTTGGGCTCACGTGACGCTTCATCTGCACACATACACACCACACTTTTGAAATGATGTAATAATGCAGAAGTGGACGAGGTAGCACATTGTGTGCTGTTTTACACATTGGAGTTGAACGATCAATGTATTGGGATCCCGGCTGCATTGCACGTCCTTTCGAGCAGGACTAATCCCTGTCTATCAATTGCCACGCGGAGCCGTGCCGTGGCAAGGCAGGGGGGGACTGCACACCACAACGGCCCTCCGCCACCGCCGCTCCCTTCCCGACGCCATGACATGCGGGAAAATTATCTGGCCTGTGCACGCGATGCCGAGACGCTGCGATGAATGTAAAAATTGTGTAAAAAATATATCCGTTCGTGGTTGAACCGATGAAGTGGGCCGCGGTGTGACGTGGTGCTCGTGTGGTCCACATGGGCGGAATGGCCACTTGCCCCTTCTGTGTGGATCACGACTGAAACCGCAGGGAGCGTCGCTGGGCTTCTGTTAATTGTGAGAAATAACTATGCATCAAAAATTTTGCTTGGATGACATGAGCAAATTTAAATCGTTTCCACTTTCACGGCCAATACTTGCCCTGTGCGACATATACATTTTTATTTGTCCTTTCAAATTTTACAAGAAACATTTAGTTGAATAATCGGTATTTGTTGAGCAAGAAAAATGAATTGGAAAATCAGAAATCATAATTGTGAGTGCCGGCAGCTGACTGCACACTAAAAAATATTGTATTATTGTATTTAATTAAATTTACAGTTTCGCTTATCTCAGTGTAATGCCTTTAGTATAACTAAAATAGCAGTTGTCATGTCATGGAGCACACTAAACACGGGGCATGTATGAGTGCATCTCGCATTGCATGCGGGAGGCTTCTTGAATCAACTCTTAAATGGTGTTCCAGTGGGATATCCAGCCAATAATCACTCTGGGTTCTATAAAATTAGTACCAATTTGTGCTCCTTGGACAGCGTGGTCTCCACCATAGTAACGTGTGATTTCCATCACTATTCAAGGACCACAAACGTATGCAAATAAGCAACTGAAATCCTTATTTATAACTATGTGAGAGCCCATTGAAACTGCAAATCTGTTTTCCAAAGGAGACCTGGGTTACATTAAGCATATAGATTCAAATATTGTTTCAGTCCATTGGATTCCCCGATGAATATTATCCAGCAACATTTGTTGAAGGATACAAACTCCTAACTGGTTTCAACCTTGTGGATCTTATCAGCAGTGTCAGGCTTTTTTTTTAAAATGCGGTTGGTTACCAGATGTTATTGGCAAGAGCACTCCATACAAACAATCCGGCACAGCAGCAAAATCCTATTGCAATGGGGGATGAGCTCTGCCCAATGCTCGTGTACGCAGAGGAGCACGTTAATGGCTCCTGCCTGAGCATTGCTTCTCGTTGTTTTCCACCTGACTGTGCTCTCTGCTGGTGGCATGGCGCAGCTGAAGCACTACCAGGCGGGCGGGCGCGAGGACGACGTGGCGCGATTCGCCGGCGTGCCCTGTCAGGGCCGCGAGTGGCTCCACACGCCGGAGCTGGGACCTGAGCGTGACCTGCAGGCGCAGATCGGAAAGGCAAGGACTACCATCGCAATCTCCGATCCGGTCGCTCCTCCTCTCCCTCTCTCCCTTACGAGCACGCACACCTTCCCTCGTGTATCTCTACCCCCTCCCCTCCCTTCCCTCCACATCTCTCAGCTCCACGCAAACCCTTGGGATGGTTCAATTCAATCACAGGCTGACATGGTCTTTAAGTTTACACTGTTGCCATTTGGCTGCATTGCACTGCGAGGTAGATTGTTTCTGTAATGCTGTGTGTGTGTTTATATATTTGGTCAGGTTATTTTTCTCGTTATCGCTGCCAGTGTGAACCTCCCAAAGCTGTGATCTGGTTAATTTTCATACCATCTGCAAGCGATTGCATACGTGCGGCCCCTTTGTCAATCAGCCTCTGGGCAAGGGCCTCGCTGCACCGTGCGGTCTGCGGGGGTTATTTGACCACCCTTTGCGACGCTGGTGTCAGTGCGCTTTGATGAAGGTGGGCGGCATAGATGTCGGAGTGTGGTGCAGTACAGCGATTGATTTTGCTGCTCAACCCTCTGTTGACAACGTAGCCCGCCCCAGGCAATTGGGACGGTTTTAATTTCCGGCTTGTACAAACCGGCACCTGGGACGCCGGGGTCATTGTGTGCAGGCGAGTAAGCTCTTACCTATTGTTGCGGCCACTCGGCCTGAAAGCATGAATTAATGATTTGTAGGGGGGGGGGGGACAGTATAGTCTTGCATTGTATTCAGTCATTCCATCGATTATTTAACATTTTGGTTCAAACGAGCTGAGACGGGAATAATGTAGAATGTATTTTAATACAGGATCTGTGTGTAATGTTTTTATTCTTCTAATCGGTAAGGCATATACCTGGTTTTCTGCTCAGGAGCTAAATGCCACGAGACAGCTTCATTAGAAAGTTTGTGTAGTTTTGCTATTCCTCATTTTTATAGTGCAGGCTATCGTGGTTTACTATACGGTCCATAGTTGGTAATTGCACCGATAAAAAAATGTAGGCACTTTGCCAGATTGACAAAGCATTAGAAAAGATTAAGGGTTGTATTCTTGACCATTAAAAAGGTAAAGTTTGCTTGGGCAGAACACGTCATTCGGAGGCGATTGCCGGTGGTCGAGACTAAAGATGGAATGTCAGGCAAAGGAAGAAACCCTCACCTGAGGGAAATCCACCACAGAGATGCAGAAATGGCATGAGCTCATGTGCAGGAACTAGATGGATTGTTGCATCGTAGGACCTTGGGGGATGGGAACACCTCTGGGAGGCCTCAGTCTATCAGCGGATTGGTTATAGCTGATGGTGATGTGTGTCTGTGTGGGTTCACTACATACCTAATATGCCTGCTCCCCCCCCCCCCAACCTAATCAGGATTAAATGAGCTGTCATGATTCACATTCATAGTTTGACCAAAGAATACACAATTTTGAACTCACGGGGGTTAGGTCAGATGGGCCCATGACATACAGCATTAAGGAATTGGAAAACACACAAATTCACGCAATTCATTGCACGTAATGTGAAGCTTAAAATAGTAACCCGTGAAATTATGTGTCAATCCTCCGTTGAATGGCAGTAATTGTCAAATGGAAATATTCTAACCCTACAGTAGGAATGTGAAATTGCCACAACTGGCTCATTGCCAAGGATGAACCAGGCGAATTGCCTGTTAGTGAATTTATTGATCCCATGCAGCAGCTGTGTGAATTTCTCACTCCAGATTTCTTGATATTGACTTTTTGCTAATAGAAAGTGCAGCGGGGTAGGGCTTGTGCTGTTTGCCAAATGTGCGTACGTATGCTGAACCTCTTTGGCACCGTACGTAGCCAACTGTGCTAATCAGAGGTTACGGGGTAAGTACAAAACTAAACACAAAAAACTGTTCTAAAGAAATTAGTTTTAAATCTTGATTTAAAAGTGCATAGCTTCAGTGGCTTCCTAATATCTGAAGGAAGAGCATTCCAGATGGCTACAGAAGCCCATATGAAAGCGCGCGATGCAGCGAACGTCTTCTGTTCGATGGCTAGCCAAAAGCTGCTGCAAGGATGACCGTAGTTCGCATGATGGTTTATGCTCCTTGACGAGATCAGCAAGGTGTTGTGGTTCATCTTTGGCAAGCGCTTCGTGTGTAATGAGTGCGATCTTATGTATTTGTCTGGAAACCGGAAGCCAATGCAGCTTGATGAGCACTGGACGCAGATGGTCAGATCTTTCAGTACCCATCACGACATTTGCCAAAGAGTTTTGTACACACTGCAGCTCGGTAATGGTTTTTGCCAGACATCTTTGGCAAGCGCTTCGTGTGTAATGAGTGCGATCTTATGTATTTGTCTGGAAACCGGAAGCCAATGCAGCTTGACGAGCACTGGACGGAGATGGTCAGATCTTTCAGTACCCATCACGACATTTGCCAAAGAGTTTTGTACACACTGCAGCTCGGTAATGGTTTTTGCCAGACATCCCGTAGAGTAGTCGGTTGCAATAATTGAGCCTTGTCGATACCATGCTACACGGCACCATGTTGGCTAAATCGCCGACAATCCTGTGCTCTACCACCACCCATGGCAGATTTGTGACAGAAGGGTGCCACCATTTATGTAATTAAAAATAAAATTGACTTGCAGATGAAGGACGTGCAGCCCACAGTGATGCCACTTTCCCAGGATCAGCAGCTGCCATACTACATGCCACAGGTGAGGAGGGACCTTCCTGGGCTTCATCTGTGGATTTTAAAATTGAACGCATGGAAGAGGCTCCTTGATACAGAGTATGCAATGTAATTGTATGCCTGATGACTCTGGTAAGGAAATAGCTTTTTGGCGTGGGATTGGAGGGTTGTAGGTGGCGAGATATCATTATACACTAATTCACATCCGCAAGCACCATTTTCAATATATGCATTCACTAAAATCTGTCTGTTTAATGAGCTGGAGGACCTGGCATATGCGTTTTTTCAACATTACTTGAGTTTCGTTGCACTCTACTATGTGTTGGTTAAAAATGGTGCTCCACATTTCCCATTTTGCCATAATTGGTAATATGTTTGACAGTCCTGATAATCGAAATACGTAGTTCTGGTTTTTTGCGCGTAAAATGTATTATTTTTTATTGTTACGATGTTACGATTTCGGTAAGAATATACAAATAAAAAGCCGATTGAAACATTCACGCAAACTCATCAGTGAACATTAAACAAATCGGCAAAACTCAAAGGTAACACACGTTCACAAACTGACAACAGAGAACCCTTTTTAACATGTTGCAAACGATGTTTTGTGTTTTCTTGTGGCGCTGCTGCAGTGATTAAAGTCTATACCAGTGGCTTATCAGAGCCACACTTGGCTCCCGGGCATCTCAACCGCGGCTCGATAGAAATGCGGGCTGTTTTGTAAACAAATAAGCAGACAACATATATCTTTCGCGTAACTGTTCCTTTTATACCTCCCATCAACCACAAGGACTTGTGGGAGTGCATCATTTTTGGCGGCATTGGTTCAATGCAAGCAAACTCTGGACTGGTTTTTGACATGCAGTGTCTTGTCAGCAGTCGGGCTTGCTTGAACCAATGCTGGTGAACGGCCAGATGTTTATAGACAAGGACTGTGTTATGTTCTTTGAAACCCGAGAAATCTGCAGAAGCAGGGGCAGTCTTGAGGCACTCGTCCCTGGTAGCACAGTGAAACATGAGTACTCCTGGGGCGCTCCTGCAGATTTCTAGATTCAAAACTCCACATCCAACGAGCACGAGTGAACCGGCCCTGGGCCCCACCCCCATCCTTCAAATGCCCCCCACTACCACTCTCTGCTAAGGAGTAATTTAGCCCTCCGCTTGTAAAATGGTGGTGCTGCCTATGGTCTCTAAACGAATTCACGGAGTGAAAATGCCACCCACAAACTTTCCCCACTGTCCACCACCAGCGCTCTGGTGTTGATGTCCTTTATAAAATGGTAGGAAACCCATTTTTTTTTCAAATTCTGTAAAAAAACGATTTCAAGTTCTGCAACGCACGTGAATACGAGACGGTCCTGCATAAATAGCGTCACGAAGCAGTCCTTAAAGAGTCTCGTGTGGCTCCAGACCTGCAGGTTTGCCATGCTCATTTCTGTAATACTCTGAAAGGTAAAGTATAAAGGTGCATCCTTAAATTTTTTTGTTTGTACCGCTTGAAGGGCCTCCACTAGAGTGAGCTCTAGAGAGCCCTCTATATATTTCGCCTACTCTTCCACACTGGCGGGATGTTTGGGAAGAGGTGGGAGTACCCACACTTTACCCCACCATATAAGGGGTTTTTTCTCAGCCACATGAATCAAAACTCGAGCCAAAGATGGTGCGTGCATATAAATTGCCAGTGTAATTTATTTTTTTGCTTAGGGTGCAACAATAGCAGCCAAGTTTGTATAATAACCGCATAAAATACTACCAAAAATCCATTGTTTATAGACGTTTTTTGTTAAATGTGCGTGCAGTTTTTTTTCTAAGACATGTGTTTGTATTTTTTTCTTCCCTCTCCTCTCTGCTCAAAGGGTAAAGTTCAAGGGTCGGAGGTGAAGACGGGATGGCTGGAGAATGACCTCGTGTCTCCCAGCATGTTTGGGTTCTAAGCGAGCCGTGACATTGCGCTAGAAATAATAGAATTAAAAACCTCTGCATGAAATGCTCCAAAGTTAAGAAGTAAAAACGTAAACAAGAAAAATGTGTACAGGAGGTAAAACAAATACCAATAAAAAAATTACCCAGACCGATCATTGGCATGGCTGTTAAAGGTCGTGCTTTTTAAGAAAAATGTTAGTATTTTAATTTGTTTTTGTACAATTATTTTTTGAGATGTGACATCTTTTGTTTACGTCTCTTACAAGACTACCTGAAAGTATTATTTGTAAGCGTGGTTTTTTTACATTACAGTTATGTGCAGAGTCACCGATTCGTTGGCGCAGTGAGAAAACTCTTCATGGGTATAACGATGACGACGACCACGACGGGATCTTTGCGTTTAAAGTAAACATTGGGGTCACGAGTCAGTGCCGTGCGCCGGATCATGCGAGCGCGGCTGCACTTTCCTCGCAACCTCGCCCACCTAATTTCTAGACGATGAAGCCATTTTTTTAAGCATTTCACAAAACAAGTACACGATGCCCGTGAAACCTTCCCTCCCCCCCCCACTCTCTCCGTTCCAGTGGATCGTTGTTGGGCTCATGTGTGTTTTTTTAAGTTATGTTAGATATTTGTTTTGTCCTTTTTTTAAAAAAAGCTTAGGAACCACTTCCATTAGACACTCGCCCTAAGCCCTGACAGGTCTCGCGTTGTTCTCATCTAAGGCGCGGTAACTGTTTTTAAAAGCGTTTGTGTAGCTGTGTTGGGTGTACGCTTTATTTTTTAACAAAATAATGATTTTTCTGTCCGTGTAAGTTAAGCCTGTATAGTAGATGGTTCCGCGGTTAGTAAAAAAAAAATTAGATTAAAAAAAATAATTAAAAATTAAGCGATACAAATTGTTTTCTTGTGTAATCCGTGCTGGCAGCCTATTTTTGTATCGTGAAATAGCCGAGGTCTTTGAGTTTGGTGCACGTGTGTGTTTTGACTTTGTATCCAATAATATTGTACGTGCACAGGGTCGCCTGTATTTCAGCCTTGCAAGGTATGTTCAACATGCCAACGTGTAAATGAAAATGCGAAACCACATTCAAATAAAATCTGTGTTAAGGGCCAATTCCATAAACGGAGAAACATGATTGTGTGTGCGTGTCTGGTTTTGGACCTCCCTTAGGTAGACTCAGCCTTAAATGAGTGTCGTGTGCTGCAGTGTGTAAACATTGGCACTTGGGGATACAAAGATGGGCGGATCATAGCACTGACCACCACCACCACCCCCTCGTGCGCTGCGCCGGCCTTAATAGGTGCTTGCGAACAGCACTTTCCCCAACGGACTGTGTAGGCTGTATGGAGGATTTTTTTTTTTCCTGCACATATGTGCCTGTTTGGTTTGCCAAAGGATGGCTCTGATTGCATAACAAATTGCTAAGGATTAAACATTAGGATATTAAAAGTGATTATTATAAACATTGTAGCATAAATGTTCACGTAGCCCTTGGTGATTTACATACTCTCAGAGGTCTTTATGGGCAGTGTAAAAAAAGAATATTAATTGATTATGCCTGCTTGAGTTTTGAAGGGACGTGAAATGGATTTGGGGTCATTCGGGAACCAATCCCGATGGTGTTTTTACAAGCTTTGCACGCTACAAATAGGCCAAAAGCTCATTATAAAAGATAAAATTTGAAATAATCCACTCGTCACAAAGCACGATTATAAAAATACACCTTGCATGCGAGCACGCAGACGTAGCCCTTTTTCAACGATTTGCTCCACGGTATTTTCTGTTTCTCCCCCCCCCCCCTTTTTTTGTAAAGCTGCACAGTTCCATGTGATCAGATGGGGCGGGCGGGGGTAACCATCGCAAATCGCAATTAAGTGTCCTCCACGCTGAGTTCTGGCGCAGCAGGTGAGATGAGTCGAGCGTCGCCCCCACTCCTCCGCTCCAGCTTGTGCTGCTGCTCTTGGGGTTCTTTCTCTCCGATCTCACTGGCAGTCATATTCTGATGTGAAAAGTGCTGCAAAGGAAGCGATACATTCTCACGTAAGTGACCACGAAGCTCAACTCCAAACAACAAGCATGCGCACGTGTACCGTGCGCACGTGTACCGTACGCACCTTCGTGAAAAAATAAAAAATGAAACGTATAAGTGCAGTCCTGCGATTGCTTCTGTAAGTGCTGGTGGAAGGGCCTCCACTGGAGAGAGCTGTCGAGAGCCTCTCTAGAGGGTGCCTTGCCCGACTCGTGCTGGCCAGCCATCCTGGAAGAGGTACCTGTGCTTTAGCTCCGGACGATTAACAGTGGGTGGACAGAGGCAGGGGAGGTTTAAGAAACTTGATATATTGGTCAATGGCCACGCCGGGAGATTGAACCGGTGACTTTTCGATTGGAAGTCCACCGAGTTAACCATTACATGATGGCATCATCTACTTTTGTCGTGCGTCATTTAATACAACCTTTTTAATGTAAATGTAAAAAATATAGTTTTCCAGAAAAATATACGAATGTCTGGTTGATAAATATAGCATTTTTGATAACAAATGTCTGCAGGATGTTGCACAGGATTTTAAAAAAATGTTCTTTAAATAACCTTTCATCCTCGGGCCCCTGCAGGGGACACGTCAATTTAAAAACCACCTTTAAAATATTTGCAGCAAGTGGACACATATGTCTTGGAATGCCATTCGTTACAAATGGAAATTTTCTTTCCCTCGATAAACCATCCATCGTTACAGCTACGAACCACGTTCATTCATGTCGCCCTATTCTCTTTTGCAACAGCAGACTGCCTCCAGAATTAATACCATCATCACCTGCATAGTCCCGATTGCTACCTTCTGATGGCCTTTTGTAAATTACTGTATTTAGGGTAAGATTACCGGTGTGGAACTGCTGACGGATGGGCGACACTGGCTTAAAAACGTTCCTTCATATATTGACCACAATGCAGTGCTGTGCTTGATAGGTTGACAATCGCGATTCTAATCCACGAACAAATAATCCGAATTTCAAGGACCCGGAGTGTACCAGCAATCATACTCGGATAATCCCACCTTTAATATAAATTACTTCTTCCATTGGTGGTAAACAATTAATATTACAATAACACCTCAATGTCGTGCAGCTTCGCAGAGTAATGTGTTTAGCCTTTTATCAATTCCGTTTTGAATGGTCTCCCCATGCTTTTCAGTCATGGGGGTTGTTTATCCATACTTTTCCACACTGAGAAGTGCGGATTGGTGCAGTAGGAATCACAGAACCTGTTAAAATATCACTCGATTTATGAATCGAACTGGACCGCTAAATCAAAGCAGTGAACAAAACTTAATTTCAATGTATAACTGGTAGTAATACGAACAGCGATGCAACGGCATTAACTACCATATAGCCTGAAGGGTTTATCATCGTGCATCGATCCTGCGTTTCAGCCATTATAAAGCCGTTTAAAACTAAAATAATAATCCTTAAGGCCCGGGCTAAAGCCTCTAAAGCCCCAGTGTAAATCCGCAAAGGTGTCCGCACGCACGCGCACATGCGTGCGTTCGTATTACGCACGCGCACATGCGTGCGTGCGGTGTGACGACCGCCGAGATGCTGGGTTCCATAATCCGCGCGAGCAACCTGAGGAACTCGGGCGCCCGTGAGATCATGTTCTCGAAGTCGGCGTACGACAGCTTGTTGTCGCAGTCAAGGTCGGCCTCCTCCACCACCTTGTCGCAGACGAGCGTCACCTCCTCCTCCGCCAACTCGTCGCGCGTCAGCTTGTTCAGCGTCACCACCAGGTCCTCCTTGCAGATGAAGCCGTCCGCGTTGAAGTCTGCTTTGGGGTAGAAGGAGGCGCTGTCAAGGGGCACACGTCCCACCGTGCGCCCGATTCGCTCGGGCAGCTTTTGTGGGGGGACGGACCGTTGCGTGCGTAACGTCTCGCAGGACGGACTAATCGTGAAACTTGGAAGTTGAAAAACCCCAACCCGCCCAACGACTGTCTCACATAATCACTCTGTGCTCTGTCCAATTTACCGGAGTTAATATACCTGGCCGCGGCTAAAACATCAGCGGCGAACGACGTCTGAACAAGTGCTGGGGGCCCCTCTCTCCTTCAACCCACAATGACCAGCGTTGTGAAGTATGGTAAAACAACAACCCCCGTGACTGGCATGGCATGGGGATGCCTTAATGCAGTTGTAGCTTGATAAAGGGCTGTTTAATTTTTGTTTCAACATGAACCCGTATCTATGCATTAGCTATAGATTGTAACCGGCACTCACAGCCAAATGTCTTATATTAACTCAGTGACATTGTCCTGCATGGGAGATTTGGTTGTTAAGCCATTAGCACGGTACTAACCCAGGGATCCTGTTACAAATATAACCAATTATGGTTAATCTGAAAACTATGAATTAACTTTATAATCAGGTATGTATGTATGTTGAACTCCTTTCGCACCGTACGTAGCTAACCATGCTAATCTTAAGTGGGGGTAAGCACCCACTACGAATACACGAGATCTGAGTTAAAATAAATACGTTTAAAAATAAAATAAAGAAGATCATTTGAATTAAAACACATAATACCGACACATTTAGAAAATGTACACACTGATTAATAATGCAGAAATCGTACGGATTGGAAATCGGTGTTGTTGAGAGACGTCGGCAAATCTTTGCGCGTGACATGGATAAATCTGCTGGTCGTTAGGATCGCCGTCGTTGTGCGGAGGAGAGAGACGCGTCGCGATGTCCGGTTGGAGCCGAAGGTCTGAGCCTTCGGGCCGAGGCCATCGGCGCCGTGGCCAAGAGTCGCGCGAACGCGGAGTCTCTTGAAATTCTCCGCGTGTCGCCAGCGAACGGTTAATGTGGATAAATGTGATAATTGTGGCAGGAAAAAATCCCCGAATTAGAAATGCCCTGCGGAGAGCACTGTCTATCACGCGGCTCCAGCGCATATTTTATACGCAAAAATAATTTAAATATTCATATAAAATAATTGTATACGTATATTTTCTATCTATTAATCTTAGACGCCGCGACGTGTGTCCATCCATCATTCCTTCATCCATAGAAAAAACACTGATGTCTTTCATAGTCTGTTTATTTACCTGTCTCTGTAGATTGCTGTAAAATCGTCTATTGGTAACAATCATTTATGTCACGTGTTATTTTGCTGTGTGCAATATTCCATGTAAGGTGCATGTATTCATTAACACGCCTTTATCATCACACGTTGTATTTGGGGGAACACAAAAAGAAAAATGACTGCTGTGATGTCTGGATTAAAATCCATTGGAGTGATATTGCCATGATGTCACTGAAATGCTATAACGGTGGGTTTAACTGTAATTTTGAAGTGTATATATACTGTACACATTTCTTTATCATTAATGACAAGGCCCGAGAGCATTGTACATGCATTCTGGTGGTCACATAACATGCATGCAAGGCATACGGATGGGAGTCGTGCCTTCTTGCTATGTGTGAGCAGCACCTCTGCCTGTTGTTATTTCTGGTGATGAAGCTTCAAACTGCTGCTATCCAATTAAGGTCACGCCCTCTAAGAAAAAAAATCTTCTATTTTGCAAAAAGGGAATATTTTAGTTGCTGATTTCTAGTGCAATTTCTTATCCTTGAACTACTTCGGGTTCTCGAGCAATGAGCAAAATGGCAAAGCATCTTTCAGTGAATTAACGACATTATAATAACAGCAGGAGTCCCTGATTATCCCAGCCGTGGGACCACCGTGGGACACGATAGGATCGAGGGGATCTTGGGGCTAGAATCAAATCCCCACCATAGATCTTGAAGGCGTAGTAGGCCTTCAGCTCGCGGGGCGCCATCTCACTGAACACTGAGAACATGTCGACAAAATCGTTGAAGCTCAGGTTCCCGGAGCCGTCTTCGCTGAACACCTCGACGATCCTCTGCTTGAATGGATTCTCCTGTCGGTCACACGGGAGAGGGAGAAGGCAGTTGGATCAGTTTCAATTCTCTCCTCCCATTCATTCTCTTCCCTCCCATTTATTCTCTCTCATCCATTCGTGTTTTGTCCACTGAGTTAAACTATCTTTTCAATACAATTTTGCAAAGGCAGAGAGGCAAATTCTGAAGCAATATTGACCATTGATATTTTTAATTTGGCAGAGTGTGATAATCTGGATTTTCTTTTTTTACATGCCAATGTAAGTTGAATGCTAATGCATTTTAAAATATTGACCAAATCACCCAGAATGCACCCAACCTCACAAGATGTCGGAGGTTAAGTATGGATGAGCTCGGATAATGTTTGGATGAGTGACCACTATTCATGAATGGTGATAGTCTGCAGGGCTACGTGGTGGACAGCCAAGGGCAGTACAGCAAAATATATGGTTGAACAGTAATTTTATGCTCCCATGTCTGTGCTCCCCGCCCTTTCCAACCCACATTTACCAGTATGGTGAAGTAGGGTCAAATAACTCTCATGATCTGCCTAGCATAAGGAGGGCCTCATGAAGTAGTGGACTAACAAATGGAAATTACACGTACATATATTTATATATATATATTTCAATTTGGCAATAAAACCAGATTTTCTTTTGAGAACTAATTTTTGAAAAAGTATGCATAAACTAATTTGATATTTTGTTGTGCACACATTGGTGATTGAGCTAAGACCATCAGCTCGTTTTCTGATTGGTGGTTGTAGCCCAGATTTTAACTCAGGATCTCAGCGGTGGCAACTTAATGCTGGAAGCCACTTGCCTCATAGTTTTCCTTCTTATTCCACGTCTCACCGATATCGTGGCATCCCACGTTTTCAATTAACGTTCGCCAAGAGAGTTTTCAATGACACATTCGTTCACCCTGTGTTTCTCAGAAATGATAATGCTAGCCAGCTGCAGACCTCCCGTTGAAAAGAAAAAAAACACGGAGGCTCTTCTAACCTTCACCGTAACCTTTCCGCAGGGGGACCCAATGGGCTAAAGCGAGGGCAATCAATTACGAGTCACACTCGGGTCCGCCGTAGAAATGCGGGCGCTAAGTTCACGCCCTGCGATGCCCTCCCGTCGTCGCTGCCACCACCGTCCTTGTCAAAGCACAGTCTCTCGACGTTTACACCGAAAATGCCGACGAGAGAAATTCTCGCAATGGAAACAAATGCCCTTGTTTACAGTGAAGCGAGAAGACAATTGGTTATAACATTTTGAAAGAGTGCAAATGGGAATTTAGGTTAAAACTAATGCAAAAGAACGCGCAATTTAATTACGTCCGTCGGTGAAATAAAAAAAGACGGCCATTCAGGCTGCGACGTGTGTACGATGTAAAGGCCATGGGTGAGCGTGGCACGGCGTGCCTGTGGAAATGACCTTGTCACTGAGTCTGCGACCGCATTTACGTTTCAATCCATCAGTCACACACGCCACTCCCACGTGTGGCTGGTTGCCACCAAATCAGCCTGAATGGATCTGAACTGAATGTGCCGAATATTCACTGATGCTAAGCATGGTTTAGCCTAGTTAGTACTAGTATGGGAGACTGCCTGGCAATGCTTGGTAGCATAGCCGTGGCATGTAGGTCCGGTCAGGAAATACAGCAATGGATTGCTGAATCTGTCTCTGCGGACCTCTGAGTGTTAAACCCTCATAGGTATGTTGGGTGTTCTTCCAAGTACCCTGTTTTCCCCCTAAATAATGCCAAATGCTTATTCATGGAATCAGCCAAATCTCCCCGTGCAGGTATCGTCAAGAAGAGTATTGATGCTTTCTTGGGCAAATACAGGGAAACACTAGAATATATTTAATTGCATTACTCACATTTAATTTAATGTATCTAAACTTAATGAAAGTGGGTTTTCTGCAATTAAATGTAGTCATTACTTGGCTACATTTCCATCTTATGTCCACTTAACAGTCCAATCATAAACAACACCTGGTATTCCCAGGCAGTTTCCCATCCAATTGGTAACCAGTCTCCCCTCCTGCTTAGCTTATGCCATGAATACATTCATCCTAATAAGAAACGTCGTTTGCATGTCAGTCACAGCACTGTCATCGTAGAGAGTCGAGTCAGGGCTCATTCTGACAAGAAGTAACCAAACATCTATGGCATTGATGATGAGCTACGCATGACTTATGACATTTGCCCGAGGTAAACATTTTACCAAATTTTGTAATTATGCCACCACTAGAGGGCAGCGGTGACTGGGTGGTGGCGTGAGTGGACAGACGCGAAGGAGGCCGAAGGTCACTCAAACAAAATGTGGATTTGGGTTGCCCAGATGTCATATGTGACCAGGTGGTGGAAGATAAAGCTTCAGGTCACTCATGCAATAAAGTTTTATGAATGTTCGTAGTTTCGAAAAATGTTCATCCTGCCCAGAGGACAGGCTGCTGCTGCTCACGGTGAAAACAAACATCGCTGTCTCCCGATTTGTTCCCACTGGAAAACACGTGTTCCCATTTGAGGTTCACGTTCTGGGTTCGGGTAACTTTGTTTAAAATAAATAAGGGGAGGTACAAATATTCACGTTCCCCAAATAGTGGTTCCCGTGGGGAACAAATGATTGTTTCTCAAGGAACAAATATTTCTGGGGAAACATCTCTCCTCTGACCACCTGCTCGTGAATAGAGATACACGGGGATGCGAACAACAACAACAACAACACCCGGGTCGCGTTGGGGTCACAGTGCAAGGCCGCTGTGCCGCTGATCACCTTGAGCTCGGGCATGTTGCATATGAGCTGCGGCGGGAGTTTGATGTCCGGCTCCTTGGTGTAGTCCATGGGCACCAGCTGAGGCGCCAGCTCGTGGTACCGGGCGTGCAGCCTGCGGTGAGACACACGGAGACGCGTGTGGATTGTGAACTCTCTCGTTACAAAATGATCACTGCATGTCAGCTGGGCCCCAAAGAGTGACCAGCATTGAAGTGAGAAAAAATGTTGCACGCAGAAGATCTGTTGCAGGCAGTGATGGGAAGGAACTGGCACTATTTGGACATATATGTAGGATGGACAACAACAGGAAAATGTAAAAGTGTGTTGTTCGGAAATATGTAAGGAACTGGAAAGAGAGGCAGACCTAATAGAGATGACTTGACGACATAACAGATTGGTGGCAGAAAGATTTGCACTACTTGAGCATATTGGCACAAGAAATAGAAAAGTGGTATGGGCTATCTGTCCATGGATCGTGATGTTGATTAGAGTTTTTGTCCATGTCGTCTATGACGTGTATTTGGTGGTCCAGAGCCAGTGGTGAAAATTTCCACGTCGCTATAGCAGAGACCAGTCCATTTGTAGGACAACGGCTGTGGACTTCCTACACTGTGGTTTAATTGCATGTGAGACCTGCAGCCCACGAACTCAAGTTAATGCATTGAGTTGATTTAACCACGCAGAACGATGTGCATTGTGTGTACAAAAGCTATGCGCCTTGTACAAGCCATGAGATCAAAATAACTGCACGTGTGACCGTTTAATCGTTTCGACCGCCGACTCATGAAGATGAAAAAAAAAACCCGTTCCCACCAGGCAGCAGTGAAACAAAGAGACAACTGTGGACCGGTTTCATTGTTCTTCGGGCTCATCAGCACAGTCATCAATGTGCACTGCTGGCATATGCCTCTGGGAGCCTCATATATGGAGAAAGTTGTATCATTTACACTGTGGGAATCCCATTCTGTTGTGATGGGTGTCTCGTCATTTACAGATTTGAATTATTCGTGATGCTGGCAAGAGTCCATTGAGGTTATTTATTAAATCAATGTATTTGCATTATCTATATAGGTAAGTGAGAGCCTTTCGAGATAATTTGATAGGCATTGTGTATTTTATAGAATTAAAAATATGAACGAGGGAGAGACTGTCCCAGTAAATATATACTTTTAATCACTGAATTAACAGGTGAAAATCCATTGAGATGTATGTTTTTTTTAAGTTGCAAATCCATGGAGATTCATCATTGATTAATTTAACAGGTGAGACCCATGTAGAACGTATTGTACGTATTATTTACTGGTGGGGTGAGCCACTTGTGGGGACATGTTAGAGGTGTTCTAGAAGGAATTACATTATGGAAATTGGCATTCAGGTATATGCTTATAAATTACAAAATATAAACACCATTTTTCTATTTGGGCCCCGACACATTATGGCGCAGAGGTTGACTGGTTTCACTCACAGGGCAGTCTCGCGCTAAGCACCTTACAAATACGCGACGATCCCCATCCTTGATGAACCAAGTACTTCGCCTTGCACGGAGTCTGATGCTGGAGCCCATATGAAGTGTACAAAGCCCACCGAATGTTACGAAATAATAATATTTTTCACGCCTCTGTCAATCCACTGCTGGATGGAGACCTTCCCCACGCCTTTCGGTCAAGGGGGCGCGGTGTGCGGGTGGTTGTTGGACCACAGTTAACCACGCCGCTCGGTACTGGCTGGAAAAAGGACGGGTTATCTCCATATATATAAAAGGCAAAGTTGTGAATGTGTGTCTGTTCAAAATGTTTAGCGTACTTCCCGACATGCAACAAACTGCAAATTTGCCATGTGGGTACTTTCCAGACTGTACACCATGCAAAAAATATTAAAATACACTTTTTTTGGGGGGGGGGAGGGAGCTCAATGATGCATAGATTTGTTTGCACGGCAAGTGAGCTGTGACGTCAAATCTGTCACGTGACCCGCGCATGTGGAAGCGTAACGCATTGTAGTGTAGTGGTTAGCACGCTGTGTATGTGTCTGTGTGTCTGTCTGTGTGTGTGTCTGTGTGTGTGTGGAAGCGTAACGTATTGTAGTGTAGTGGTTAGCGCGCTGTGTGTGTCTGTGTCTGTCTGTGTCTGTGTGTGTCTGTGTGTGTCTGTCTGTGTGTGTGTGGAAGCGTAACGCATTGTAGTGTAGTGGTTAGCGCGCTGTGTATGTGTCTGTGTGTGTGTCTATCTGTGTCTGTGTGTGTCTGTGTGTGGAAGCGTAACGCATGGTAGTGTAGTGGTTAGCACGCTGTGTATGTGTCTGTGTGTGTGTCTGTGTATGTGTCTGTGTGTGTCTGTCTGTGTGTGGAAGCATAACGCATTGTAGTGTAGTGGTTAGCACGCTGTGTATGTCTGTGTGTGTGTCTGTCTGTGTCTGTGTATGTGTCTGTCTGTGTGTGGAAGCGTAACGCATTGTAGTGTAGTGGTTAGCGCGCTGTGTGTGTGTCTGTGTGTCTGTCTGTGTCTGTGTGTGTCTGTCTGTGTGTGTGGAAGCGTAACGCATTGTAGTGTAGTGGTTAGCGCTACGCTGCGCTACGAACCCGGCGACCCGAGTTCGATTCCCGCTCACGGCCACCATCGGTGACGATTATTTCAACCGGTCACGGGCCTCCCCTAGGTCGACTCAGCCTCAAAACGACTAACTGCTGTGGTGTGTGAACATCGCCACTGGGGGAGACAAAAGCGGCCGGGTGTGGTGGATGCAAGTCCCGGGAGTAGCCGGGTAGTACAGCTAGTAACTAATAAACGACACGCCCCGTTGCAATGGAGATCTGGGTGGGTGAGACCCGGCCGTGTTTTGCGACTTCGTTATGAATGAGCGCTCCAGGATTGCCGCTGCGCCCCAATAGATTTGCGCATTGTCGTGAGCCCTCCCTCGCTCATCGAGCAGCGAGAATCAGGACAGCGTTAAATCAAAAGCCCATTTTCAGCGGCGCATCCTCGCTGGGTCACCAGAGGTCAGGTCGAACACGGTCGGTACACGGGCGATTAAGGCGGACGCGTGGTCCTCAGGTGCAAAGATTTGGAGGGCAGGAATGGCTTGCTGGCTAAATTGCTTCCTCTCATTCATTTACTCACTCACCAACTGGCTTGGTCATTCACTGACTCGTACATTCACATGCACACACTTTCACTCACTCGCACGTTTAACCTCACACTCATCCGCCCAACTGTTTACACACACACACGTCTTCACTCCTTCACTCACTCATTCATCACACACTCGATCACCTACTCAAACATTCACCCACTCACTCTTCATTCACCCACTCACTCATTTGCCTGCTCGCACATTTTCCCACACAGTTATTCGGTCGCTCACTCACTCACACATTTAGCTAGGTAATAATGAGATAACTAATTGATTTTACTTATTAACTCAATCATTCTTATTCATCCACTCACATGCCTGGGCACACATGTGAATTTATACGCGGATGCGGATACATTAAGAAAAAATAAGGCTTTTGTGTTGTTAACCTTGGGTTCAAACAAACAATATACAGTAAAACATTCTCAGTGAAAAATACTGTAATAAAATAGTGAAAAAAAACCCCTCGATACTAAACAACGTCCCTCATAAAAATAATAATAAACGCGAATTAACTTTCCCAGTCAGGCTGGGTCTGAATATGGGGCTGCCTCCACTCCACCCTGGGTTGGGATGTGGACTCGAGAAACTCATGCTCGAGAGCCTCGTCATGCAACAAGCCGAGCCACACCTCTGCCTTAATAAGAGTGGCCCGACTCCACACTCTAAAAGCGATCAGGAGAGCTTTGTGTTTGTTGCGGCACGATTCTGGCGCAGGGAAATGAAGTAATTATCGCATTAATAGCGTCCACAGACCGTCGCGGTCGTGGCTGCGTCAGCGTTCCTTGGGACATTTTGCACAAAATTGCGAGAAGGCCTTAATCAAGCGACGGCGGTAAAAATAAAATTGACCGTTTGTCATTGCCCATGGCTGCTGGCTGACAGCTTCTCGTCAGGAGCGCTTCAGCATCGTAAGCCGCCGTTATTATTGGCGCGGATCGTCCGTTCGAATGTTTACATTTTCCTCTCTGGTGTGAGTGTTCTGGCTGTACTGTGGTGTTGTTCGACATGATGTCGTCCGACGTTTTGGTGCACGTGCTGGCAGCTTCTTCAGGAAGTGAATTGAATAGTTACATGTTCTCACCTGGTATGTAGCAGTTTTAAGGTGCGGGTAAATACTACTCAGTACTTATTGCTACGTCCGGGAAATATTATCTCTGTCCTTGCGTGTGTCCGTCAGTTCGAGGACACATCATTTTTTTTTCACGAAAACTAACGAAAACCCTAAACCAATCACTGTGAAACTAACCACACAGCTCACCAAGATCAACTTGCAGATCTTTACCATTTTGAGGAGAGATCGGCAATTCAGCACTCTTCACAAAGAGTTGTTTAACATGCATTAGATAGTGTGCACGTTGGCTAGCCATCAAACAAAGATGGTCACTGCATCGCGCACCTTCAGATGCGCTTCTGCGGCCGCATGGAACGCTCTTCCTTCCGAAACTAGGAAGCCACTGGAGCTATGCACTTTTAAATCTAGGCTGAAAAATACTTTTCTTTAGAACTGCTTTTAGTGTTTAATTTGTTGTCCTTTCCCCGCACCTCCGATTAGCACGGTTGGCTACGCACGGTGCGAAAGACGTTCAACGTGCATAAATACATGCCTACAGGAAACAGAGGCTCACTTAAAAAAAGCTAGCATACCGGTCTATTATCTTCAAACCTGCCTCTATTTTTTTTGCCACACGACGGAGTTTCTCACCGACCGGAGCTGACATTTGTCTGATTATATTATCAGATGCTGCTGGTCAAGAGAGCCACACTCAGGTCTTCATCGATACGAACATTTGGCCTACAGGGTGGGAGGTAAGTCCGTAACCTCCCGTCTTTAAAATCTCGTGTCCACCCTGCGCGCATTCTGCAGAGACGTGCAGGGGAGAGCAACTAACGAGAAACAAGACAACATGTTTTTGGCAATGAGAGAGGAGGGCGGGGGGTGGCATGGTTGGCTGGCCGGGGAATGATGTAATGAGAATGGCTTAAATCCAACACGCGTCTGTAACAGATCATTCCACCTAAATTTACCTCGACGCTGAGCTCACTTACAGCCCTGCCAGACTGAGCGACGTCGCCGTGTCTGTGACTATTATGGCTGTTTTTACTTTGTAGCGTTTGTCCAGGAAAGCATCAAAGTTTTAGCGGGTTTTTCTTTCATTATCCTGCTCTGGGCGTTTAGTCGTCTTTGAGTCACGTTTGTTGCCAACGTACGTGTAAATCGGAGTAACCGAGACAACCTCAGAACTACGAGGGGATAACACTCACATTTGAATCCGCCCTGCAGATAGGTCCGCAGCCTACTTGCTGTACTGCCAGTAAATATGGAACGTTATGCCAACGTTGATCCAACGAATCTAACCACATGCCAACGTCGCGTGCTAACTGGGCTGTAACCGACTGAAGCTCAACTATCTCCACTGGCACTTAACTGCGTTTCGCACAATAAAGTAAGACACTATGGGTGTCCCACACAGGCCAAAACTGCTGTTTGTGGGCATGCACATGATGCGCCACGCGTATGCATCACAAAAAGGGCGAGAAAGGGGTGACGAGGGCATAAACAATGCCCTGAGCCCCACAGGTTTGACCACCCTCTTGCTGCGTGCTTCTTGTGGCGCACAGGGACAGCTGCCACTTGGGGGTCCCCTTGGCTAAGCTGCAGCAGGCCTTGGAATATTCGAGATGAGATTGTGATGCAAAAGGCACTTTGAGCTGCTGAGGCATCGAAGCGAGCGCCCTGAAAATACAAACCCTCATTCGTTGCCCCTACGAGGGTGGCTGTCGCGGCAACTATTCGCATAAAGGTGTCTTCGGCCACCTCAGCTGTGCGTGTGTGTCTGGATGATGGTGAACTTCTTTCGCACCGTACGTAAGCCAACCGCGCTAATCGGAGGTGCGGCTGGCGCACGTCTTTGGCACGGAGCGCCAGACCGCACGGCGTGTTCGACCCGCCCTGGTGTCGCATTTGACCGGCGCTGCCACGGGGATTTGTCCAAACGAACAGCGAGCGGAGTGCGATGCCCTCATCGGAAATTTGACCCCGCCGCTGATGCCACTGCCACCGCCGCCGCCGCTGCTGCTGCTGTCGTCGCTGAATAATTTAGACTCGCGGAAATGATAGCGGCCGCCGCTTGTTAAGCACGTGCTGGAGAAAAGAGAATTGCACACACACTGAGAGAGGATTTCTAAACGTGCAGGCAGGCGAGGCCGGCTTTCAGTGTTGTCGGAGGAGCCGAATGGGAATGAACGTGGATTCAACCGCTTGATCGCCTTTGTCTCAGCGAGTGTCGCACGCTGTGATTGAGGGTGAGGTTTGTGGGAACCCCGTATATACCACAGCAGTAAAAAAAAATGTTCTCGCTTTTTGAGAGTCAACAATGCGTGACTTTTGTTTTGCTTCGTCAGATTCGATTGATTTTTGTTGTTTTCAATTCATGTTTTGACAGCGGAGGCTGAGACATTCCCCAGCCAAACTCGTTGTCGTAATATCGTGGTCAAACTCTGATGAGGAAAAACAATCTTTACAAATACAACGGAAGCGATATGGCTCGTCCCATATAAACGACTCTAAAAGCATATTTGTTTTTTTCTTTGCAGAAAAATAATCAAAGCCCGGGTATTAAGTTTGCACAATCACGCTCCCAGTTGTGTTGTTCTGTCGTGTTGAAGGATCTAACACGGAATTATTACACACGGGACAAAGACCAGGAACTAATAGTTACGAGGTTTTTTTTGTCGTCAAAGTGTGCAATTGCAAAAATCAATTTTGGTGAAAATGTCTCACATTGAGTCCGTGTGCAAGGACAACCCCTCGCTTAAGCCCCCCAGGCATCCTCCCCGAGCCACCCGCATCGGCTAACTCCACGTGGATTGTGAAAAGCATCGGAGAGCAACATTTGCAGTGATCCGTGGATTGTGCCTTCAATCTCTGGGTTTGTTTATGAATTTCCCCATTGCGTCGACGAGTGCTGAAGGAGGCTGAAGGAGACTGGAAGGGGGTGAGCCCCCTCCACTCTTTTGCAAATGTTCATAGTCAAGTAAAAATAATGTTGGTTGGAGGGTGTTGGACAAAATGCAACAAAAATGTGACGATTTTGATTTTAAGCTTTCGTGACTGCAGGAATCCATACTCTTTGGTTCTTTCGGGAAAGTCACGTAGGTGGAAAATTAATAGATCACGACGTTTCGATCGCAACACAAGCAATCGTCATCAGGTGAGACAACTAAAGAATCATCAGGCGACAGCCAGATTTGTGGAGAAATCCTCCTGTTTCGTTCCTTAAATAGAGTGGTAGATGTGATGACAACATTTGTGAGCAACTTCAATTTGAGTACGACGCGAAACATCGTACTCACATTGTACATGTTGTGGCTTTGCTCTCCAACACACAGGTGTGCTGTACTAGTAACGAATTGGCACGTTCTGTTTAGGTGACAAACCTTACTAATTGACTTTGTCAGGTGGTGGCGGGTTTAATGACACATTTATATATTTACGCGATCTAACCCCAAAAAAGCTATATTATGGATGATATTCGTCGCGAAAGCCTATGTGTTAAACTTTGATCACTGTATTTATCTATATATTACATTAGTGTCTACTTTTCATAGACGATTTAATATACAGCCATTTTTGTCAATGCCGCTGCTGGATGAAGGCCCTCCCAACCATGTCGGTCATGAGGGTTGTTTGACCATACTTCACCACAAATTTGTCAGTGCGAGTTGGGGGAGGGGGTGACCAGGACTGGTTTAGATATTACTCACCACTGATAATAGCCGTGACCGGAAATCAGGATGAGTGGTTCAAAGGGCAATGCTCAGACCACTGTGCCACCACTCCAGATAATCCACACTTGTAAATCATTGATTCTCACATTCATAGTTCAATACACGTGTCATGAGCTTCATAAACTATATTATGCAGCGAATCGATTACGTCTCGTTTTTACCCAACTTTACAGATGTGCCAAAGTTACCACCTAATGGGTATCACAAACTTACATATGAGTCACTGCAAATGAGAAACATGTCCCTTACAGATAAAGGTACAGCCCTGCAATTGCTTGCTCACGCCACTGCTGTCGGAAGGGATTCCGCTAGAGGGAGCTCTAAAGAGCCCCTCTTGAAGGGATTTGGCCTCCTCTTCTACACTGCCCAGACTTGTGGGAATGCATGCATGTTGAAGTTCCTTCGCATCGTACATAGCCAACCGTGCTAATCGGAGGTGTGGGGGAAGGACAATAAACTAGACACAAACGGCAGTTCTAAAGAAATTATTTTTCAACCTAGATGATTGAAAAGTGCATAGCTCCAGTGGCTTCCTATTATCGGAAAGAAGAGCATTCCAGACGGCCGCAGAATAGAATTTGAAGGCACGCGATGCAGTGATCGTCTTTATTCGATGGTTCGCCAAAAGCCACTGCGAGGATGACTGGGGTTTGCGTGATGGTTTATGCGTGATGATCAACAAGGTATTGCGGTTCATTTGTGGCAAGAAGCACTTTGTGTATAATGAGTGCGACTTTTTAAAAGGTGGGAAGAGGTGGGAAAATCCACACTTCATCCCACCACACTCGACCTTCCAATTCACCAACTGGTGCACGCACCAGTGTAGCATCGGACGCCGTTGTACACGACCAGACCTGCCTGCACTCTACTACAGATAGCGTTTAAAGCCCACGTCTACAGGCGCAGTGATAATGATCTTCAAAGGTGTAGACACCGCCTGCCGTTAATGAAGCCACCACGTTGGTGGGCTTGAGAGATGGACGTGAGGTTACGATGGGTGGAGGAGGGGCGGGGGTAGGGGGTGGCGGGGGGGGTCTTTCCCACTAATTGGGCACTCACCTGAGAATTTCCTTTCTTGTGAAAAACGTACAGTCCTGCGGACACAAAGAACGACGAGAGAACGGTGCAGAAATTAGCCAGCAGCGTCGCGATGGCGCATGGGCGTCGACACGCACAGGCGGAACAAAAAGCAGTTGCACGATTTTAGCGCGCAAAAACAAAAAGAACGAGTCCAATGTTAACAATTTGCAAAGCGAAACCAAGTGCATTAAAGAGTGTTCATGTGCGCCTCAGAAATGCCACGACGCAGGGAACTACAGATGACTGCCAAAAAACGCCTCGCGTGATTCGTTGTTATGCTGTGATATTCGACGCTTTATATTCTCATATTGCACTGTGTCCTATTTAAAATTTTATTACAAATGTTTTATCAGATGAGTGCTCTTTGATTATTTTGCAAGGATACATGAGTGACCTGATACAGTAGTTATGTAATGGAAATCAGGCCTATTATTATTGAATTACCACTTTTATATTTCACTCAGATGTGATATTTGGTGCCTTGGTGCTGCCATTGATTTGCCCAGGAAGCCTCTCTCAGTCTGAAGACTTTTCACGTGGGTTCGGCATAAGAATGGTTGGCCAATTTCATTCGTGAGTATTCGTCTTCATGTGGAGGGAAACCGGAGGGAAGTCTGGAAAATATCCACACATCCAAGGGGTGACGATCAGCACGACCATCTTTCTGGATAACTTGCAGCCCCAAGCTTACAACACCTGGAAAGCCCTGGCGGTCACCCATCCGAGTACTAACCAGGCTCAACCCTCTTCTTAGCTTCCCAGATTCGATGAGATCGGGTGCATTCAGGGGATTTGGTGTACGCACGGAATATCCTACACGCCTTAGCCGTGTGTTGCGATGGGTGGTGTGGTAGAGTCGATGGGTGGTGTGGCAGAGTCGATGGGTGGTGTGGCAGGGTCTCTTCTGTGTGGTACCCAGTGCTTCCAGACCCTGTTAGGGGTTGCTATCTCATCCGCTCTTTGATCCGTGGGGGGTACCTATGAGCATTACGAATTTTAAGAGGCAACGTCCTTTGTCTGATGATGGTATTTTGGATTATCCCATAATGCAGCCATTTATTAGACACCCTCTGATATGTCTCATATCATCTTCATTACTCCACATAAAAATAATATGTGTTTTATCCCACCAGCCGAATGGCTGGACTACTGGACTATTTCTATCCAGCAGCATAAGTTAAAACAGCAGAGTCAGGTTTGTTAGGAAAACACTGCCAGTTTGCAAAATGTTATTGGCAAAAGTACTCCCTCTAAATGGCAGGGCCCTGAAATGGAGATTAACGGAATAATGGCGTTTTATTAATTTACTTATATACACAAATTGCTCCATGACAGCATTTAGAGAGTTTTTATTTTATTAAAAGTGAGATCATTCACACCAGTTTTGGCATATATACTTAACATGAACACACGCACAGACGAAAATCATTCATCTATGATCATAGAACAACGGCATGTGTCAGCAGGACATGGTCTTTTAAATGCTGCTGCGTTGTCTGGTGTTATTATTGATCCGGTTGCACTCTGCTGATGAGATTCAGAAAGTTGAAACCAGTTAGGGTTTGTCAAATGCTGCATTACAACTTGTTTCACCACCAGAAATCAAATAGGCTGACGGTTTTTGTTTATATGCAAGTACAATACTGTACAGCTTTTCTGTCAATCCACTGCTCAATGAGGTCTGCCGCAGACCATGCAGGTCGTGGAGGTGATGGCACCATACCCCACCACATTGCTCAGTGTCGAGTTGGTTAAGATAAAGAACATAGATGTGTGAGCATAGAAACATAGTGCCGTACAACAATGGATTTTGGAACACAACCTATCCCCGCACACTGGAACACCTGTTGGTGACTGCCCAACAAAGAACTATCTAGGCTCATCCCTGCTTATAGCTGTCGAAATCTGACGAGATTGCGTGAATTCCAGGTGATACGGTCATTGGAGTCCGCCAATGTATTTAAACGCGAATCAAAAGGCTGTGTAGGAACACGGGGCCCTTTGCTGTGAATTGTTGACTCGGAAACCGAATTTCACCTTAACCGCCGCATCATAACTACACCGCAAAGTGGCAGCGTACTGGAGAGAGAGGTGGGGGTACTGAGATTCACATTATTCACCACACCGTGCCAAATAATAATTGCACGAGCGAATTCACTCCCATGTACTCGATAAGGGAGACGAAAAAATCCGTCAAGCAAATTCAACGCGACTGCGGTGGGACCCCCGTTTTATTGGTGTGACCTGCAGAGCGAGCGTTCTGTTTAGGGTTGACCAGTGCGGGTGGTTTTTTTGCGCAGGACAATTGGGACGTTTTTCTTTCATGACCGTAATGAGATGCGACAATATTAATGAGTATAGAACATGGGTTGGCAAGAGTGATCCACAGTGTGAGTATAATGCGTGCGGGTGGTTGCTGATCGTGATGACGGTGTCGGACTCTGTGTTGACGACGATGATGATGATCATGATGCTGGTGGTGTCCAGAGATGGATGATTATGGCCATGGCAAAGGATAATGGTAAAAGTGTCAGGATTATGCCTGCTGTTGTTTTTGCTGCTGGTGACGATGTGTCCATATTTCGCTAAAAGATAATGCTCGTGATCATCGTCAGCGTCGTTGTCATGCTGATCACAATCATCATCACAATCATCATCAATTCATAGTAAAAACATTTTGGGTTTAGATCGCGTAAATATAAATGTGTCGTGAACCCATCACCACCCGACCCAGACAATTCGTAAGGTTTGTCACGTGAACACAATCAGTCGCTACTTCAGCACTCCGAGTGTGTATCGGAAAGTAAACCCGCAACATTTACAATGCGACTATCATCACAATCAGCATCGACACGACAACGACGCTCGAGTGATCACCTGCCGGGGAGCTCACCTGGTAGGCGTCTAGTTGCTCCTCGGTAAAGATCGTCTGCTTGTTTCCCATGCCCGCCTCTCCTCGCTTGCGCGGCCCCGCACTCGGGCAGGGGACATCACACGGACGAATTCGGCGCCCCCCGGGGTAGAGGGGGGCAACGGTGGTGGAAGCGGCGGTGGCGACAGACGTCGGCGGAGATGGAACGGGTTGCTGCTGCTGCTGCTGTGGCTGTTGCTGCTGTTGCTGCTGCTGCTATGGCTGCTGTTGCTGTTGCTACGACGGCGACGGCGGCTGCAGTGGCCCACCGTAGCGAGAGCCGCTACCCCATCACGCAGGGCGAGAGGGACGCTGGCGGCGCGCGCCGGGGCGAACACTCGCGACACCCGAGCCGGTCCACGCCGCCCGCGGCTCCTTCACTCTCCTGCGCCGCGCACAGCAGAGATGAAGTTACACCTCCTTCATTATTTATACCGCGGAACAAACTAGAAAGAAGGCGCCTTTTATTAATTTAAGTATTTAATTATTGCGATGCGCAACAAGAACGATGATAGCAACACGAGCGCGCGCGCGCATAACAACAATAACAAAAAAACCCCAACACAAAACGACTATCGTAGTCAACAACAAAAAACCAACTCCCCCCCCCCCCAAATAAAAAAACAACATTTCCTCCCGCGAAACTTTGGAGTTGAGTTGACGCGGTTGGGTTGCTGTTACGCACGTCGGGGTTCACTGCCAGCTCCGTGGCGCCCCGGGCTCCCGCATTGCGCTGTTGCTGCTGCTGCTGCTGCTGCGGCTGCACGAATCGTGCGGTGCCCCGCGCAGCGAAACTGTTGCGCTCCAAAGATCAACCCCCCCCACACACACACACACACCGCGCCCGTCCACCCACCCCGCTCCTTCCCCCATGGTGTGTGCGCAGCGTGGTTGATCCACACACCAGCGCAATGCTCACCCACCCCCCCCCCCCCCCCCTGATCCATCCCTCCCTACCTGCCTTCTTAATACAGCCATGGCCCCCGCCCCTTCCCTCTAGATGTTCTGCAATCACCGCCGGAATGAGACACGATCCCCTTTTTACGCTTGAAAGACCACGCTCATTCATCTTAGCCGCACACGCGTTTACGCACACGCGCGCGCGTGCGCGCACACACGCACCCACACACTGCAACAGCAGCCATTCGCCACAAAGTGGCGTTGACGCATCCACAGCGATTGTGTCAGGCTATGTGCACCTTGAGGCCACGTGAAGTGTGGAAGGCTCGCTGCTGGCAGGAGGAGGTCACGGGAGAGCCTCAGATGCCATGGAGTGAGCGACAGAGATGACTGGCAGGTGCACCACCTGTGCCAACTTGCTGCGTTTTATCCGCCCGGTGCTCCGCTCGTTGTTGTGAGCGTCGCTCCTCTGCCCTCCGTTGTTGTTGGAGGGAAATTTCCACCAACTGCACACACACATGTGCGCACGCACTCACACACACAAAGAGAAATACAGTATCTCCCTATAGCATTACCAGACTGTTGGGACAAGTGCAATTAGCGAGCATCTGTGAAGACCAGCACGGCACACGCGGGGGTTGGGTGGCCAGCACCACTGCCGGCCGATTTACTCTACCACATGGTGGCGATGCTTTTTAACACATCGCACGAGGCACTCATTTGAGGCTGAGCATACCTTAGGGAGGTCCAGGACTGGTTCAGATAATCGCCACTGGTGTTGGCGGCTGTGAGCGAGAATCGAACTCGTGGCGCCAGGTTCGAGGCGCAGCACGCTCACCGTTTTATTATCGCTCCCCACGCAGACACACACATGCACGCACACGCACGTGCCTCTACACAAGCACATATGAACAATCAATCGCATGAACAAACACACATTCACATGTATGCAGACGTGCATTATACGCACGCATAGATGCACACGCATCACTGATGCAAAATTTACGCACGCTGGTAAACGCACGCACGCAGACACACTTGTGTGCACGCACACTCGGTCATGTGCGGGCAAAATTCACTTTCTCGCGAGTACCCATGTACTCGAGTACATAGGCAAACTTCCAGACACGTGCAAACATGAGCACTCACACGCACGCAAGAGGACACAAACTCGAACGTACACAGCCTCGCATAAGCTTACTGAGAGAATGCAGAGAGGCGCCCCGTGTAGCCTTTGTAGACTGACTTCTGGGGCAAGAATTGTTCATGAGCGTCTATCAAGGCCTGTACGGTGCACGGAGGTTGGTGCGACCAGCAACGTGCACGTCCGCCTTTGTCTCCCCAGTGCTGATGGTTCTGCACACCGCACGGGGTGCTTACACGAAAGGCTGAGCCAAAAAAACTAAGAAGAGGAGTCCAAAACAGATCCAGATATCACTGGCGACTGACGTGAGCCGTGGGGCCGGGGAATCGAACTCAGGTCGGCGTGTTCGTAGCGCATTGCGCTAACCCCTGCGCCACCGCTCCCCGCGCGTACACGGCACAATCTCTGCTCGGAGGCGAGCGCGCTTTGGCAATCAACGGGCACGCGATGACAAAATACCAAGCGAAGAAGGGATGAGAGAGATCGAGTTGCCTGTGCGTCCTAACTCATCGCACGTCGGAATATAAGCGTGGCCGAGACTGTAATGTGCGTACGTGTGTGTGTTGAATTTCTTTGGCGCCGTACGTAGCCAACCGTGCTATACATCGGAGGTGCGGAGGCTGGATAGTCAATGGGATGGGTGACCATCGGTGCATCGATAGGGCAGCGGTGTTCGAGGCAATGGGGCTACGTGGTGAGCAACGGAGGGTAGCCCAGGCAAAAATCCACTGTTGTAGTGTACGTCCGTGCTCCCACGTCTATGTGCTCCGCGTCTTGGCCATCTCGAGCTGTCCTGCTCGCTGCTGAAGCGTGGTCAATGAACCCTCACCCAGCAATGGAAGAACCAAGGATGGCTACGCAGGTGTACATGAGTGAGAGCCGTACACGGTGGGGCCGCGGTTCTGTACACAACATCGCCGTCTGCTCTAAAGTGGCATCATTGGCACTAATGCCCGTGCGTTCTGCAGTGTGGCTCACGCGTGTCAAGGTGAGACTGCGATGGCAAATGTAAAGGTGTGTTGGAACTTTGTTGGCGCCGTACGCTGCCAACCGTGCCAATCGGAGGTGCGGGGCCTTTCAATTGCTTATCCACTCGACCGCTGGCGGAAGCGCCTCTACTAGAGGGACCTGTAGAGAGCCTCAATGGAGGATGTTTTTGGTAAACTCTTCCACGATAGGCAACACGTCCTGGAAGAGATGGCAGTCACCAAGCACGTTACCCTGCCACACATGACCTGCATGCCGATGGGACTCAATTGCGGTGAAAGCCATTTATAGTTTTGGGTGGACAGAGGCGGGGTTCTTGAAGAGACGTGGCCATTGTTCTCAAGTGCCCTTCCGGGAGATGGAACCGGCCACCTCTGGATTGCAAGTCGGGTGAACTCACCATGACACCACGGCCAGTATCGTCGCCTAGATATTGTTTGGTACAGTATTAGTCGCATGGGGGCGGTGGTGCAGCGGTTAGCGCACTGTGCTGTGAGGTGTGAACTCGGCGGACCTGTGTTCGATTCCTGCCCAGGGCTTACGAACACCTAATAAAGTATTAAAGCTTTCGTGACTGCATAAAATTACTCATTGTTTTTTTCGGTAAAGTCACGTATGTAGAAATACAATAAAATAATATTAAAACAAAAAACAATCACGACGTTTCGATCACAACGCAAGCGATCTTCATCAGGTGTCAAGAACAAATCACGGAGGTAAATACAACAAAAAGATGAGAGACGAGAATTCAACAAACCTGAAAAAACATTATATGAAGCACATCCAGTCAGGCCAACACCTGGTGGCGAGTGATATCTGAACCCGGCACTAGCTTCCCCCATTCTCCCCACCGCTCGTGGGCCCGCTCTGACCAGTGTGGTGAAGTATGGTCAAACGGCACGCATGAGAGACGCGGCGTGGGGAGGCCTTCATCCGGCAGTGGATTGAGGATGACCTGTATAGTCGCCTCGTTCTTTTTCTGTCTCTAAATATTCTGTGTGCCATTTATTTACATGTTGGCTAATTTGGAAATATGAACTCTGTGTGGTGGGTGGACAGATTTTGTCAACGAATTATACACGCCATAACACTCATTAGATTCATGGATGGGGGTGGCCACGTTTCAAAGTCTGAGCATCATCATACACATACAGCCCGTGTTGTCAGTCCACTGCTGGATTATGCATATTTGACCACACTTCACGCTGACCAGTGCAGTTTTGCCCTCTCCTGCCCATAACGCTTATTACGCCTGTCCTTTGCGCATGCTAGTGACCCATCTAAGCACACTATTCAATTAACACAAAAAAAACACAACACATTCGTCAATAACACTGTGGCCTTAAAAGGAAAATATACAATAAGTGACGTTTCGGTCTCGATATTGTCAGAGCAATGGACATCCTTCATCGCACGTAAATTTACGTGCGATGAAGAACGGGCATTGCGCTGACAAGACCAGGCGCCTTCCCGGCGATTTGCTCATTGGCAAGTGAGCATAAATGAAGAAAATGTATCATCACCACCACGTCCTTTATTTATAACAGAAGCGAGCGAGCCCATTGAGACCACGAGTTTTATGTTCAAAGTAGACCCGAGTCAAAACACATGGCGGCACCGACTATGACTGTAGATTGTGATCGATACGGCAACATCACCACCACCCCTGAATGTGTCAGATCTCGTGGGATCTCAGAAAGCTTAGCTGGTTTGACCCTGCTTGGTCCTGTACTGGCTTGGGAGATTGCCTGGGCACACAGGAAGCAGGTGTTGTAGGCTTGGTCTGCCATGTGGCCAGGAGATGGCGGTACAGAAATCCGAATTGAATCTAAATGTGGCCGAGTGTTTTTATTTTGCGTTATATCCCCTCGAGTGCGTGGTAGGGTTTTTCCGTGCAATGTCTTCTCACGTGAAGCTACTCATTGACATCTCAATGTAGGACCTTCCTGAAAAAAATAGAGTAATGAGACCTTGCTGGGTTAATAAACGAGGCTTTCCTGGGTAAATAAAGGACATTACTATGGCCATCCAATCAATCCTTAGTTCCTCTTCCCCACGCTCCGCATATAGAGGCAACTCATATGGGTAGCTGGGGAAGCACTCAAGTTAAAGAGGTCACCACGGACAATGCAATTGATGCTTGTTTGACCATACTTCACCACGCTGGTCAGTGCGGGTTGGTGACAGGAGGTGGGGGGGGGGTGCTCCTCGGGATCGGTTCAGATATCACTTGCCACTGACGTTAGATGTGGCCGGGAATCAAACTCGCATCTCCGGAGTTTATTGCACAGAGAACCAACCGCGACTCCACCGCCCTACGCTCGTGTGTGTCCGTGACTGTGTGCGTAGGTCAACTCGGCCTCAAATGAGTAGCTGGTGCGGTGTGTAAACACCGCCACTTAGGGAGACAAAGGCGGCCGGGCGTGGTGCTGGCCACCGGCCCCCCTCGTGTGCCACAGTGGCCGGCCTTCATAGGTGCTGCTACTCCCTAACAGTACTTGCCCCTATCGTCTGTTACAGGCTCTACGGCGCGATCGTTGTCTTTGTATGTCTAATGTACGGTATGTGCTGTATATACACGCAGAGACACTACGTGTTTACATGTATGCAAGGATTCATTTCAGCCGGAGCTGCCCTGGGCTGAGCTGCGGCAAAACATCCCTTCCCGACTGACCGTCGTGACTCCAAACAATTTAAGCACGAGAAGTTGTCCCGCAGTGAGATCACCGCACCCCTCTGTGAACCCGCTCATTCATTCCTTTAATCCGACACATTCATTCATTCATTCTTTTCATCCGCGCAACCCTCCCGCTACCACCACCACCTTCTCTCACTCATTCCTCTGCCTGCTGAGACCGCTTTGACCAGAGCGGATCTCACTCACTCCTCCTCCAATCGAGCCGGGGTGGGTGGGTGGGGGTGTGAAACCCACACACAGACACGCGCACAACACACGCACACAGGCGATTCATCATCACTTCAGTGCGCTCGAAGCTGGGACGATATAGCCGGCATGGCCACGCGTGTCTTTTTCAGGAAGGTAAGCCAGGTAAGATATAAACACAGCCATCATTGTCATCATCATTCATCATCGATACGCCAGCGAGACCTGGCAGCTCGCTGGCCGGGGCTTAGATCGTAATTTGTAATTATTGCTGGACACAGATCCGTGAAATATCGACGTGCATCGTAACTGTTTATCGCGCGCCCTCGTTGCTCGTGCGTGTTCCGTGCCGGCTCCGCTTCGCAGGTTACACAACAGCGTCACGCGTGCGTGCATGCCGCGTGACCCACGTGCTGTGTCCACGTGCACCCCAGCTAAATCCGGAGAATTGCCGCGTGCGTCGCCAGCTAATCCGTGCCCCCCAATGTGGATTACTCAGAACGTTGCCCTCGTTTCGTTCTGATGCAGACGTTGATGCATGCGCAGACGATCGGGAACGAACCCGTCGTCGCGCGTGTTGAATGGGCGAATTCACTCTTCAACGAGCCGGTTGGGTGGCTCTGGGAAGGTCAATTTATTCACAATTGTTATGAATTCATTGTTAATTCCACCACCGCTTTTGTGAATCGGCGAGCGGAGAAAATTGCCATTTGAGTTCGAAGCATGCGGCAGTGACTAATGAAATAATGAAATAGATTTCCGCAGAATATGACTTTTCCCGCGCCAGTCTCTAGGCTTTTGAGAGGCCGGTCATTCATTCATGCGCCTGGAATTGTGGCGTTGGTGGTTTAGCGCGCGGCGCTTTCGACCCAGTCACCCGAGTTCGATTCCCGGCCAAATAATTCATCACTGGCGAGCGATCTCTGAACCTCTTCTGGGCCTCTCTTTACCAACTCGCACTGACACGTGCGGTGAAGTTGCGATTATAGCGACGACACCGCGTAGGGAAGGCTTCCATCCAGCAGTGGATTGATATGGGGACTGTAACTGCGTTGGGCAGCGGCATTCGTTTAAGCAGGCAAGCTGTAGGAGCGGTGTTGAACCTTCAGGGTCTCAGTCGTCCGTCTTGTTAAATCACTTGCTGCTGGGTTGCGACATTGCATGACGAGACCGCTCATTATATACAAGACTGGGCACTAGTTCACGTAAAAAAGCAATATGTATTTAAATTCGCATACCGTATGTACTTGATGTTGGGTATTATGAGTAAATAATTCTCCATAACAACGCTAATGAGTTTGTATACGATATTGATTTTTTGTGTGTGTTGAACAGGGCATCGCACTTTTTGATGGAGTGTGCCTGCCAACAACAAAACACCAGTTATCGGCATTTGTTCAAACAAACCGGACTGCTGGTGAGACCCACAAGGTCGAAAACGGTCCAGTTGTTTACTTGCTTAAACGAATTCTGCAGGATAATATTGTTCTGGAAAAGCCAGTTGGCCACTGGACTAAAATATGTTTGTATACGTGTGTTCATGTTTGGACTCTGTATAGAAACTGCGTGGCTTTGCGGCCACGTGGTTGAACAATGAGCAGTATCCGTGGGTACGAAGACCTCCCCCCCACACCCCCCATGGTTCACCATTAAGAGCAGCAGAGGTGATTCATTGTTCACCCTTTATTATGTAATGGGATTATCACCTACCGGGATTGTAAAACGCATCCCCAACTTTTTCTTTACAATAGAGGCGGAAACATGCATCTTATAATGCGAAGGAAACATTGTGTTCCCTCCACTTTCGAGGATCAATAACAATAATGATTAACAGTAGTCCTTTGTAAAACTACTGTTGTATGAAGGTCTCCCCAAGAGGGTTGATTGGCCATACTTCACCACGCTGGTCAGTGCGGGTTGTGTAAAGGGGAAGGGCCAGTTCAGATATCACGCGCCACTGATGTTATCTGTGACCGATGGCAGTTAATATACATGAAATAACAGAGACTCGTATAGTACCGTATGCAAACCATAATGAGGGTTTATTTTTTTTAAAGATTACACGTTCGCATACAAGCTTGGTGGAACGTTTGGTAAGGAAATTAATGATACAGTATTCGATCATGTTATTCTAGAAAAAAGTCAAACTGGCAGATAACATTTTTAAGGAACTGTAGTTTCATATTCTTGGTTCTTTCGGTAAAGTCACGTAGAAGGGAAACAATAAAATAATAAAAATATAAAACAATAAAATTCTCACGACGTTTCGACTGCAACACAAGCAATCATCATCAGGTGTGAAAACCACAGCACTTTTTTTCAAATTTTCTTGCTGTGGTTTTCACACTTGATGATGATTGCTTGTGTTGCAGTCGAAACGTCGTGAGAATTTTATTGTTTTATATTTTTATTATTTTATTGTTTCCCTTCTACGTGACTTTACCGAAAGAACCAAGAATCTGAATCCCTGCAGTCACGAAAGCTTTAAATCAAAATTGAACTGTAGTTTATGAAGGTTGCAAGGTTCTGCCTTTTTAGACAACTTGAGTGCGAGTTGTGGGTTGTTCAGACTGGTTGACAAAGGGCAGAGGCGGTACAGCACCGTGGCTGTGTGCTTGTGTATCTAACATCCACCTCGCTCTCTTATCCCATAAGCATCCGGGTCTGTCCCGTGACCTGTCCAGGCGAGCCTTCGACAATTCACGTGGCCTCAAATCACACCTTGTCTGGCGCAAGCTCTTTGCGGTGACACGTTATTCTTTTTGGGTCAGATTTTTATTGGTTTCATTGCCACACTCTTGTTTAATTTTATTTTTGGTGATCCCCCCCAAGTCACTCTTGCAAGTGAGACTCATCCTGGTCTCTGGAGTTCTCAGCTGGTCAATCAAATTTGAAGTTGATGCCACCGTTACTGAGTGGCGGATGCCGGCTGTTGTTGTATCGACTTGTCTGAGTGTGTGTTTGCATTGTTGATTACTACTCGGTCTAAGTCTATGTGTGTATACGATTATGTATGAGAGTGTCTGTGTGTAAGAGTGTGTCTGTGTGTGTGATGAGTGGCCACAACAAACATCAGTGATGAATGAATATCTGAAACGGTCTTGGGTTTTCCCTAAGCCGACTTGGCACAAATGAGTGCCTGGTGCTGTCTTTAAATGTCAGCAATGGGGGGGTACATTGGCAGCCGGGCATGGTCACGGCCACACCACTCCCTCAGCACATGCCCCAAAAGTCTGCGTCGGCTACACGGGGGATATTTGTCTTTTGTGTGCACCTATGTGTCTGCGTGGTTCTCTAAGTGACTGTGCTGGACTGGTCCAGGCCGCCGTGACTGCGGTTGACCGTGAACACTGTGCCTACCCGTGCAGGTGACACGACTCCCGGCAGCAGCGATTCAGCTCCAGCACCGGCCGTGCGGCGAGCGGGCCTATAGCCAACAGGTGACGCACTTACGCGCGCACACACACAGACAGCGCTATCCTGTCCCGTGCAAGTCTCGGCATTCCCCCTCCAATCACCGGAGACATCGATACCCGTTCACCCATGGAAACTTCTATTTCCAACTTCCCTGCAATATATATTATAATTAAATAGTTCTAGTATTAGTAATAATGCATTTGGAGTGCTTTGTCAATGCGCCGCTGGATGAAGACCTCCCCCACGCTGTGCCGGTCCAGTGTGCGATGGTGAAATTGTGGGAAACCCAATATCCGTTCGGATATCACTCGCCACTTGATGTTAGCCTTGGTTGGGAATCAAACTCGGTGGCCGGTTTATCAGCGCAGTCTGCTAACCCCTGTTCTCCATCGCTCTGTAATCTTAATTTATGCACTTCAAGATATGAAGATGCTTTACAAGGGGCAGCACAATCGGACAACACTACCACAAACCATAACAGATGGAGCAGGTGTGCTACACGCCACACGCGGGCAGGGATAATTGAGGAGAAACGTGTTAATGTCCTCTTAGTCGAGTCAATGACAACCAATGGAAGTTTAGTTAAGTCGGAGTCTGTGGATTTCATGTAGTCCTCCTCTGAGTCTAGTCAACTAAAGCAGTCAAACATTAATCCACCGTTAGTTATTAAATGTCCATGTGAGGAGTGCGCAAGACATCTCCCCCATTATTATCAAGTCAATCATTCAGTGAGCCCAGTGGCAATTATTTTCTTCTTCTTCTTCTTCTTTCAGCCTACTTCAGTGCACTGCATCCTTTAATAACATTACGGAATTATCTTAGTCTGCATCCCAACCGCGAAGTTGATTTTGTCTCATCATACGCGGCCTTTGGTGGGCGGCAGTCATAGTCATTGTCACTGGCAGATAACATGTTTGGCTACGTACGGTGCGAAAGAAGTTCAACATACATACATCACACTTGATGATTTTTGTCCGCTCTTGTCATCATTGACAAAAATTAAATGCACGTCTTGAATAACAAACATTTCTGTCGCAGCACACACACACAAACGGCCACAGTCACTGTGACCTAACAGTGCACACACTAAATTTTTACTTGTGACCACAACTTCTCGGCATCAGCCTAATCGTGTGCCATCTTGGCAGATTGTGTACTTGTGTGGCCCTTTCGCTGGGTGAGGGCCTCCGTATATGGTCGTGAAGGGTTATTTGACCATACTTCACCACGATGATTAGTGCGGATTGGTGAAGGTGGAAAGCGTATAAGCACAGCACAACATTGCCCTCTGCTTCCCACGACTTAGCACAGCCCCGCAGCCGCATTTGACAAGCTGACATGCATGGTGGTCGCTCATTCAATCACTATCCCGACTCCAAACTTGCTTGGCTTCTGAGAACTGTTGAGACCGGGCACATTCCAGTTGATTTGGTCATAGGCTTTCGTGGACGTGGGTAATAGTATAATAAGCAAATGGACAACAGCTATTTTGTCACCAACAATGTAACATCATATACACGCTTCGGGCAAAAGTCCCTCCAAACAAATGTGATCCAGTGGCGTTGATCTAATCAGGCAAACCCAGAACCAGTTTCAGCTTTCTGAGTCTCGTCGGCATGGTGTGGCCTATTCATGTAAGAACATCAAACAATCGAGGAAGCATTTGTTGAACAGGCCAGACATTGCCCTTGAAACTCAAAGAAGTCGAAACCGGTTCAGAGTTTTCCTGCTTAAACAAATGCTACTGGAATCATTGGTCCGAAGGCCCATAGGCCCGACGCAGACCCATGTTAATTCATCGTTTCAAAACCCTCCAGCCCATTTGTCCCCCATTCAATCACGCTAATTTGGCGCACTCACAGCACTATGCCTCTCGTAATCTGTGGCTGCCCTCTGGTGCTGCAAGAAACCGTCCGGCGTGTCCACGCATATTGGTCTCCATGGGAATGAAAGGTCAATGGCAAGGAGGGAAACAAGGGCAATTGGGACACCACAAAGGGCACGTGGAAGTCAGGGACGGTGGGAGGGAGGAGGACACTCGGGGTCGTGGGAGGGCGCGCCGCTTGGCCCGGCTGCACGTGACATTCCAGTGGCACGCGGACGCCGGTTGCATCTGGGCGGGAACCGTGAGCCCTGCAGGGTCGTGGCTGCTGGGTCCGGCGACGCTACCTGCGGGGTGTGGAGCCTCAATGACGTCGACGGACGGTTGTTTGCGGGTCTGCAATTGCCAACGTAGGCAATTATGATTGGCGATTTTCTGGTCCTGATAAGAGGCGAATTCTGGGGCAGGACAGTGAAGCTCGTGATGAACATGGGGGCCGAACGCAGTGTTCCGTAAATAGTATGTACATGTATTGAAATGTGCAGCCCTTTGTCAATCCACTGATTGGATAAAGGCCTAACCATAACTCCCGTGTCACGTTTGTGGTTCGGGTTGCTTGACCATAGTTCACCAAAGCGAGCCTTGGTGAAGGGCGGGGAGCCCAGATGTCACTCACCGCTGATGTTAGCCGTGGCCAGGAATTAAACTAATTAAATTCAGGCCGTTGGATTTGTAGCATAGTGCACTACTTGCTATGCCACCGCTTTTCTGCCAGCGCATTGTTATACAGATTCATTGTTATACAGATTCATTGTTATATAAATTCATTGTTATACAGATTCATTGTTATACAGATTCATGTACAAGGTGAAGGTTCTTGCCTATAACAAATCTGACAAGGCTGGAGGCCTGGCTGTGCCGATGAGAGTCAGAAGGTCAAAATCAATCAATCATTTGCTGAATAACATTGGTGTGGAAGGCCAAAAGGCATATGGACAAACATAAATTGAATGTAAAGTGGAAGAGACAGACTATGTAGTATTTTGATTTAAAGCTTATGTAGTATTTGTTAAGTAAGCAGGGGCACAGTGGTAAGCGTGCTGTACTATGAATCCCGATTTCTGTCCAAAAGCTAACGTCACCATTGCATACTGAGCAGTGTGGTGAAGTATGGTTAAACAACCCCCATGACCGATGTGTGCCCGGTTTTATACGTGTTAGATTTAACGCCTGATAAGTATACCGTGATTGACTTAAGCTTAGTTGCGGTTAATTGTTAATCATTGGTTAGTTTTTAACATCATTCAGTGTTGCTAACCACTACGCTATCGTTCCCCACATGCACACACAGAGACAAAGAGACCATGCACACGCACACACGCACACCGCCCCGAGTTCTTCTTTGCTGAGAGTGACGGTGGCGCGCGTCTCTCTGCCGCTGTGGGTGCCAAGGTGCGGACGGTGACGCTTATTCCCGGTGATGGCATCGGACCCGAGATCTCCGACTCCATCGTCAAAGTCTTCGAGGCTGCAAACGTGCGTGAGCTCAAGGGATTATAAAGCCTGTGATGGCCGGGGTGGCTCAAGCGTCAAGACCACTGAGCCGGCAACGTTGAGATTGTCTAATTCGAATCTCGGCTTTCGCCACCCGTGATTAAAACGTGCTCTCAAGTTGTTGGTCTCAGCCTGCTCACCAATGACTGCGCACAAAAATATAAATCACGTGTTGAGTTGCACTTCATTTGGCTAAGTTCCAGCTCTGAGAATAAAAAATGTAAATTTCGATGACATGTGACTGAGATTTCCCAAAAGCAAGGCGTGTAGGATAAAAAAGTAACTTTAACGAATGTCAGAAGGAATTTTGTGATGCCACCTTCCACGGGCTGTTCTCCAACACCGGGTGATGCACTGCTCTGTATGAGTTGAGAGTAGATTCTTCATTTTGTGGCATTCCACCTTTCTGGCATTTTTTATGAAGTGATTTTTAAAGTTGTTCACATTGACTTTCTGAAGTATTAAATCTTTACTCGAACTGGTCAATACACATTTAATACCCCCCCCCCCCCATTCAAATACACAACAGGGTGACGCTCATCTCCAATTTTCAGCCCTGAGCCAGTGCTGAAAATTCCACATTTTTATGGCAGGGGCAAGTTTATCCATAGGACAACCACCATTGACATCCCAATAATCGGTACTCCCTTTACCAACCGTGGAGAGATGATGGGCTAACTTCACACCAGGATTTGGACTCTTAAACCTTACAATTGTGGCGCTGGGTGCATGCATACCTATAATATTTTTGCTACATTTCAAGAGTCGGTAACAATTACATCAAAATGGCACTAACTTTCACATTCATAGCTTATTTTTCTTTAACCGGATGAGAACTCAAGAGACGAGAATAGTGTCAATAGTAAAACTGATCTGGAATGCTGAGCATGGGTTAAGCATACAGGAAGCGATGACAACGGTGTCACGCAATGACACATTAACACAGAGCAAAAGCAGAGCCCGTTCCTTCCCCGTGCATTCCTGCGGTGTTGCCGCGGAAGGCGTTGCCACTGAACTGTGTGCGGTTCCTCCCACAGGCCCCGATCCAATGGGAGGAGAGGCAGGTGACGGCCATTAGAGGGCATTCTGGGAATTGGATGATCCCCAGCGATGCCAAGGAGTCCATGGAGCGGAATCTCATCGGACTCAAAGGTGCGTGGCCACGGGAGCGACTCAGGTCTCCCTTGTGCTTCACGGCCTGGTCCCCAGCAGCAGAAGGGCCCTGTTTAGCAGTTGCTTTTTTCGTGGTTACTTTTGCATTTTGAGATTGAATTGCATTGTCCAGAGAAAACCTGTGCTTGAGAGGAGCTCGAATTCAAATTCTACACAGATACACCTCATAGACATTCAACAATTGAGTCAATGATTAAAATAGATTTTCGTGTTCACGATGCTTATGTTGTATCGTGTGTTTAATCATCTTTTAGTTTCAATTAATATATCTTGTACGTGACTGGTTCATGGAAAACTTGCAGCTACTACGAATTTTTTTTATGTTGCACAAGAACAATAAGACAAAAATTTCCTTACATTTTTCCCAATTCAAAGGTAAATTTTTAATCAGATGACAACTCAAAAGATCATGATGGTCTTAATTTGCAAGAGTTACCTGGATCACCAAAATGACCAAAAGGAAATTAAATCAAATAAAGTGCAGTAATGAATCAAATATAAATCAGAGCAAAAACAACTGTGTTACTTGATACAAATGTTTGCTATTGACATCATGCCATGAGACAATCTGTCACAGGGCAGTACATCACACCATGTTGGAGGACAGCCCGTCGAATGAGCTATCAAAACATCTCTGAGACCCCTTAAAGTCACCTTGTTTATCTGCACACCAAGGGGTGAAATTTGCCACATGCCTTCCACAGAGAGAAATGTTTATGACATGGTTTATATTTTATTTTCAACACTGAATTTTATTCCATAACTTCGTGGAAAATCTCATTTAAAGTGATGAGTTTTTTTTTCTTCTATAGCCATCGGTGACTGACCTGAGACCATAAACTTGCTAAATTTGAGAATTTGGTTTGATACCAGATGTCTTCTGGAATTGGAACTCATAATCTCATCGGTGTCAGCTCAATGCCCTGGCCTCCTGACCCATACAGCCACCTAAGAGTAATCAATTGTTGAATGGAATCATGATCCCGAATAATGAAAATGGAATTGCGGATGAGATGGCGTGTGGGCAGTGAACTCAAGACGAAAATGTTCTGTAAAGTTTACAAAGCATAATCATAGTAGTTTCACGATAGCCTTTGCGCTATAGGAACAGTGCAAATAGAAGAAAAAATAAATCTTTTTTTCAACTGTTATTTAATTGTGCTCCCCCTCTCACAGGTCCGCTGAAGACGCCCATCGCCGCGGGCCATCCGTCCATGAATCTGCTGCTGCGCAAGACCTTTGACCTCTACGCCAACGTGCGTCCGTGCGCGTCCATCGAGGGCTACAAGACCCTGTACAGCGACGTGGATCTGGTGACGATCCGCGAGAACACGGAGGGCGAGTACAGCGGCATCGAGCACGTGGTGCGTGACGCGACCACCGCACACCCCGCACGGCGGACCACCACAACAACGCACCCCACAGCCCATACCCCATCCCGCACCCAAACTCGCCCTTCACCCTCCCCACACCTCCACACGCCGCACTCATTGCGCCACCGACCTCGTGGCAGCATCCGTCTCAGTTGGCTGTCGTCGTCCAGAGGCGGAACGCAGCCACCTTCCTGTGATGGAAGCCAAGTAACCCTTAAGAAGAGCCCTCCAGCTGGCGCGTGAGCGAGCAGTTGCGAGGCTGCACTTTCACCTTTAAATATCTTATCATGACGGAAAACAGTTAGTTCACAGAACAATCACTGTTGATTACACTGGTAATTTACTTATAACCAGGGTAATGTGAAGAACGCTCTTGCCAAATCCTATTATGCACATTTATCCGCAGAAAAAGATACTCCTGTTATCCACACAGTTATCTATGGATGAATTCGGATTCTATAATTACTTCCTGATGACTTAGGAAGTGGCAGCACCTCCAATTAGCACGGTTGGCTATGCACGGTGCAAAAGAAGTTCAACATACATACATACGACTCCTCTTATCCGCAGAATAATACAGATAATAGGATGAATTTAGTGCTTCTGGGAGACCCCTTTGAGGTGCCTCTTATGTTAAACACGGAGAAGAGGATGAACCTGCCCACACTCCCAGGCGACTCCTATTGTCTGCCAAACAATGCGTATCATCGGAAAGATCCATCCGTGGTTAATAGGACGTTCTTCTCATTTATTGAGGGCACAGATAATATGGGCCTTGGAGAAGAGGTGTTCTCTGTATCATTAGCTCAAAGCGATACTACAACACTGACCACAGAGGGATGATTTGCCGAGTCAGTTCGACAGGGTGTCGAACCTTAATGGGAGGGAGCTGCTCTTCCACAGTAGATTCCAGCCTCCTTGCATCCGGCTCCTCGCAGATTAAGGCCATGTCCCTGGAGCAAACGCACTCAATACGAGAGGAGATTGTTCTGTCGTAGTGGACGTCGGTCTGTGACTCTCTGTACTGCCACCGTGAGCTCCGTATGAACCAATCATGAAACGGATTCATGCATTTCTAGTAGCAAAATAATTCCAGACAACACAATAACATTTATGATGGATGTATTTATATATTTACCGTGTCACTATGGATACACACGTACAGTGTATAACATATGTAAGTGCGAATTCTTTGCAGGACCCTCCTGAAAGCGAAAAGCTCTGGGAGGCTGTCCTGGGTAAACGAGCAAAATAAATAAATAAAACTAATTCCGCTCATAAAGAATATCCATCGTAATCAATTACAGCCCTTTGTCAGTCGACTGCCGGATGAAGTGGCGCTTGTTTGGCCATACTTCACCACGTTGGACAATGTCGGGTTAAGTGACGGGGGGAGGGGTGCCCAAGACTGGTTCAGATATCACTCTCTGCCAAGACTCCGAACTCAGGTCGCCGGGTTCGTTGCACAACGTGTGCATCACCGTGCCGTCGCCCCTCCCCAACCACCGTCAACGTGTGCACGGATAGATACTCTGTGGCTATTGAGCTTGAGGCAGTGCGAGGCCTCGACTCAGGTTACTACCTGTGCAGTTTTTGTCCCAGGACATCCTCTTCTTTCTCTTTGTGGCAGCTGTCTTGGAGAATACAAAACTCTTCCCAAGGCGTTCAAAGTCACGGCCTTTGTCAGTGGCGTAAACATTGCACCACTCAAGACGATGCATTTAAACGGAGTTCTCTCCTCAGCTGGTATTGAGATATTCTTCTTCCCATGATATGTCCCAGTTTTTTTTGTGTGTGTGCCTCCGAGGTGGCAACCCTGCCAGCCATTGAAATGCAGAAGTAGTTTCGCTTGTACAGATGCGGTCACGTTTAGACTCTTTGTACAGAACTTGACAACTGGGAACGTATTTAGAGTCTACGGGGCGGAGGCGATGGCGCGGTGGGTGTAGCACTTGCGCTGTGCAACGTAAATAAATGAATAAAAATCCCTATAACGGCCAACATCAGTGGCGAGCGATATATGAACCGGTTCTAGGCACCCTCCTGAAACAGCCCACATTGACCAGTGCGGTGAAGTATGGGTCAAAAACCCCAATGGCGGATTTCTTTATTTACTATGGTGTCCCCATCATCTATAACGGGGGTAGGGGAACTCGAACTGTCAAAACGATGATCCCATATAAACCGACCTGTAGTTGCTATTAGGGTCCTACCACATTGAAAACCGACTCCACTGTTCAAAGCATTGTCCTAAACGTGGAAACACAAGCCAATTATGCACGTACATTTTTCCCCTACCAGCTTCCCGTCGGCTTCAATTCCTCTAATGAAATACTCACAAAGCCAACCGCACGTCGGAACAGCAAATTTCCACAACTTTTCAAGAATAAAAATGTATATCTATCCATATCTAATCCTGCCTGGCCGTTTGTTCTCTTGCTGTGCCGAAGATCGTGGACGGCGTGGTGCAGAGCATCAAGCTGATCACGGACACGGCGAGCAGGCGCATCGCCGAGTACGCCTTCGAGTACGCGCGTGCCAACAAGCGCAGCACCGTGACCGCCGTGCACAAGGCCAACATCATGTGAGTGCGCGCGATCCCACCCCACGGCGGCGGCGGCGGCGGCGTCTGGATTCAACTGCAGGTTCCCTGCTGTCACACGGAGGGAGGAGCCTTCCGTGCTCGCCACGGGGAGGAGACAGGAGGAGGGGCGGGGGAGATACGAGGAGGAGTAAGAGGGAGGATGAGGGGGAGGAGGAAGAAGACGACACGAGGAGGAGAGAGAAACGAGGAGGAGGAGGAGGGGGAGGAGGTAGACACGTGGGAGACACGGGGAGGTGAAGGGAGACGCGGGGAGGTGAAGGGAGACACGAGCAGGTGCGGTGAGAGTGGTGTCCAAAGTCCACAGCCTTGTTTACGAGCGGACTGTCTGTCACCGGGATTGGCTGTTGTCTAAGCACCACATTGTGTCGTCGAACAAGTTATTTGTAGCATGGATAGGATGGACAAAAATGTGGCCATCCTATCCATTCTAAAAAAAATGCGACTGATTCCTTCCAATAACAGGCAGTTATAGTCAGGATGCTAAAACGCATTGCATCAATCAATGTGAGGAACAATAGCATTTTGGAAACGGTAAGTTGCTCACCGCGAATTTTTTTTTGAATAAAACCACGCAACATTTAAAATTGTAATGAGTTGAATAATCTTCTCCTGCCGATTAACGGAAGCTCATTGATGCGATGCTAGCGACGTGAGCTGCCAGTCGCTCACGAATTGCTCTTCGTGGCGGTAGAATGCGTCGCTCACACGAAGGGGCTCCGACAGCAAACACGACGTCACAGCAGCTGTCGACACGTCCGACGTCCGCACCCGTCGCTCGTAAATAGAGTGCTGCCCGACTCGTACCGATTGTGTACGCAGTCATTGTGATTATAGTGCACGATGGCTACAAGTGGCTTCCCACGACCAGAGATTTCCACTTGTTAGTGTGGTGGCTCAACGGTCGGGTCGAAGATTCCGAATTCCAATCCTAGTTCGGCGGCTGACTCGGCCCATCGTCCGTCCGGGAGCGATAACCATAAGTACCAGGTTGTTGGGAAGGCAAGCGGTGATTGTCTGATTGAGAGACTAACCCCTGACATAGTAAGGATTAATTTCTACGCCAGCCTCAAGGCTGCAAACTGGAGATGAGCACCTAGCAGGAAATCACTGTCACTTGACTTCTATCGGTGACACTCATCGCCTGGGACCTGGGCTTCAGATTGGACTCTTGCTTTCGTTCAATTCGGATTGCACTTTTTCATTTTCTCCAGATTGCTCTACAAATAAGCGGACTTTCAATTTTCAGGCCACGAATGCATTTATTTATTTATTATGCAAGTTTTTATTTTATTTGTAATGGCCAAGTCATATATATTCCTCTCTACAGTCATGATGAGGCAATATTCTGAAATTTAAAATGTTCATCATACCACGTAATATCGCAACGATTTATCACAGTACTGTACGTAATATAACCAGGAGTGGATTGACGTTTGAAATGCAAATGGTAACGATGGAATATAAAGCTGATGGTCAATTTATTTGTATCAGTTTGACATAATCCCCTACGGGAGAGTGAAATGGGAATCATCGTCATCAGCCACGATCAATCCACTGCTGGATGGAGGCCTCAAGCAATCGCAATCACTCACGGTTTTGCGATGTGACAATCCACCTTCGTCGTACCTGCGCACCAGCTGATTTTACTGCTCCGTCTCCACGGCAACCCTCCTTCCCGACGTGTCCCCGAATGGGAATGATTCCGTGGAACGTTCAGTGATTAGCATGCACCCTCGACTGCCACTATTGCTTCTATTACCACGACTACTGCTAATGAGAACAACATATGGTTCTCAATTGTCATTTAAATACCCATTAAAATTCCCATGACTTTTCTGCCCGCTTATTTTTGTCACAGTGTGTAACATTGTTAAGAATGCTAATTATTTACCTAGTGGAGCTCCACTGAATCTGAAGACAGGAGGGTCCTGCTGACGCTGGAAGGTTTGGACAATTTAATGAATGAGCATTTACCGCCACGACGGAGTGAACCGGAGTAACCCAGAGGGAAACCCACCACGACTATCAAGGGGTGACTCTTTAGCACTGCCACCTTGCCAGGTGCAAGCTCGAACACCGACATCTGACGACGGTGTCTGTCGGGGTGATTCACTGTTCGCTTGCAAAGCCGACAGCGTTTGAAACAACAACAACAACACCAACAGAGGACACGCAAAACTGCTCCGGCGGGCTCTCGGCTCGTTCACAGCGCTCCGTGATCGCAATCACCGTGGGCGACGACGTCATCGCGGCCCCTTTTGTCCGTGCTCCCCTATCGATGTCCGTACAGCCGGGCTTGCGCTCCGGTTTGTGCAAGCCGGGCATCTGCCAGCTGTGCACACTATTGCCTGGCGTGGGGGGGGGCCCAGTGTTTGCCAGCGCAAGGAATGAAGATTCATGAGCCTGCTGTCACCCGTTTTCCCTGGCGTGGCCGAGGCGGCCGGACTCATGGCCGTGACTCGCAGGCGCAATGAAGCTCGGCCATGAGTTGGTTCCGCTTTTGCGGATAATCCTGGTTTGACTTGATCCGTGTATTGTAATGTTTGCAGCGACATTATGCAGCTATGCTAAGTTGTAGCCAAGCAATGATTTACCTACACCCCCCCCCCCCCCCCCTGTCCTGTGTCCTGCCAGCGATTTGATGCATTTTCCCAATTCGGCAGTTTTGATTTAATTCAACAATTGGGTCTGTCTCTTCGCCTCATTTGTACCGTCTCATTTGTAGTTTTTAGCTTGTATTTTTGTAGTCTGCTCTATTACAGTATCCTACGCTCCGTTAGCCTAAATGTAACGTTAGAATATAATGTGGCATACATTTAAAGATGAAATTGTCGCATGCACTAGACTATGCACGTGTTGTAAGGAAAAATAATCGATTCTAATTTAAATGATCCACCGTTACACGCCTACTACGCAGTGTTATCACAGCCCTACAATGTCTGAAGAAACAATCGGTTTTCTGTTAAATGATTTTGGTTCTGTCTTTCTCTGATACGTGTGTTGATAAAACAAGCGTTGTTGATCAGTAAGTATTGTGCTGTTTCCTCAGAGGAAATAGGTGGCATTTTTACAAGAGTGAATATCGGTGCACCACAAATTCTGGACCGGACTAATACTCCACTGGAACCGAATATCGACTAAACGAATTTTATTTTAAGGGGTAGCCAGGTGTTTTGTGTGTGTACATGTGTGTACATGTCCGGGCGTAGTGCCGGCCACTCAGCCGTTCATGTGCCGTGCCGGCCTTTATAGGTGCTCACTAACAGCACTTGCCCTAATAGTCTGTTAAAGCGGCGCCAGGTTGTTGTTTTTTTCCAATGCAGAAGTTGAGCCGCGTCCCTCGCGTCACAAAAGCAATCAAGTCAGGACGCACGTAGATGCAATGGTGATAGGATGTCTTCAGAGCACGCTAACAGCCGTCACGCGTAATGAACGTGTCATTAGCCCCGCCCCTGGCCCTGCTTGGCCTCGACCCAGATTCAGGTGTTTACAGAGGTCGGCAGCCTATTGGTATTCGGCTCGGCCTGGTAAATAACCAGTGGAAAACTAACCATATTGTGTGCCACCCCCCCCCCCCCCCCGCGTTTTCTCGCCGTGTTTGCTTGGCCGCGTGGTGTTGTAAACTGCCTCTGTTGTCGTCACGTGTCCTGGCAGGCGCATGTCAGATGGGCTCTTCCTGCGCAAATGCCGCGAAGTTGCAGAAAACTACAGGGACATCGAGTTCACGGAGATGTTCCTGGACACCGTCTGCCTCAATGTGAGCATCCCTCCAGCGTGAGCTCAACTGTCCCGGCAGTGGCCGTCTGTGTCCTCGCCGCCCGCTCCGCTCGTCCATCGCGTTGCGTGCATGCGCGGTGAAAACAAATATACGGCACAATCGAACGCCTCTCATCCGTGGCCCTATTACCCATGACTGCCGGTTATCTGCTGGACGTATAGGATCTGTCAAAACCTATATTATCCACACCCAGCTTCTTTGTGTTATCCATGCTCATATGCTTGTTCCCCCCCCCCCATATTTGTGAAACGGAAGCCGTTCCCCAAATGTGGAGGGAAAAACCGGAACACCCGGAGAAAAATCCACGCGACCACGGGGAGAACATACAAACTCCAAATATATATGCGTCAGGGTGGGGATCGAACCTATAACTTCCTGTATACCAGGCGAGGGAGTTAACATCTCGGTGCCGTGGCGCCCTACTGTTATTGTTGATGCAGTTGCCCCAACTCTACCTTGAATTGCCCTTCGTAGAAGCGTCAGAAAAAACCGTGTGAACTCAGCTTTTAGTTTTAACAACTTTACTTTAACAAAAAAAAAACAATATGAATCGCAAGCTTAGTTTATTGGTGGGTGAGAAGGTTTGTTGAATAAACTCAATTGTTGCAGGATAAATGAGAAGTAATGCTTCTTCGCATATCGGGTAACTTCTCTCCTTGTTGAACTTCAATCCTGAAGGAGGGGGGAAGTGTTGGGGGGGGGGGGGGGGGAGAAAACTGAGTAGCTTTTGTCTCCTCTGCGCTGCTGAAAAAAAATCCAAACTCTTGGCATCTAGGAGGAAAAACGAATGAATGAAAGCGACTGTTTGGTGGGTGTGGCGGTGGTGAAAAAGAATTTGAAATGAACGTCGTTCCTATGGTGACGTCGCCACAGATGGTGCAGGACCCCACCAAGTTCGACGTGCTGGTCATGCCCAACCTGTACGGGGACATTCTCAGGTGAGCGGGGACAGTGCGGATTCAATCAGATACGTGCCCAGCCTGCCAACTCTGACGCCGTGTGTAGTCAAGCCCCACTTTTATCCTGTTTGGACCTGGCAGCGCTGTGCACTTTGACCTCTAGAAATAAACCGTACTGACTGTACATTTATTTTGTCGTTAATCGTCCCCCTATCTCGATTGAAAACTAAATTTCTAGATTGAAAACTCGTTTCTTTAGAACTGCTTTTTGTGTGTTTAGTTTGTTGTCTCCCCCCCCCCACCGCACTTCCGATAAGCACGGTTGGCTACATATGGTGCAAAAGAACTTCAACATACATGCTGAAATGTTCACCCTTCTGTTACTCCCACCATGGTAACACTCATTGATTCCGCTGCCCACGCCGAGGACTCGGTCTACCGGACTGACTGTTTCCTCTCATCCCTGTGCTCAGCGACCAAAATAAATGTTTGTTCGTTTACGTATTTATTTGCCCGTGTGCGCGCAGTGACCTGTGTGCTGGTCTCATCGGAGGGCTCGGGGTCACTCCCAGTGGCAACATCGGAACTGGTGGGGTCGCCATCTTTGAGTCGGTAGGTGGTGCGTTCCGGTCGCCTGTCCGCCAATGCCTCCATCGTTCCCGTGTCCCGTTAACGGATCATTAATTAATGGGCGTTTGTGTGTGGATACTCGAGGGGAATGATAGTGCAGAGGTTAGTGCGCTGCGCCACAAAACCCAGTGATCCTGAGTTCGATTCCCGCTCATGGCCAACACCGATGACGATTATCTGAACCGGTCCTGGGCCTCTCCTAGGTCGACTCAGTCTCAAAATTAGTACCTGGTGTGGTGTGTTAACAACAGTTCCAAACGCTACAGGGTAATCCCGGTGACATGGGTTCAATTCCCGGTTATCCACAACACCAATGGCAAATATGGCATCTGAACCCGTCGCGACCCTGACAGACGAACAGCGTTTGTGGGCCGTTTTCAAGTGGTAGGCCTCATGTGACTGTGGGGTGTATATGACATAAAGTCACGGCCTATAATAATGTTTATTTGTAAAGCGCCTTGCATACCGCAAGGTTCAAGGTTGTTTGCGCAAGTTAAGATAAAACATACATTTATAAAGACACAAAATAATGATAATTCATGAAGAAAAGCAAACATGACTATAACAGTAAAATAATCACAAGATGCCAGAATAAACTCAAAGGCTAATATATTTTTTAATTAGGTCTGATGCCTTGATTTGAAAGTAATGCCTGCGAGTTTCACTCTCCTGCGCTCATCATCTGGAACTCTCTCCCGCCGCAAGCTCCCTCTATCTTCAGGAGTTTGGCTCCCGGCCCCGTGCTTTTTCAGACACACACACGAGGATCCACGAGCATCCCGTGCTCCGTGCCTCCCGAGTTGGCGATCGAACGACGGCTCGTCGTCCATCGCGCGACATTTGTGGGCGATATATACGGTGACTGCGAGTCTGTTAACGGGGACCCGCGTGCCCTCGCCGCGCGCGTCTCACCTCCAGGTGCACGGCACGGCGCCGGACATTGCCGGGAAGGACCTGGCGAACCCCACGGCGCTGCTGCTGAGCGCCGTGCTCATGCTGCGCCACATGCAGCTGCAGGAGTTTGCGCGCCGCATCGAGGCCGCCTGCTTCGACACGATCCGCGACGGCAAGGCGAGTCGTTTTTATATATATATAAAAAAATTATTTCTTATTCATGAGCCCAAAAAAAACAGGCGCCGCAGAGGGGATGCATTCCACACGCGTGCTCAACAAGTATACTTGGTCCAGCCGCAACCTCTTTTTGAGAAATTCCCCACCAAATGGGGCCGATTTAAAGTCACCCGGGTTCACTACCCTGCAATGGAAGGGATGACGGCCGGGAGGAGTGGGTTTACCAGGATAGGGGGAGAAAAGAAGGGAGGTGGGGGGGGGGATATAACCGGGTCAGGTGGGGATGGAATATAGCCTAACCAAACATAATACAAATTTAATAATGTAAATGCGAGTTCTGGGTCAGCCAGTGTTGTTTCCTTTACCCCCCTGGGTTTTTTTAAATTATTAATCGTGGTTGCTGGGCACACGGCATTCTCCAGATGATAAGATGCTCCAGAAAGTAAGAAAAGGACTCTCAAACTATGCCATGCAAATCTGGTCTCACACGACAGCCACCCCTACTGGATCATAAGAACTCACAACTTTTGCTTAAAAATTACAAGGGGGGGGGGGAGGAATGACGTCTTATGGTAATATATTTCTTTGAGTTGAGCAAGGTTATTAAAATATACGCTGGGAGGGAAGAAGCCGAGAGGGTCAGTTAAGAGGCGTGAGGGAGCCGCCTCCGAGTGCCTCTCTGCTGAGCCCAAATCAATCAGCTGCACTTCGTCGGCACAGGATCGAGTGATGCAACGAGCAAACGCTTCTCGCCGTTCTCTTCTCTTATCATCCTTTAATTTATATCGCAAAAACATTTCTAATTCTCTGATCAGCGCCTCGGTTAAGGCGCCTTGGTTAAGGCGCTGACCGGAGAATTAGCATTTTGTACGTTGATACAGTGTGATGATATTGAGGTGAGTTAATGAGAAAGATGGTAGCGTATGATGAATATGATGATGATGATGATGCGTGATATAAGCGATGATGAACGTGACAACGGGTGGTTGATGATGAGTGAGTACGATGAATGGGTGGGCAAGGGAATGTAAGGGGAAGGGGAGTTGGGGTTAGCGAGGGAAAATAAGTGTGTGTGTGTTTAGGAAAGAACGAAAAGCAGTGAGTCAGGATGAATTGTTTGACGTGTAGGGGAAGTTTGTTCCAGCGGGCCAGAAGCGAGAAAGATCGGAATCGTAAAGAAGGGTCTTTACCTGTTATATACAATACAATTTAAATATACAACACAATTGTAATATACAATTTTAATATACAATACAATTGTAATATACAATACAATTGTAATATACAATTGTGGGCGTCTAAATGCAACTGCATCTCGAGACACTGGACAGAAACAGTGCGCATATTTATTTTGCAGGACCGGTCAGTCAATATCTAATAATATTTAATTATGATTTTGAATAATTTACCCAGCAATGCCTCATTGGGTCTCCAATATTTTGGAAGCATCCTGCAGTGGAATATTTGGCCAATTCCATGAAAGAGTGCTTTACTAGTGGAAGGAAATCAGAGTACCCAGAGAAATCCGGCACATGTATGCATGTTGAACTTCTTTCGCACCGTACGTAGCCAACCATGCTAATCGGAGGTGCAGGGGGAAGGACAACAAACTAGACACAAAAAGCAGTTCAAGAATTGAGTTTTCAATTTAGATTTAAAAGTGCATATAGCTCCAATGGCTTCCTAATATCAAAAGGAAGAGCGTTCCAGATGGTCACAGGAGCACATCTGAAAGCGTGCGATGCGGTGACCGTCCTTATTTGACGGCTAGCCAAAAGCCGCCGCTGCTGCTGCTGCTGCGAGGATGACCGGAGTTCGCGTGCTTGTGGTTGATGCTACTTGACAAGATCAGCGAGGGCTACCCCCGCGTTCCCCGGCTTTTAGCGAGCCACCGACAACAGGTCGTCGCCGCATCGCCCGCGAGGAGGGGCAGCGCGCACAAAAACTGCCATCCCCTGGCCGCCTCTCAGCCCTGCCTCGCCACGACATTGAACGGCGCTATCTGTAAGGCGCACGCCGTCAACTGACTTGCTCAGAGTGTCAAATTGATTTGGCCACGGACACCCCTGCGATGGTCCCCCTCCCCCATCGGGATGGCTTTGATGTGTGCACGCGAGCCAGCGGGAGCGGACAGCACCCAATAGCTTCAGCCCCACGCCCCGGCGGAACGCGGCAGGCCGAGTTCTGAGCGCCCCGCGTGAGTGCCTGATTAAATGTTTTCATAAAAAACAAGAAATCGCTTTGAAGTGAGGAAACGCCAGAATTTCTTCCTGCCATCCATCTTCGTCCTATTTGGTTTTCTCCCCTCTCTGTCCTCGCGTGTATCCTTCTCACTGTTTCTTTTCTCGTACTCGTTACTTGCTTTATTGGGCCTGCTCCCTATATCGCAGCTGGAGATCGCCACGATTACGTGCGCATGGCGTCAAGTCACTTTAAAGATGTGATGTGTACCCTGGGGTGCTCTGCGCTGGTGTTGAATATATCGATAATAATAACAATAAAATAGCCCCGGCGCCGTACACGGAGGCCCATCGTTCCTCGGTAGCCCAATGGACAGCGCCGGCATACTAACGCCGACTCCGTCTCTCTCAACAGGTGGTTACAGGAGACCTCGGTGGCCATTCCAAGTGTTCGGAGTTTACCGAAGAGATCTGCCGCCGGGTGAAAGACCTCTAATCGGCACCGTCCGCTATTTATTTTTGTCGTTATGCTGCTCTCTACCGCTATGGCAACTACGTGCTCAGCATTAGCGCTGAAGGTGCAAAAATAATAATAATAATACCCAGTCTGTTGCACAATTATTTTGCACTCGTATTTCGCTGTTGTATTGTTATAAATTCAGAAAAAGAGTGGTGGCGTGCGTGCGAGTGTTTAACGCTGCCAAGGTCAAACGGCTCTCGCATTTTAACGTCGGAAAATGAACCGCACGGCGAGATGGGCTGCCGTCTGGCAATCGGCAGTGGCGGTGACGATCGTGGATGTAACGGCACAGCTGATGATGCAAACGTGTATTTTTCTTGGTTATTAAGAAGCGGTGCTGATATTCACTTCCTATATGTAACGCACGCACACACACACTCTCACGAATCCACGCACGCGCGCGCACGCACGCACACACGGTATCATTAAATGCGGACAATCAACTTGGGTAGCGACTTTAATTAGATGTCTGTGCATTTTCCCGAGGGTGCTCCCTGTAGCGCACAGAGCATTTAAAGAAAAAAATCAGATACGTATGTATGTGTATGTACGTATGTCCGCACAAGGAACAACACTTTTTTTTTCCTGGTACACACTCAGAGATCTATTTTCTTGTCATGGTTGTACGATATATTTAAACATATGCCTATATATATAAAGAAATACCGAACCGCACATGCACACTATTTACTTGAATAATAAATATGCACGTGGCATGCCGTCTCACGACTCGGGTTCTTGATCACGGGGGTCTGTGTGCTCGTTTAAGCCGTGAGAGCTTATCGTCGACTGGAGCCTCGTGCGCGAGGCCATTACAAAGATTGTTTTCGTGGTCGGCCACAGCGCCTCGTTCCTTCTATTCTCCCGCGAGTGTTTGAGGAGCGCTATCTGCGCTTGCCTAGCTGGGCTCGTCTTTAAGCCGTTTAAATGATGCATCGCTGACATTATCTCGCAGTGGAGCCGCTCATCCCACGCATGCATAATTCATTGCTCGCGCAACCACCACGGCCGCCCGCGTACGGCGGAGCCGGTAATGAGCGCGCGGACTCGGGATCTGCGCGAATTTTTGCGCGCGCGCCGTGCGTGCGTGGTGGCCCTTGGGCACGGGCCCTGGCGCGAGGGACGAACGCGTTAAACGCTGCAACGTCGATCCAACGTTGCAACTGTTGAACCAACGTCGGCCCTGACGTTCCATATGTTTAACTTGGGGAAATGGGACCACCACCCCACCTCCACCTCTCCCTTGCAAATGTCACCCCCTCTTCGTAGCCCTCTTCTACCCGTGGCTCCTCTGGCGCGTGGGCCCCCGTGCAGTTGCACAGCCTGCACACTCGACAGCTGCGCCGCTGCACGCGCCAACGCAAAGTGCACGCTGTGCGTGTTCCGTGTATGCAGCCTCATTGTAATGTTACCACTGTGATTGTTGCGTTGTAAATGTTGCCGTTTGATTTTGTTTTAAAGGTATAAGATTGAAGTTCATATTTACAATATACCGCACCCTTGATTTCGGAAAGAGTATTTTGAGTTTAAAAATGTTGTCATTTGCTCATGCAGTGGTGTGGCTGTCTTTAAACACATGGCTTGGGACCAGTCGAGTATTACCACCAACGGTCTAAGGTTGTGGTTAAATAAGATTACAGTAACGTTAAACATATTTTTTAAACCCATAGTTTCACTGCAGAATTGACACTGCACGATATGTTTGAACGTGATGGATGGCCGAGTTTTGATTATAATTCGGCGTATTGATTATTTTAATTAACTTGTGCAATGAATTGTACGATGAGCCACCCATGGGAGCATTCAGAAGCTAAATGCACTGATTTTGCTATTTTTATTTTAATAAGTGTTAACACAAAACCGTTCACATCAGAAAGGCATATTCAACAGTTGCTGCGAAATCATTAATTGTTCTATTTGTATGAGTGACATGATATTTGACCCAAAAATTACTGATTGAGGGAGTCGAGTGGTAGTGTAGCGGTTAGCACACTGCACTCTACATTGGGACATCTCCATGGTGGCAAGATGTTAGCTTCCTCGCTTGTTATGCAGAAGGTCGTAGGTTCGATCCCCACCCTGGTGTCTGTATATTTGGACTTTGCATGTTCTCCCCGTGATCGCGTGGATTTTTGTTCAGCTCCTCCAGTTTTTCCCTCTACATTTAGAATCAGTGTGTGTTTAGAGTATTCGGCTGCTATAAATGGCCACGTGATAAGCCACTTCGTTGAGCTATAATTTGTGGCCAGGTCGCTTCTGAAAAAGAGCTATATAGCTCGCGCGAGCCTTACCTTTGATTCCTGGCTACGACTAACGTCAGTGGTGAGTGACATCTGAACTGGTCCTGGGAACATATCTCTACACTAAACCAGCACTAACCAGCGTGGTGAAGTATGGTCAAACAATCCACATGACTGACATGGCATGCAGAGACCTTTATCCAGCGGTGGATTGACAAATTTCTGCAAATTATTAATAACAAAAAAACAGCCAACCTAAATAATAAACGTTCGACCAAATTAAAAATGCCCTTTCAAGCTTCTAAGTTAACTATCACGCTCTTTGGCGATTTCACTCAGAAACCTTTGTATGAACACAACATTACTTAGCGATGCTGCTGCTGCGTTGGAAGCGATGCACAAAAAAAACTTTAACACATTCGTTAATAATATTGCCTTAAAAAAAACTAACATATAAATTGGTGACGTTTTAAGAAAATAGCCCATTCTTCACGGCACATCAGAACACCGTGCAGACAGAACGTGTCTAAATGAAGACGTTCATTAATCAAACAGACAACAGCGAAAAGAACAACAAAAGCCAAGCAGACACTGAGAAACAGATAGAAACGCGGACACAAAGAAAGATTCAAAGACCAGCGGTGACATTCGTACAGCCCAACGGGCATGCAGCTCGCCGCCCATTGCACGAGACTGCCACGAGACCCCGGTTAACCTTCAGGGTTGAGCCGACAAAGCACGCGAAGGGACGCGGGGTGGGTGGTGGCAGCGAAACGGTGTGAGCTTGCCATGAAAAATTAACGACCCCCGCCAATGACGGCCACAGAGGAGCGGCGGGCAATTACCGCGAGAAGCCACCGACTGCCGCGTGTGTGTGTTTAACCGGTCGGGAATGCGCGCACCTCGACACGAGTGTCATCCCCTCTTTTCATGTCGCTTTATCCGCGAGCAAATCCGTCCTGGGGTGATGTGATGGGGGGTGCGGGGAAGACATCACCGGCAAGACAAAGGAGACACAAAACAAAACAAATGAAAGAGACCCCCACCCACCCACCTCTCCCAATACCCTCTTGCCCGTGATTACTGTCCTTTCATTGTGATTGCGCGAGTGTGTGTATATATACTGTCGATGTACACGCACAGGGGTGTGCAGAAGCAAGAGGTGGCTGTACAGATATCGAGCAAGTTGTTGGTTGTCTCGCTCCTGCTGCTGTGCGCGTGCTGCTGCTGCTGCTCTGCTGTGCTGTGTGTGCAGGTGTCACGATGGTGCTGAAGGGACAGCTGCCCGTCTTGGCTCTGATTGGAGCCCTCATCATCCCCTCCGCGCTCAGCGAGTGCTTCTTTGACGCTAAAGGTGAGAAGCATCGCTGCTGTCCCCACGGCGTACGCCGCGCCTATCATGAGTGGATTTAAAACCGTTCACCGGGAAACAATTTTAAAATGTGTGTGTTTTTTTTTAAACCAGTCTCCAATTCGTATTCACTCTCTCTTACCGCACTAATTTACGTTATTTAAAGAAGAGCCAACTGTTTGAAACAAACGTCGCAAAATTGTACGTATTTTCTTCCACTTAAGGCGTGCAGTGTTATTGGCAAATTGATTGAGTTTATTTGTCAGTTTAACACGTAGGCATTGGCGACCAATATTCTTCATAATAAGGTTTAATGGGTTAGATCGCGTAAATATGAATGTCTTTAACCCACCACCACCATCCGACACAGCCAATTATGAAGGTTTGTCACTTACATAAAATGTGCCAATTAGTTACTACTGCAGCACACTGGTGTGTTTTAGAGTAAACCCACAACACATTAAATTTGAGTACGACGTTTCGCGATCTGGCAAATCGCACGACGAAACTGGTTGTAATCACCAGCGAAATGTCGTACTCAAATTGTAAATGTTGTGGGTTTACCGTGCCGGCAACTGGAGTCGAACCGGCGACATCTGCATGGCAAGTCCGATGGGGTTAATTGCTACACCACTGGAGTATAATTATATATTTGTCAGTTTAAAAGGTAAAAATGTTACGCTTATTGCTTGGCATTTATATATGTGCAACAACCCGGTTTTTTACTTGTTTTTTTTGTCTCCACTAATGCAAAAGCCGTAGCTAAGTGTGCAGTGGTTAAATTCAGCAGTAACAGCCCGCGACGCTAATCCGGGAATTATTTTGGCCACTCCACATCCATCTCGCCCTGCTTCGTATCGGGTATAATTCACAAGCACCGACATTGATATTGCACAAGCAATTAGTCTAATTTAACCCTAAAACAAAACAAACTCACAGAGAAGCGAGGGGAGTTTTACTCATGAGAGATTATTTTTAAAATCCCATTGTTCTGCAGAACAAGCGGCATGTTCATAGAAATGTTTAGGTCGATGGTAAAATTGCAAGGGGTCAAATTGGGTATTCATAATCTAAGACACGTTTGGTGATTTGTTGTTAATAATCTCATGAAATACAACTATTTCGGATGCCACGATTACTTCATCATCCGTGACATTATGTTTTTTTTTAATATACATAGAAGCATATAACTCGAGGAAAGGGACATCTACATTATGCTCGGGGCTTAATTTCTCATTCGGTAATTCCCGAAACGTTGCTAAGGCTGGCCTGGAGTTGGGATTATAATCGGCGTAAGCCTCTACCACTATAATAAAATATAGTATACATACGCCTATGCATCATAATATTATATTATTCTACCCTATATTCTTATACTCCCATGCACAGGTTTCTACTCACATTACGAGGATACGAGGTTTATACTCACATTACGAGGATAAAGTAAGGCGAGACTAATGCGGCGTATCAAAGTAAGTCTCGGAACAGCGTTTCAGACTATTCCCGATTAAGTTAAGCACTGGGTGTAGACTCTGACGGATTTCGCTTGTGTCTCGTTGCTCTGTGTCTGGTATTCTCGTGCTCTGTGTGTGTGCAGCCGTGTGCGAATCGGAGGGCGAGCATTACCAGATGGGGGACACGTGGCTCATAGCCGACCGCTGCCTTCAATGCACCTGCCTGCACCCCTTCGGAGTGGGCTGCTGCAATATGTGAGTCGTGGCAAGGCACGCGAACGCGCGCGTTTCAGATGCACTTCTGCCACCGTCTGGAACGCTCTCCCTTCCGATGTTAGGAAGCCACCGGAGCTGTAAACTTTCAAATCATCTAGATTGAAAACTAATTTCTTCGGAACTGCCGTGCGTGTTTAGTTTGCTATCCTTCCTCCCCGCACCTCCGATTAGCACGGTTGGCTACGCACGGTGCGAAAGAAGTTCAACGTACAAACGCACACACGTACAAACAAACGTCATCCAGGCACATGATCTCGGGCGGGCTTCACGGGCGAGCGCTGCCAACAGCAACTTGCCCCGACAGTCTCCACGGGGGATATTTGTCTTTGCTTTTGTTTATGTGTACCGAACTTTATTTGTGCATGTCTATATACATATGCGAGTATGCACGAGCTTTCGAGTACCGTATGCGTATTTACGTGAGTATTGTATATATGTGTGCATATATTTATGAGCACTCAATAAAACGCGTGGCCGCGTGGGGTACACGTGTAAGAGCATACGCGTGTCCGCTCAATTAGAGCGGCAGTGCAGTCCGATAGCGCACAGCGCTACGAACCCAGCGGCGACCCCAGTTCGATTCTCGCTCACAGCCAACATGGGCGTGGGCCCTCCCATAGGTCTTCTAAGTCTTAAATAAGTGCCTGGTGCCTGGTGCGGTGTGCTAACATTAATAATGGGGAGGCAAAGGCGGCCGGGAATGATGCTGCTCACCCACCCCTCGTATTCCGTGCAGGCTTCAATAGGTGCTCGCAAACAGTACTTGTCCTAACAAGCTGTCTAGGCTCTATGGGGAAATCTTTGTCTTTGTGTACGCCCATGGGACGTAAACCATGACATTTCACGGGCGATTCTGATTCATTACAAACAAAACGCAACATCAAAACCTTTATTTCTGTGCGTCTGTTGGAGGTGTCCGATACCTCGACCCCCACCCACGCCTCTAACCTTTCCACCCCCCAACCCCCCACCATTCCTCGTTCCTATGCCGTGCCTCTCCTCCAGCGAGCAGCAGCCCATTGACTACCCGGAGTGGTGCACGGCTGTGCGGAGGCCCGGCTCGTGCCGTGTGTCCGTGGTGATGAAGGCGAACCGCCGCGTGTCCTGCGTCTACAAGAGCAGCTGGGGGGCCCGGCCGGGAGAGGGTGGCCAGAGTGGGGCATCGAACCCGGAGCCTCCTGCCTCGGAGCCATTCCTGGCAACCAACGAGATCCCGGAGCCATTCTGGCGCTGAGCCTCTTTTTTTTGGTCGTGTGCGGGTATTTGGAACACGGCTGGCTTTTGTCGGTGCTGTAGGCTTGCTCGAATTGGCTGCATTGTGGACTCAAGATAGGGTTGCTACTTGTTATGTGTTTACCAGCATCGTCCTCTCTTTGGGGTACGGTAGCTGTCCTGGAAAATACGGAATTCTTCCCGGGACAATAAGTAACGTTTTTTTGTCAATTGCATATAATAATACACTACTATAGACAATGCATTTGCATGTAGTTTTCCCCTCCTCCAGTATTGCGAGATATTATTCACACGAAATGTCCCGGTTTTTTTTTACCCCAGTTGGCAACCATAACTGTAATAGTGTGGATTTATTACGGATACTGACGATGATTATGCATTTCAATAATCCCCTTTATTTTACTCACCGAGTCTCAGGACACTTGTTCAGGAGGGTCCTGATACTTTGGAATGTTTGGTCAAACCCGTAAATGGGTGTTTAGATATATTTGGGAGGAAACTAGATAATCCACAGATATCCGACGCATGCTGAATGTACATCTGCAGGTCGTTTGTCAATACACTGCTTGACGAGGGTTTCCCCACACCGAGGGTTACACCCTGCGGCAAAAGCCATTGCTCTGTTGTTGCACCACCTTCAGCCCGAACTTACCATCGTGGTGAAGTATGGCCAAATATTCCCCACGACCCGGACAGCGTGGGCTCTCATACAGCAGTTGACAAAATGTGTACATGAACATTGAGAGCGGGCAGGATCAGTTACAAACGATTTCTGTTCATTGATAACCTTTGCTCAGATTTTATGTAAGATGTCATTGGTTCATGTTTGATCATTGCTGTCCAATCTTGCTTAAATTATCCGATAAAATATTAAAGAACCAAACATTCAGTGTATCGGAACTATATTAGATTATTGACAAAAACTGCCCGATCTGTAATTCTAGCAAGTCTATACATTAACATACATAGTCAAAATGTGATATTTTAGCCATGAGAATTCGTGTTGTTATCACTGACTATAATGGGTTTTGATTCAACTGCGAATTCTCAATGTAAGTACCCGATTGCATGAAATTTCACTATAATCCACGCGTGACAGATGCTTGAAATTAAAACATTGCATAAACGGGACATTTAGTTTATTTATGAGAGCACAGTAAGTTAGTGTTTCCAATGTACACGTTACATTTGTAATAATGATGAAGGGAATTTACAGCTCCATGTTAATCCACTGCTGGATGAATGTCTGCCTACGCCTTATCGGTCGTGGGGGTTGCTTGATCATACTTCACCAAACCGGTCAGCGCGGGTTGGTGTAGCGGAACGGAAGGGGGTGTCCAGGATCGAATCCGATATCACTGGTCAGTGATGCTAGCCACTTGCTGGGAATCAAACTCAGGGGCTGGGTGAGTAACGCAGTGCGATACCCACTGAGCCACCGAGACAGAAGGGGTCATTAGTCACCAACGGCCAATGACTGACGTGGTGAAGGAGGGCACAACAACAAACCCCGCAACAACCGAAATTTGTGGCGAAGCATTCAGCAGTGCATTGACAAAGGGCTGTATATTGTTATTTCGGAGAATACGTATTAGATTGCTGCTTTTGGTGTCAAATGTGGCAAGCACATATAATGTAGTAACACTCACAATGAGGGAAGGGCTGAGCTCAATTAACCCAATGAACAGATAGCAATGAGTGGCCAGTTAATGATTAATTAGCCGGATCTGATTCACCTGAACCTGTATTCTTTACAATTTGACAAGTGTTTAATGGAGCCAATTAAAAAGCAATCGCTCTGCACGGAGCAAATGTCTCTCTATAAACTACCGTGTCCCGCGTCTTGTTCTCTCGTGTATTGCACGAGCCCAGGTCTGCCTTGCTCGTGAGATGCTGGGCTAAGCAAATGAACCTACGTGACTCGTGCAAAGCAAGGAGCTCACAATGGCTCCTGCAGATGCGTGGGATAGTCACAGTGGGACTCCGCTGAAGTCATTGAAAACGTACATACTCATTCGGAGAGCCCTTTGTCAAGCCACTTCTGGATGAAGGCTCCCAAAAGTTACAGTTACGCCTCATCGCTCCCTGTGGAGCATAAGGCCGCGACAAGCCCACGCCATGCCGGACGGTCTTTAGCAGCTTTCTCTGCTTCACACCAAGACAGTCCCATGGTCTTTAGTTGGTTTTGAATGGTGCGTCAAAGGCTCCCAACAGCGTGTCGATTATGGGTGTTTGATCATGCTTCAACCAAGCTGGTCAGTGCAGGTTGGCAAAGAAAGGGCCCAGGACCGCTGACTCAAACACACTTGAATTGGACCGATTTCTCCCAGAACTAAAATTGATGGACCGCGAGAATTGTGTAAAAAAAAACGGACCGTAAAAACGGACCGTTTTTTTTCTCTAGATTTGAAGCTTTCGTGACTGCAAGGATCCATACTCTTTGGTTCTATTCAGTAAAGTCACGTAGGTAAAAAAACAAAATAACAAAAAAATAACAAAAAAATTATCACGACGTTTCGGCCACAACACAAGTGGCCTTCATCAGGTGAAGGGACCGGACTGTCCAGAGGACAGCGTTGGAGTGAAGATAGCCAAGCCCAGGTCGCGTCCTTTAAGCTGCCCAACGCGAGTTGGCGTAAATTCTGCCGGAGGGAATTCAGGCCCGGCCTCAAGAAGCGAAATCGTCTGGGAGAATTCGGGCTCCTCTTCCCACGGACATGCGCGGCGTGGGAGGAGGAACTCGAGCTCTGTGGTTCACGGAACGGGGAACTCGTTTCGATGTTTTCTCTCCGATTTTTTTCATTTTTATTCATTGGGGAGCTTGTAGTTGCACCTGGGGTCGAGTAGATTTTCGCAAAGTGGACAAGTATCCATACAATGACTCGCAGTGCAGGAGGGAGCCTGTGTGTATTGCTCCACGTCGGTATTTTACGCTGACCGACGTACGAAACCACTGGCAGAACCCCAGTAACATTAGGATGTACCATATTCACCACTTAACGCATGTCCGTTACCATCAGGGACTATTAAACGATATTGCGCACCCGTGGGGCTGCATGTGGTGCAACTGCCTTCGGCACCATTATGCTGTTCGTTGATTTGGGATTCATTAAATCTTGTCAATTACGCTGCAGTAATGGGACAACGCGTGTATTATTGTCGCGCATTACGGGCGGGTCCCTTCAAATGTGACACATTTTACCACTACATTGCATCTGTTACAGTGCCAGAGCAGTCACACTTATTTAAAACGCAAACAATTTAGACAGGCACGTTGTGCTGTTTAATAATAAAAAAACGAATACAAGCTCAATTGTGTTCAGGCTATAATTGTGCGGTAAAATTGCAAAACCATTGCAGGATGTCTGAATAAAGCAGTCGAGCAGCGGTTCAAGCACTGCGCTATGAACCCGGCCATCAAAGTTAAATTCATTGCCATGGATAATGTCGGTGGCGCGTGCTATCTTTGAACCGGACCAGGCACTCTCTATTCCTTCACCAACCTGCACTGACCAGTGTGGTGAAATATGGTCAAACAACTCCGAGACCGGCACTGTACAAAGAGGCCTTCATCTGGTCGTAGACTGGCAAAAGGCCGTAAATGATTTGTTTAATACTAATGCAAACAATAATAATGTAAACACTATGTCTGTGATAATTGCATACTAATACAAACAATAATATTGCAAACACTACGTCTGCAATGATGTGTGTTTCACTTAAATAAAATACACTCTCATGAGAATACTTTCGAAAAACAGTCACAATAACAAGTCAAAAGGTATAACTGTTCTGAGCAATGATATCTGGTAATCCAGCAGTATGTGTTTAACTAGGCAATTTCTGCTGATGAGACGTAGAATTTTGCTTGCTTAAACAAATGCTGCTGGATAATACTAATCTGGAGGGCCAAGAGACTGATGGGCTATGAAACATTTCATTTTCATGTAGACAGATGGACATTCCTATGATTATTTATTTGTGTTATTTTACACTAATAATTGATACAAACTATTGCAATAAATTGTTTTAACTTAATTACAGTCCCTACTCAGAAAACACATATGTCCACTTTTTCATGATCTAGTAAAACTGATCATAAAATCCCACGGTTTCAGATGTGCTCAGATGTTTTAATCCATTCTGGAGTGGTGATGGTGCATCTCAAATTTCGTGAACGTGTAAAAAAGACGTATTCTGTAAATGAGACATTTTCTAAATCTATGGCGAATGACTTTCAAATATTACACCACATAACTTTCATTATACTACTAAATTTTTTATGTTCACTATAAGTTTGCCTAATTTGTGAAACTGCCCCGAATCAACATTAACAATATTAATTTTGGCAATTAAACAAATACTCAGACTCCCTTTTCACTGGTGCACGGTCCCCTGGCTAATTTGGCCAAGCACATCACGCTACAGGTCGTCAGTCAGCCACAGGCTCTGTGGACACAGTAACAGAGGGCCTATGACCACATCTAAATTCCCAATTCCACCGAGTTCCACAGGCTGTGACCCAGTGTCAATCACGTCCCACATTTTTCCTGGGGCTATGTAAAGAAGCAGCCTCCACCGAGCTGGCCTAGCACCCGAGGGAACAAATGGGTATCCTCAGAGCTGACAACGGGAACGAGTGGCACGACCGATAATCGCTTGATCGACACTTCCTTTACAGCAGCATGGAGCGAGGTGGCCGAGTGGGTCACGGGTCAGCGTGCTGTGCCGTTACCGCTGAGATTTTGGGCTTGAATCTGGATTTTAGCTCACTGTGATGAAACCAGCTTTTAAAGTTTAGAATATTGATGGTCTTAACCTGGTCACCAAATAAATGGACATTTTTTTCCGTCATGTTAAATTTGGGTTTCACTTAGTTTGTCAAAATTTCAGCTCTGGAAATTATAAATATCAATTTTACGGTCATGCAACAAACATGAACTCGTCGTGTTGCATGTGGGAAAGTGCGCCACCTAGTGTGAGAATTAGAAAAAAAAATACTTGAGATCTCGGAAAGAAAGTTCTTTGAAAATCTGCTTTTGCAGACCGTTATATAAGGCGTGATGATATACTTCTCCAAAGGAGTTGTGAATGGATGGGACATCACGCCGTACAACGTGCGGTACAACCCCAGAAGAGCATCGGAGGGCAGTTCAGCACAAACGCTCTTCATCTCATGGCATGAAACTGAAATAATATTGGGGGCCAAACAAAGAGAAGCATGGATCAAGGCACCCTTCACAGAAGCATGGAGCCACAGGGCTCCACAAGCCAGCCGCTGCGAGCTGTCAGGGGGTCGCAGGGCAGCACAGTGATGGGCAGGTCCCAGCTGAGCGTCTCGGTGCGGACGCTTTGCGCGCCGCGCCACACACAGCCCAGACCCGGCGCTGATCCGCGCTGCAGCGGCGGCACAGCCTCCGGCTCGACGGCCACCACGAACTGGAAGTGAAGCCGCCACCGCACGCTCACTGCAAAGCGGTGTCGAGCCATGGCAAACAGAGTATCACATGACACGGATTAAAACCAAATGTAGAGTTAAGCGTCGTAATGAGCAAACGTCGCATGAGCAAATACTACGTAAGTGCAACAAGTGATGTAACGCGGATTTATACAAGCGAAATCAATACATCAAGTGCATCGGAATACGCAGAATACGTAAATACGGATTGTAAACGACAATGTAAAATTATGGTAAAATATATAAAATAGAACACGCACTCGTATTGATATGAAACACGGTTGGGGTCCTTGCTGTGACATTACTCGTGCTGTGACAAAACTTCAAACGCGTTGAACATCCCAGGACATGGCCTTGGTGTACATCCACAAGATAGACGTATTATTGTGCTCCTGTTGTTGAAAGATTCTTCCTTTAAATTTAATTATTACATTCTGTCCCCATAATTTGAGAGTGTGTGTTTTGACTAATGTGTTGTGGATCACAGTAACTGTAATTCACAGACGGCAGCCGTCGCTCCTTTTTTTTTTAAACGAGTTCTTATAATGATGGAAATAATTACATGGTGTGTGCACACAGGACAAATTAATGACAGTATATGGGCATACTATTTCACAACTCTTTTTTGTGAAGTGACAGAAGGTAAAAAAGATATATAATAATAATAATTAGGTTCAATTCATTGAAATAATGTGATGCATCAGATATTTCTTCAGTGCTGCCTTGCTTGATGGATGATGTTAGTGATGACGGTGATGTTTATAATTGTACTGTGGATGGTATGAGGTTGGAACTATTAGACAGAGTGGTTCAGCATTGAGGTATGGATGACAGGAAATATATTCATTCAAACACATTACTCGTGACAGCAACATTAATAATAATTGACTATGTTACACTCTGGCAACTGCTTCTTCTTGTAACATTACCGTACTATTATTGTTGTTGTAATGAGGTGGAGTGGTGGCCTCGTGGTTTCAGGACTGCACTGGGAATCCAGAGGCCCAGGATTTGACTCCTGGACATGACTAATATCACCTACCGGCACTGACCAACGTTGTGAAGTATGGTCAAACAGCCCACAGCACCAACACTGGTTGGCGAGGCCTTCATCCGGCAGTGGTTTGATGAAAAAAAACCTAAACTTTTTTATGATTGCAATTTTTAAATAATGTAATTTAAGTAATTGCTTATTAAAAACATAATGCACAATTATTAAGATAACGCTGATGTGTTACGCTAATAAAAGGTGCGTTTGTTTTACGCGGAGAGAATATTTAGGTCTGCTTGTTAAATTGCAATATATACATAAATGGCAAACATAAAACTGTTCTGTGCTGTCATAATTGATTGTGGAGAACGAATAACACGTAAAGACACGAAGGTCTGATCGACGGTCAGACGGACGGTCGCACTGAGGGCCTGATGGACAGATGGACAGACGGACGGACGGATGTACAAACAGGGAGACGGACGGACAAATAGAGATACGGGACGGATCGACAGACAAATAGGGAGATGGGACAGATGGACGGACAAACGGACAGTCGCATGGACGGACGAAGCGACGGACGCTCACCGAGGCTCGAGCTGAAGCTGGGCGGCGCGTGCAGGGGCACGGGGAGGGCGGCGTGCGTGCCCCCCGTGTGCAGGCACAGCTCGTGGTGTGACGCGTGGGTCACGGGCGCAGGCGAGCCGTGGCGGTGCTGGCATGTCGAGGCCTCCACGCTCTCCTGCGCCTGCAGCAGCACGGAGAAGTGCAGGCAGCGCACCTCGCCCGCCGAGAAGTCGATGCTGCAGGACACCTCCTCGCCGAGTCGGTACGCGGTGCGCGCCACGCTCAGCCGCCCCACGCCGCCCTGTGGGCTCACCACGTTGAGCGCACCTGCAACACACGTGCCCACAAATATCCCCCCACCCCACCCCCCCCCCCCCCCCCGTGTAGCCGTTCCCAGGCAGGTGTGTTAGTGCTGTTAGCGATGTTGCTAGCACCACGCCCGACCGCCTTTGTCTCCCCAATGCTGAAGTTTATTGTGGTTGAGTCGACCTAAAGGGGGGTACACAGGACCAGTTTACTCGCCACTGATTATAGTGTTGAACTTTTGTCGTTGGGTTTGTAGCAGTGCGTTAACCTCAATGCCAAACTCGTACTCACACGCATGTACGCACACACGTAGACTTATTCTGAGAAGTTAGGTGGTGCTTTGGTTGGTCAACCTGCATTTGAATCCAAAACATGAAGTCGATTTTCAAATCGGTAATTTTGTTCGGACATAGTGACCCCGAAAATTGCCAAGCAGAAAATTAATCACGTCCGATCCGTTGAAATATGGTTACAATTTATGCCCATCACTCAGTTACTGACTCAGTCACTCACAATCAGCTGTTTTGTATTGCATATATGCCATAGTTATCTGAGATCAGTTTATATTATGCTCCTTCACATTACAAAATAGATTTTCAATTATTAGTTATCTATGTACCTTGCTGTTGGGTCTGGTAGGGAATGCCAATGCTTCCTGAATAAAGGTTCAAGGGATTATTTAATCTGTTCACGGTTCAGAAATTGCACATGCAGCTCTTTTGTTAATCCACTGCTGGGTGAGAGCTCCTCCGTGCCATGTGCATTATGGCGGTTATATCACCATACTTCACCCCGCTGGTCACTGCGGGTTGGTGAGATTGCAAAGCATCGATATTAAAGCGTGGTTGAGTAGAATCATGGATATTGCTGCACTGCCCTCTGATAACAAAGCAGACCTGCAGCAGCCTGCAGCACCAGTTTTATGCATTGTGGTCAACTTTCAAAGCACTATCTAGGGTCAAAGTCTGCTTAGCTTCCAACGTCGGATGAGATCATACTCATTCTGGGTGATTTAGCCATAAGCGTTTTTATCACCATGGTCAGTGAAAGGCATATGTTCACACAAACACAGATACAGACTTGATACGCACAAATACTTTGCTTGTCGTGTACTGCTGGGAATAGCAATTCCAACTGCATCCTCACGTACATGGGCGACTTCGAGATGTGACGTCTGCGATCAGATCGATTGCAACATCGATGAGCTTGCTGCCACCCTGCTTGTCCGAGTCCCACTCCTTGTCTTTGCCATCGCCACCATCACCGTCATCATCATCATCTCCATCGTCCAGGAATGGGTTAACAGGTGCCATCGTGCCATCGTCTTCATCTAGGGGCCGGTAGTCCAGCAGTCCTGCCGTTCATCACGCAATAGCAGGGAGATGCCTTGTCTCATTATTGATACGGACAAAATTAATTCAACATCAACTTAATTTGTTAATCATGTTGGGCTTCCAAGTTCATTGGAAATCTTTACACGAGACTCGTTTCCAGAAGGGCCCTGCTTTGGAATGTTTGGCAATTCAATATGAATCAATACCGATTTAGAACAACCCAGAAAACCTTGAAATCAATCAATAGCTTGCTAATTGCTAGAGTACTACTTAAGTACAATTTGTTGGATGCCTTTCGAAAATTAAGTTACGTCATGAAAAAAAAACATGTTAACCCACACGATATATTTTTAAACATAACCCATTCTAGCTGAATTGGAAGACTTCACAATCTACTTTGATAGTGCACTGAGGGAGGTTAAAAACATTGGCTATATATGTTTATGAAAAGATTGACCGAGTTCACGAATTGGCTGACCTGATAAAATTTTGGGGGAGGGGTGGTGGAAATCGCATCCCCTCACACCGACGTTTAAAAACTAAGAGCGGATAAATGTTCGACTTAAGAGAACGACGAATAGAAATCCACAGAGTGGCTAAGACTACGATTTAAAAAATGCTGAGTTGAAAGCCAACGAATGCATGCCATATTTAGGGGGGGGGTCATCATGAGAAAACTTTTGAAAGGGCCTTGCTGTTAATTTGTTTATTTACACCGCATTTGCATTTTTTCTTATAGTTTAATAAAATCAGTTTCTGGTCATCACAGGACTAAAGTAATAATGATTTGTTTTTGATATAGTGCCCTATAGCCAGAGCATCTCACAGTCGCAGCTGTCTCTCATGGGCATAAGATGACTCAGCATCTGACCCACAAATGGGCATTGGTATGCCATGTGGGGGCGATGAACGATATGGATAATCCCAATTGAGTACATTAACTAGATATGATTTATATGCTCCATAATAATGCCAATGATTCATTTTAGTTATGTATTCCTATATAATTTTGTGTCAAACTAGGACCCATAACCTTTAACATGTGGTAGTTCACCAGCATTTATTCAAGAAAAACTGACTTTGCTGATGACAGTGTATACCGACACCAGCGCAGAGTTGGCTTGTACTGCATCAATGCTGCTGAAATTATTCACTCCCAGAAGGCCGTGGGCTGAATGTATGCATGTATGTGTGTTGAACTTCTTTCGCACCGTACGTAGCCAACCGCGCTAATCGGAGGTGTGGGAAAGACTGGCTGTGTAAAGGGACAGATATATAAAGGAGCCGTCTCGTCTGCTTATCTATCTGGATGGAGGTAAGGGCGAGGGCGGTGGCGAGGGGGGAAGGAGGATGCCACCACCTTGGAGCACGAGTACGCGGAACGGCATGCGCAGCAGCGCGGTGGCGTGCGTGCCCTGCAGCCGCTGGCAGCCCACGGAGAGGCGATACGCATAGCGCACGGCCTGGCCGTTCAGCGACGGGGGCGCGTCCGCGGGCAGAGTCTCCCTGTACACGACTGCGCGCGCCGCCGCGCGGGCAGTGCACGAGGAGAGTGGGCGCAGGGCAGAGTGGTACATTTCACAATCACATTGGTCCCTTCGGTCGTAATTAAATTCAATTGTATGCCCAGCTTCCATTTGAGCAGGTCATATTGATGTGCAGTATTATTGCCATGTTTCATGGCAGGAGATCAGCGAGGGACTAAGTTGGTACATTTCACAAACACGTTGGTTCCTAGGGTTGGATTTTTTATAAATAATACACGATTTAAGTGGGTGGTGAGTAGTATTACCTTTGCAAGGGAAATACGGGGAACCAACCTTGTGAATAATGCAGTTGGCTATCACAGGTGCTTTGATATATTTGTAGAATATTATCATCAGCAACAACAGTAGCAGCAGCAGTAACAAACGTATCAGACTCTGAACACTGCTATAATCACCACCAATAGCGCTTGTTTCAGCCAATACAAACATATCACTGAACAATTGCAAATTGGATATGTTCCTCATAATTAAAACCCCAAAACAGCACTAAGACACCGCTTGCCTTGCCTGTTAATTTACAATTGATATCTGACCATTGTAATCAGCATTGTTTTCTGAAATGATCACCATTTTATTAATTAAAATACCCCACCCAAAACCCACATCAGTGTCCTGTCATTTTAAACAAGTGCTCTTGCTCTGCTCAGTCAGCAGCGTGCCCTCTTGCGCCGGTAATGACTCCACCCTTTTCCAGCGGAGTTGTAAAACTTAGCGATTGCGTCGCTAAATTGAACAACATAATACAACATTTAGCATTTCTCTAGAGACAAATACTCTACAGTGGTTTTCTGGCATGAAGACATTATGCAGATTTAGCAGTAATTCTAGGTATGTATTAGGATTATTTTGGATCAATTTACTCTGTGTAATTGCTAAGTTGTCAAGTGACATTTTCCAGTCTCTAGAAGGTACATCGAGTGACATTGACATCTAGTAATATTTTTAGGGTAATTTGGAGTTGGTAACACTGCTTTCCAGTTAGAACTCTGGCCGTGAAGCAAGTGAGACCCAAAACCACTGTGAAAAGTCAATACCCCTTGTTTGTGCCTCTCATCTCCTCATTTACGGCTCTGGTTTCCCCTCTTTTGGCCCCATGTGCACGTATTTAGTTCCTCGCACACTGCGTCCTCTTTGTCCCCACAAAGATCTCTAGGGTCCCCCATTCGCCCGTACAGATGACCCCTCTCACAAGCCTTGCTCTCCCCTGGAGCGAGGCGTAGGTCACAGAAGAGGATCTTCGGAGCAGTGGAGAGAACGCACTGCCCCCTCTCTCCTGCCAACGGCAAAACACAGCAGTAACAAGCTGAGCTTGTCGCAAATGTCATCTATGGAAATCATCATCATCCTTATCATCATCAAGAGCCAGGAACAATCCACTGCTGGGTGATGACCTCGCATCTCACATGGGTTGAGGTTGCTTGTGGAAAATGTTTGTTATGGACATTAAGCATCATTATCATCATCAGCCATAATCAATCCACTGCTGGATGAGGGCATCTCCAAGCAATCCCCCACGGAATGAACTTGACACAAATGTAGCTACGGAATTTCTGCAAGTGTCATTGAATAGGTGGGATGGAGCAGTGACATAGTGGTGAAAGTACTGCACTATGAATCCCGGAAACCTGAGTTCAATTCCCAGCTACAGCAAGCATCGGTGGTATTATCTAAACCGGTCCTGGGCTCCCCCCTCCACCCACCGCCTTCACCAACCTGCACTCTACCAGGGTGGTGAAGTATGGTCAAACAACCCCTTTGACCAACAAGGTGCGGGGAGGTCTTCTGTCAGCAATCGATTGACAAAGGGTTGAGAACTGAATGCATAAAGTACGCACTTAAATCACAATTACTGCACACTAAAGCACAGTTATTACTGTCAAGTTTTGCAGCCGTTAAAAATGCACACCATGTTTTCCAATGTATGGTTGGTTACAGTATGAGCCAGAGCAGAAATTACTTCCACCTAAGGTTGAAAAACGTTAGTAGCATGATTTATTAACAAAGCTAATGAGAGTGGATCACTTGGTCACTCACTTATTTCACGTCAAACAATTGTAACCACTAAAGTTATGCTAATTCAGGAGGGCACCGACAAGTGAAATGTCTGCTGTGGGCTAATGGACTAGAGTATTATTAAGCAATTCTGAGATTTCAAAACACAACATACGTTCCGTAGAAATAGCTTCGTTGCACATCCGCGAAATCGCGCAAACCGAAGCCCCTTAAAGCAATGGAAACCTGCATATTGTAAATAGTGCAAGACAAACGTAATTCCTGGTTAGCTCACCAGGGCGCGTCAGTGAGTGCTGTGGGAAAGTTACCTTGTACGTGCAGCGTTTACAACGTTTTGTAATTGTGCAACACACAGCAAGCAATTAGTACAATGTTTCGTTGGGATGTTGTGGTCGATTTTCCTGCTACGTGGTGTCACCCTAATGTGCAAGTACATTTCGTGTAGGTGGTAAATTTGTACAGAGTGCAACGAACCATGCGCTGAACATTTTTATTTTACCAGGTAAGGCCCAATGAGCTATATATATTTTACAGAAGTGACCTGGGCACACATGATAGCTCAACGAAGTGGTTTATCGCGTGGACATTACATTTTATAAAAGCCAAATTCGTTAAATGCATGTTTCTAAATGTGGATAAAAATCCACACGACCACGGAGAGAACATGCAAACTCCAATTATACAACCGTCAGGGTCGAGATTGAACCCGCGACCTCCTCCAGAACTGGCGAGGTAGTTAATATCTCGTCACCACGGCGCCATAAACATTCAGTCGTGTAGTCACTTAAAACATTCAGTCAATAATTTAACATTCGAAACATATTCAATATAAGAAAGGGAGTAGACCACCACTTCACCAACCGGCAATGAACAGTGCGGTGAAGTATGGTCAATCAACCCCTGTGACGAAATTGTGTAGGGAAGCCCTCTTTCAGCAGTGAACTGACAAAGGACTCTACATGTACTTTATAATACATCACTAACTAATGCATGTTTCATGAAGATTGTATGATGACAGTAATAATTCACAGCCCATACAGTGAGGGAAAAAAAGTATTTGATCCCCTGCTGATTTTGTACGTTTGCCCACTGACAAGGAAATGATCAGTCTATAATTTTAATGGTAGGTTTATTTGAACAGTGAGAGACAGAATAACAAAAAAAAAATCCAGAAAAACGCATGTCAAAAATGTTATAAATTGATTTGCATTTTAATGAGGGAAATAAGTATTTGACCCCCTCTCAATCAGAAAGATTTCTGGCCCCCAGGTGTCTTTTATACAGTTAACGAGCTGAGATTAGGAGCACACTCTTAAAGGGAGTGCTCCTAATCTCAGCTTATTACCTATATAAAAGGTACCTGTCCACAGAAACAATCAATCAATCAGATTCCAAACTTTCCACCATGGCCAAGACCAAAGAGCTCTCCAAGGATGTCAGGGACAAGATTGTAGACCTACACAAGGATGGAATGGGCTACAAGACCATTGCCAAGCAGCTTGGTGAGAAGGTGACAACAGTTGGTGCGATTATTCGCAAATGGAAGATACACAAAAGAACTGTCAATCTCCCTCGGCCTGGGGCTCCATGCAAGATCTCACCTCGTGAAGTTGCAATGATCATGAGAACGGTGAGGAATCAGCCCAGAACTACACGGGAGGATCTTGTCAATGATCTCAAGGCAGCTGGGACCATAGTTACTAAGAAAACAATTGGTAACATACTACGCTGTGAAGGACTGAAATCCTGCAGCGCCCGCAAGGTCCCCCTGCTCAAGAAAGCACATATACATGCCCATCTGAAGTTTGCCAATGAACATCTGAATGATTCAGAGGACAACTGGGTGAAAGTGTTGTGGTCAGATGAGACCAAAATGGAGCTCTTTGGCATCAACTCAACTCGCCGTGTTTGGAGGAGGAGGAATGCTGCCTATGACCCCAAGAACACCATCCCCACCGTCAAACATGGAGGTGGAAACATTATTCTTTGGGGGTGTTTTTCTGCTAAGGTGACAGGACAACTTCACCGCATCAAAGGGACGATGGACGAGGCCATGTACCATCAAATCTTGGGTGAGAACCTCCTTCCCTCAGCCAGGGCATTGAAAATGGGTCGTGGATGGGTATTCCAGCATGACAATGACCCAAAACACACGGCCAAGACAACAAAGGAGTGGCTCAAAAAGAAACACATGAAGGTCCTGGAGTGGCCTAGCCAGTCTCCAGACCTTAATACCATAGAAAATCTGTGGAGGGAGCTGAAGGTTCGAGTTGCCAAACGTCAGCCTCGAAACCTTAACGACTTAGAGAAGATCTGCAAAGAGGAGTGGGACAAAATCCCTCATGAGATGTGTGCAAACCTGGTGGCCAACCACAAGAAACGTCTGACCTCTGATTGCCAACAAGGGTTTTGCCACCAAGTACTAAGTCATGTTTTGCAGAGGGGTCAAATACTTATTTCCCTCATTAAAATGCAAATCAATTTATAACATTTTTTACATGCGTTTTTCTGGATTTTTTGTGTTATTCTCTCACTGTTCAAATAAACCTACCATTAAAATTATAGACTGGTCATTTCTCTGTCAGTGGGCAAACGTACAAAATCAGCAGGGGATCAAATACATTTTTCCCTCACTGTACTTCACCATGCTGGTCATGCTGGGACAGTGTCAGAGGTTCCCAGGACCGGTTAAGATATCACACAAAACTGATGTTAGCCATGGTAGGGAATTTTACTCGGGTCACTGGGTTCATAAAGCAGTGCTTTAAACACTCGGCCATTCATCCAATCCATTTATATAGTGTAGGGGTATCACAACGGTGGTAATTTTCACAGATCATTACAATGTGCGGCACCTGGGTTCTTCACCTGGTCATAAGCAAAAGCCCTCTGCCTATTTATAAATGTATAGTCGACAGCCTGTTCACAAAGCCCACCCATGATTCCGATTCTACGGAAGGACTGCAACCTGTGTGTGTATTAGGGCTGAACGATTTGGGGAAAATATCTAATTGCGATTTTTCTGACAGATATTGCGATTGCGATTTTATTTGCGATTACATTTATAAAAGTTAAGCTTCAGTTCAATATCACATGAAACCATCAAAATATTAACTGCTCTATATTCTAATGCAAGGATGAGAACTTAAAAGATATGAATTGCTTCCAACATGTATTTATTAAAATGTTTAATTGAAATAGAGCAATCAAACAGAGAAACAATTGTTAAATTAAATAATAAAACAATTCCAATAAGAAAGTAATAGGACTTTTCAAATCGCAAAAAGAAATTGCTAATCGCATTGTTTCAAATTGCGATTTCGATTTGAAATCGATGAATCGTTCAGCCCTAGTGTGCATGCGACAACAGACACGCCCTAGGTTGGGCGGGAGTGGTGGCCGTGCGTGTTGCATGAGCACCTCGGTTGGGTACGAAGGCAGTTTCGCTCATGGCCTGGGAACCGGGGATTCGAGGACTCGACGGAGGAAGGGCCACGTGAACCTCGCTCACGAGCATCTGACAGTGGAGCTGCACGCTCGCCCATGCCAGAGTCTCACTGCCGCTCTCACTGTTGGCACAAACGAGAGAGCCGAAGCAGAGTTTATGCCTCTCGCTAGGATTTCATTTCCCACTGGGTCGGTGGGAGACTGGAGGCGGAGGCTAATAAAACGTGTCTACACGCATGGCTGGGCTTTGGTTCTTTCAAAGTCGTGTTTGTAAATCCCAAAGGTGTCTTTTCATTTTCACCTCCATGTTTGAGAAACAGCACATTTTCCGCGTTCTGTTGTAATCTTCGGAGAATATAAGTGCAAGCAAACAACAAAAAGTGCTCAGATATTCCGCCCGCTTCTCAACCTGTGAACTGAATTGTGTGTTATCAAGTCAGCCAAGCTATGATTCACCTTTTTGGACTGGTAAACCGTCATGTATGTTAGTGTTTTGCGAAAAAAATGCAGTTTTCCACACTTAATGGCATTATATTCCACTATGGTTCTGAGTCCGTGCCTGTGAAATTTTTGTTGTATTTGGCTCTGAATGGAATTGGCATGTTATTCGCAACCAGGGTCATAATGAGATATACGTGGATGTGGTTTTTCATGTGAGGACATTTTCTGGGTTGCTGCCACTCCCACTTTGAACCTCCAATTCCTTGGTTAAGGTGGTGGGGGGTTGTGGTTTATGGGTTAGGGAACGGTTAGGGAGGGTCTTTTTCTCTTTCTGTTACCACACTCTCTCCTCCCTCTTCCCTCTCATCTCCCCGCTTCCCATCACCCTAGGGTTAGGGTTATGGGGCCTCCAGAAATGTAAAAATAATTAAAACAGTGAAGGCCTTTTTCGAAAGAAGGAAGCTATGAGTTGCAAATGTAAATACATTTAAACAAAAAGTCTTTACATTTGAATGGTGGTGGTTGATAAACCTGAAAAGCTGGTCTCGTGGCAGTTGCATAGACTAGTTTTAAAATTGGAATTTTACAGAGGTAAAAGTACTCTGAGCCTTTGGAAAGTGAACACTTGCTTGTCTCTGACTCTCTGTCAATACGAGTGTGGATTTCGTAAGAGCTGCTGTGACGGCAGGTGTGCCCTTCGAGTGTGTGCCGTTCAATATGCTTCGGGCGTTATTTACAGTGGTGGCATTCAGCTCAGGGAGTTGACGTTGGCTCAATGTGTTTTTTATTGCAACATGCCGCAAGTGCGACTCTGAGATAATAAAATAAAACGATGGCTGGCAACGTAATTTAAAAACAACTCGACTCGCCGTACCCGTGGGGGCCGAGTATCAGAAAACATTCGGTTCCCTGTTGCCGCTTTGAGCCGTTCACAAACCCCCCTTGATCTTTGTCAATGGTAATTACGTATCGCGCTGGGAACAAATCTCTACATTTACAGGCAGGCAAACGGTTTTTGTGTTACCGATCAAAAAGCTCCATTTAAAATGAAGCCACACGGGCTTATAGTTGTGCTGAAATCTCTTAAAGCAAAGGGATGCTGTCAAAGGAGAAACAAGTCATGCTGCACTTAACCCGCAGTTTTACGATTCAACCCACGTGTCCATGTGATGCACTCAACGGATGTGTGCGTTAAATGGCAAAATAATTAACATACGACTCGAAAACGGAAAAAGTGAAATTTTCAAGTAAAAATAATGCAATGTGTGGTGTGAGGACTTAAAACTAACCCTTGGGCTTAATACTACCCCTAGCGTTGAGCTCTACAGTATATACTCTATCACTAGCTCTACCCATGACCCCAACAACACCGTAACCCATAACTCCGACCATAACCCTAATGCACATGTTTAATTTCATTTGCTTTCATGTAACTCGTACGGTGTAACAGGAAACGAACAGCTGTGCTGGCCATAATTTCACGAGTTTCCTTGTGGTGAGCTAACTGCGTTTTGCAGCACTGGTGAGAGAAAATGTGGTTGTTGATATTGTAGGTCGAGTTTTAAGTCACCTCACCGGCCAGCTGAAGAATGAAGCCACACCTCGGGGTTGGTGAAGGTTACAACGCACTCGAGAACCTCTCCGGCCAGAAACACCGGCCCTCGTGTCAGCTCTGCCACCATCTCAATCATGTCTGGCCCCGATCGCACTGCAATGCAACGACACACGTTTAGAAACACAAGTTACATCATTTGTTCCATATAGTCCGCAGTGAATAGCTGCCAACCGTCTTGGTTTTCACAGAATTGTTCCCTGTTTGTGGTAGCCATCCTGGGACATCTGTAAAGTTTTTCCGGGGGCATTAAAGGTGTGCCACTTGCATTATAAGACACACGGATTATAAGACACACTTATTCATAATGAAGGGTTTTTGCTTATTCATAATAAAGATTTTGCCAGAATTGGCTAAATAGCCTGATGAAGCTGGTTGTAATTCCCAGTGAAACGTCATACTCAAATTGTAAATGGTGTGGGTTTACTCTCAAGCACACCGGTGTGCTGAAGTAGTAACTAATTGCCACGTTTTGTTTACGTGACAAACCTTACTAGTTGGCTCTGTCGGGTGGTGGTGGGTTTAACGACACATTATATCTCGGTTATCTAACCCAAACAACCCTTATTATGAATAATATTGGTCGTGAAAGCCTACGTGTTAAAAAGACGCTTATTTTCCCTGTATTTTAAAACACAAGTTGGGTGTGTCTTATAATCCGGTAGGTGTGTGTGTGCGACCACTGTATATAGTTCATATTAGAGGTTTTTGGGTTAGATCGCGCAAATATATAAATGTCGTTAAAAAACCCGCCATCACCCGACAGCCACCTAGTAAGGGTTGTCACGTAAACAGAACATGCCAATTCGTCATTAGTATAGCACACCGGTGTGTTGGAGAGCCAAGCCACAACATTTACAAACTGAGTACGACGTTTAAATAGTTGTTTTATTGAAACCGGGCACACATTTTGGGTGCTTCTTATATGCTGGAGCACCTTACAATCCAGAGAAATCAGTAATGATACACTGCTCAAGACAATTGATTTACATGCAGTTCTCCCCTTCGTTGGCATTGTGAGATATTCGGTAAATGTCCTGGTAAACCCTCGTCACAGTGTGTGTGTGTGCTTTGTATGAGAAACCAGAGCTGGGAAACTCCAAGCTTCAAGGATTGTGTTGAGAAAGGTCACCTTTCCATGTCGATCTTACTTACTATATTTTTTGTAGAAACATTGTTTTGCTGTCTCCCTTACCCTGGATTAAGGTGATTGAAGGATAGCTTCAGGAGCAATGCCTTCAATGACAACCTCCACTCAATGGGTGGTCGCTCCTTCCCTGCTGCTGCTCACATAGTCTCCGTCTGTTTTTCTAACTCCCTACGCAAATTCAACTTTCGGGTCAAGAACTTTCTTCGGATTCTGCAAATGTGGACACTGACGCCGGCACCTAATGGCCTAAGGTGCCGCGGTGGCGAGATGTTAACTCCCTCGCCTGGTATGTAGGAGGTCGTGGGTTCGATCCCTACTCTGACGCCTGTATATTTGGAGTTTGCACGTTCTTCCTGTGGTCACGTTGATTTTTGTCCTGCTCCTCCAGTTTTTCCCTCCACATTTAGAAACATGCGTTTCGAGTATTTGGCTGCTATAAATGTCCACATTATAACCAATTTCGTTGCGCTATCACTTGTGGCCCGGTCGCTTCTCAACTGGTCTTACCTGATTTAAAGCTTTCGTGACTGCAGTAATTCATATTCTTAGCTCTTTCGGTAAAGTCACGTTGAAGGGAAACAATAAAATATATAAAACAATAAAAATTATCACGACGTTTCGACCATAACACAAACGGTCGTCATCAGGTGTGTCGGTTTGCATACATTTTTTATTTTAAATTTATGCAAACCGACACACCTGATGACGACCGTTTGTGTTATGGTCGAAACTTCGTGAGAATTTTTATTGTTTTATATATTTTATTATTTTATTGTTTCCCTTCAACGTGACTTTACCGACAGAGCTAAGAATATAGGGTCTTACCTGGTAAAATAAAAAATTACCCTTGAAAATGACGTCATGGGATCTTCAACGTCCATGGTGAAGTAATAATTAGGGCGGCCGCCAGATACGAACCGCGACCCTCCGCAAACAAGCCAAACGTCCTACCGCTAGGCCATGCCACCGCTCATATATCTTCCCACTATGAACGACAATTTGGTATAAAATTGTTTTACAATGAGGGAATGGCGCTTTTTGTTCAAAACTGTCCAAATCGATCAAAAAGAGTCGCCGAAACCTTGCAAATTTAAAAACGTGTTTTTGGACTGACAACTACTCGGTCGGCTTCCGTAATGCTGATCAAATACTTTCGCGGACAAGCACATGCTACAGAATCCATGCGTATTCATGATTTTTATTCGAACTTCTTTGCCCCTCCCTCAATGAATGCGAGGTGGTACGGTCCAGACATTTCACTCTCCACAACCCCCACCGACCCCTATCGATTAGCGCAAGTTGGTATCGCCCAACGCGTGGAGAGAGAGAGAAAAAAATAATTCCGCACGTCACCGCACTATACATTTCTTAGCACGCATAGGCGCGTCACGTGACCGTCTCCTCCCACCCTCTTCCTCTGACTCGTTGGCAAAGGGTACGTATGCGTGGTAGGAAATCTAAAACGCGACGACTCGCCGGTTAACGAATGCCGCGGTAACGATAGCGGAGGGAGTTCATTAACGGCACCCGGCACAGGCATCCACACACACACGCACGCACACACGCACACACACGCGCACGCCGCGAGAAGAAAACACATAACAGCGACAAGCGACGAAGGTCGTTGATGTTGGTGAAAGAGAGCAATTGGCGCATTCGTCCCCGTCGTATCGCGTGCGTGTGAAGCGAGTGGTGGGGATTGTTTGGGGACGCTTACCGCTCGACAACCTCACCCCCTCACCACTCACACACACCCCCACCAATGCCGCCGTCTTCTCGTCCTCGTCCAACTCAGGTTTTCGACAGGCGCAGCTCTCTCGTTCAGCGAACTCTTTGGTTTAACGCTTGTTAATTTAACGCAGATTTTTTTTTTGGTTCGGCTAAACTCTTAATCCGATGCTCGTTTAACGCGCCAAACTGTTGCTTTTTTTTCTTCTTCTTCATCCACCACCCCCCCTCCTCCTCCTCCTCAGTAATTTCCAATTGCTTTTTGGCGCTTGCGTTGTTTACTATTATTATTGTTGTTGTTGGTTGGTTTGTTTGTTGACGCAAAGTCGTTCGCGGTTCGGAGTTTCCGGACGTGGCCACGTCTCGTCAAGCGCTTAAGGGGCCACTTGGTGCGGACGCGTGGAGTGAAGGCGGGTGTATTGGCAATGTGCACATAGGAAACGGGGGGGTGGGTGGAGTGGGAAGCCTTGATAATAATTGTCTACATTTAAATTAGTTAGGGGGGGGGGCAGGGATCAAGTTTTGACAGATTTTTTGCGTTCCTACAACAATGGATGGTCCCTAACTCGTCCACTCCGCCACCACCTCTCACCCCCCCCCCCCCTACCACATCAGCGTGTCCTAAACAATTATTAATAATTAATTATTGAAATAAATGTGTACGTTTTGATTGCACCTCGATTAAATAGGCGCTTCTTGGGGCAGGTGACACGAGCCTGAGAGCCGTCAGTCTGGAGTGTTGCTGGCTCGGTGGTAGTGAGTGAGTGAGAGCCCCCCCCCCACCACCACCACCACTCTCTCTACCCTCCACCACCCTGGGGGTGCTAGGCGAGAGTCGCGTGAAATGTGCACAAAGATGCAACAGCGAGTCTGGTCCTCCCGCATTCTCTTCTCGCGCCCTGGGAACATGCCTGAGGATCTTGGCTGCCGTGAGCGTGAGGCTCACAGCCGAACGAGTGAGATTTGAGAGGTTCTGCCAAAGGGGGGGGGGAGGGCGGCGTGGATGTGAAGCGGAGTTTTAAGTGGCGGAGATGTGGCACCAACCTGTTTGTTTCCCTTACGCTTAATTTGCTAAATTGCGGCGACAGACGAAGCCCGTGGCTGCCGGGGAGGGAGGGAGGTGTGGGGGGGGGCGATGTCTGGCAAATGTGTGGCGTGTCTTGGGAGAAGATGCTCAAATTAAATGCAATAACATTTTTTTTTATATACACCGTCGAATTGCGAGCTTACTTTGAAGATACTGTACGAGAAACAATGAGCATGTTTATTTTGTTGAGAGGCGGGCACTCGTAGGCAGAGGTGTGGTGGGGGGGACCGTCTTGAACCCGGATCTGAACAGCGGCAGGGAGTTGACGGCATGAATGGCTGTGGGGGAAGGCAGTTCCTGACAAAGGGAGCAGCAGAGGAGCAAGGGCGACCGCCCACTAAGCTAAGGTTGACTTGGGGATTCGATTGGCCTTGGTTGCTATATCAGAGGCGAGTGGAGCTTTACAAATGTGGACTAATAGAACCCGGTTTTGTTCGTCAGGGTTAATGTTTGAACCAGCGCTATGGTTAGGATTACGAAGTGTTTGGCTTATGGATTATGCTGTCAGGGTTATGGATGGTGTAATTTCAGGGCTAGGGCTATGGTTAGAGCAGGGTTATTTCAAGAGTGCTCAGGGTGGAGTAGTGGAACAGTACAGTACTTTCTGCACGATGAACCAGGCGACATTAGTTCAGTTATACTCTTTGGTTCTTTCGGTAAAGTCACGCAGGTAGAAAAAATAATAGATCACGACGTTTCGATCGCAACACAAGCAATCGTCATCAGGTGAGACAACCACGGCAAGAAAACTGCTGAAACTGCTTCAGCAAGAACTGCTGAAAATGCTTCAGCAGTTTTTCTGATCTATATTTTTTTCTACCTACGTGACTTTACCGAAAGAACCAAAGAGAGTGGATTCCTGCAGTTGCGAAAGCTTCAAATCAAGATTGAGTTCAATAATGTTCTACGCTTTATATCAGAGGCGAGTCATATTTGTGTTCACGGGGTTCGTTTTAGGGCAAGAGTCGTGGTAGTTTTATGGTTAAAGCTTGGGGTCTTGGTCTGTATGAGGTCAGAGCTATCAATAGTGTTAAGCTAATGTCAGCGTCAATGGCTAAGGTGAGAGGTTGTGGTGAGGATTAAGGCTAGTGAAGATAGAATGTCATTAATCCTGAAATTATTTGTGAGCAAAGTATCTTCAGAGAGACTAATACAATATTAGTAACGTGTTTCTTAAATAAAAGTGCACTGAAGAAGTCAAATACATGATTGTGTTTTACTCAACACAGATAATGTTTTTTTTTAGGTTGCACTATTTTCATAACAACAGTTTGGCAACATCCCCATGTGCATGGCTCTTCATGCCAAGGCTGAGCCTCGGTTCAGCCCTCTAATCTTCCAGCTGAATGTCAGCTGCCACTGGGTCATTACAATTTCCTCATTCTGTGTATGTGCGTGTTTTTAATCGAACGCTGTAAACAATATATACATGGGATTGGGTGTGGTGGTGGTGGTGGTATGGTGTTTCATTTTGCGAACGACCAGGGTTTGAACTCTGACAATTCACATCACTGCTTTTATTCCCAGCAATCACCGATTTATTTATTCTTGCCGCTCGGTGGTCAGTCGCCTCTTTATTGTTCTTATCGTGCCAATACTACCAAGGTTATTGTTCCTGTGAATTCCACTCATTGATTTCTTCTCCACGATGCTGAGCACCTGCTCTTCCAGACTTGACTTTTAGTTCATCCATACTGTAATGAACTAGCATACTGCGGGTCAAAACACTCTTCTTTTGAACGTTGCTCATTTCAAGAAACGCATTAACTAATTTCAATTTCACCTTCAATTAAGCTGTTTTGTTGCTGGCTGCTCGGCATTTTGGGGTTTTGGGCCTGTGCCTAGCAACTGTGCTTACAAAAAATTAACTCGACTCCTGTGCCAACTCGGCCTCAATACCTCGTGTGGTCCAACATCGCAGAAGGTGGTACCTGGTTCCACTGCGTGTATGACGAGTCAGACTTACCGTATTCGGTGGGCGTTGACGGCATTTGGTTTAAGTTATTCAGGCAATAAGGGCGGGATCTTTGTTTTAATATAATTGGGGCAGGAATTGATTTAAATTCTTTTGTTGCTTGTGACACACTTGCACAGTCGAGAGTAATGTGAAACTACGAGCCTCAGTGAAATCGGGCCAGGTTGCTTGGTGTGTAATTTGAGTCGCTCGCCGTAAAAAGCAGGGCTTTTGAGGCGTGATCTTTGTGCTTGCTTTGGTTCATTTTCTAAAGTGATCATTCCATTACATAGAATCCACCCGTGCAGGCAACCCTACTACCCCCCTTCTCACTGGTTTCACATTCATTATTTGCATCTTACCCCTCATCTCCTTCTACGCAGCCCCAAGTCACTCAGGCTGAAAGACATATTTTGTAAGCATTGATTTGAAAGTAGGCACTCTGCACTTTGTTTATATTCTGAAACCGTTATATTTATTATTTTGAGCCATGTCTCATATTCAGATAGTTAAATTTTTAGCATTTGAGAAACATTTCGCACCAAGGCAGGTGTTTAGTGAGCATGTTGGACAGTTAGACAAATAACCTTTTTCAGATCCTTCAGCAGAAACATTTGGCAGAGAGGAGTGCACTTCGATACAGCTGAATGGTATGTGCATGTGATGCTCTTTCAGTGTCCGTAATTTTGTCAATGAAAATTATGATCACCAAATGGGACAAAAGAAGAGTAATTTTGTCAGTCCCACAGGCTGCATAATAGTGGTATTTGACTATACTTCACCACACCGGTCAATGTGGGTCGGTGAAGATGGGGAGCACAAATGGAAGGGCATTGGAGTACAATACAACAATTGATTTCTTTGCACTGCCGTCTGCAGCGCATCACATACCCCCACATCCTATATAATAACCTGTTGCACATTACATGGTGGTCGCCCATCCAAGCACTATTCATTCTCAGCTCTGCTTAGCGCCCGGGATCTGATGAGATCAGATGGTTTGACAAAAATGTAACTCTTCTCACACATATTGTCCCACAATAATAAATATTGTGGGCTCATTTACATTACAAAGTGTGTCAACTTTAATGTTGATTTGAAGCTTTATTGACTACAGGAATTACTACAAGAATGACTAATTTAGCACTCTTGAAATTCGTGGTCCGCCAGGCAAGTGTCTAGCTGTGTTGTTGGCCTGACTGGTTTTGCATCACATAATTTTTTCTTAGGTTTGTTGAATTCTCGTCTCTCATCTTGTTGTATTTACCTCCGTGCAGTTTAACACTCTCTATGTGTTGCATTGGTGTCGCCCTATATGCTCCCTCGCTATTTGTTTTTTACACCTGATGAAGATCGCTTGTGTTGCGGTCGAAACGTCGTGATTGATTGATTTTAATATAATTTTATGGTATTTCTACATACGTGACTTTACCGAAAAAACCAATGAGTACAGGAATTCCTCTTTGGTTAACTTCCTACAATAGGGATGCGAAGTCACAAAACACCCTCCACCATCATTACCACGGCGTTATACGTACACTTATAATAGGAAACATGCACTGGGCTAATATATTTAGTGGCACTCTTTATTAAAAGCACATGGAGAACACAAATAGACTCGCTACAAAGCGGAAGACTGCACTTTACATTGCGATGTTTTAAACACTGGATAATTTTAAGAAAGTTAACATGGACAGTTTTGAATTGACATGGACAGTTCGTTTTCCATCGTGCAGTTTTGTTTCCACTCGACAGAACAAATCCCTCCAAAGTGTAGGCATCATCGCCGCTATCGTTGAGATACTTGCTGCATCTAAAGTAGCGCCTGTCTCTCGTCTCTTGAGCTTCCCTTTCAGATTGTTTCCTATTTTCACATTGATTTTGTTCTTCTTGTAATGCCATTTGACTGTGACTTTTGTCAGCTGGCCATTTTTTGTGAGTGTGATGTTGATTTTGGATTATTTTTTTTTGCCCACGTTTTTCTCTTGTTTGTGGAATTCTAAGCTTGTGCTTTCCTTGCTCCTTTATCTGGATTACAGAAATGTATCAGTTTTATTGCCAATGACACATGCTTGTAGGTACAAATGCGTTTTTGTTTCTCCTTGGTGTTCCATTAAATTTAACAGCCTTGCAGTTTGCTATAGCCGAGTAAATTATTTACCATGAGCTAGCAGCCAGGCATTTTCCATTACCGGAGGGTAAACATTGGGTGGATTATATACATATACAACATAAAAGACCTTGAATATAATTTAAGTAAAAACAAACTTTATTCTATAGAACATGTATTTCCTTTGTCAAAATTCTAATGTTTGAGACACTGCCAGTGGTAAACCAGTTTTACTACATTCGGTAAAAGTGACATAATAACTTGCACGAAAAAAATTGGAGGCCAGCCCATCGCATTGCTGCTGATTGGTTACAGCGTTATTTATTTTTTATAATCTTCTCTTTAATACGCTCCATATTTTTTTTTGCTTGCTCAGTAACCCGCGCGAGGGTTCGTGGCGACAGCTCGTGGCGGCCGGCAAGACGTGGGAAGAAGAATGGCTT